ACGTTTAACATACGATACACTTTTTAGAAAATGTAATGATTGTAATTTTTGAAGGGACTGTCTTTTTTAGTCTAAATCTGAAACTTTCGTATAAATGTTGTTTTGTTTCCGTTTTCAAAATAAAAAAAATAACTCAGGAAAACCAAACAGCAGTTTAACTCTACCCTTCGTTTTATCATTATGTTTTCAAATCGTTAGAAATTCTATAAAATATACTATATGTCACTACCAGGGAATAAAAATATGTTTTATAAACAATTTTATAAGTTTTTTTTTGTAAGTTCTAGGTCGCAATTATTAGGTTCAAGTACTAAGCGCGGTCACAAAAAATCAATATAATTCCTCATGCCAATAAGAATATAAATTCGATGGAATACATATGGCGACACTCCATAACTTCGTACATACATCGTAAGCGGAAGCGGCTAAGTTTTGACTACCCCTAACGGTTCATAAATCATTTTATTTTGCAAACGTCCATGCATCAATACATCATATGTGATACATTTTTTAGCCGATACAGCTGCTTACTGAAAGAACACTTTCATGTCTTACTTTCGTCGATTTATCACAATCTGACAATCTGGTCCTTGCTGAAATACCTCGCATGTAATGTTTCGAAGCGTATTGTCCACTGGTTTGTTCTGACTGTAAAATAAACATTATACGTAAGTGACAAGGAGTTAAAGAGTTGCGCATTTGACCTAGTTTGAACGTAGAAATAAAACCAGACTTCTTCAATAGTTTTCAAACAATTTTGTATTATTTATTGTTCCGTCATTTATAATTTCAACCCAAATTAGCTAATTAAAACAAAATAAAACGATGAGGCTAACTTGTTTTGTACTCATTAGTCAAGAAGTGGAAATCTTTATTAGTAATTGTCATTGATTGTTTACCTCTTAATAAAAATTCAGATAATTAAAATCCCATCTTCATAGCAGACCTGAATCAAGTACTTAACTTCAGCTCTGCATTGTAGTTCCTAGTTGGTATGGTCTGTTCATAGATATAAGAATATGACCAACTGCTTTTGAATGGGACTATCCAAGTTCGGTCATTAACATACAATGCAACAAGGTAAAATTGTGGTCCGTAATAGAAAATAATTTTATGCCTACCTGTGTTTAATATTCTTTGGTTTGGTATACTAATTAGTTTAAGTTTATTAGTAACCATTCTTATTTCGTGTGTAATACAGCGTTGTTGCATCCTGTGCGAATTATGCAAAATATGTGCGGGTCTAGTGTATCTCAGGAGATGCTCCCGCCCAAATGTAGAAAACATTATTCTATTGAGACTAAACGTGGTGCCGGCAAGCAAGCATCTTTAGAAGAAACGGCCACATTGACAAAAATTCCAGCATCAACTGTATGGAAAATTGTGAATACCATTTCAGCGACGAAAAAAAGAAGCGATGCTGACATTTTCTCGAGTGTAGATGAAAGTGATCAAGATATAATACGGCGTAAAATTTACCAGTTATACGAGGAACAAAGCGTGCCTACATTAGATATCTTAATTAGGAGGCTTGAAAAAGATGAAACCGGTGTTAAATGTGGCAGAACTACCTTATGGACGTGTATTCAACACATAGGTTTTAGGTTCAAAAAAATTGACAAAAGCAAGTTACAGTGGAATCTTTTAGAATTCGGAAATATCTGGAATATCTAGAAAAAAATAGGATTTACAGAGAACAACAAAGGCCAATTATTTGCTTGGATGAAACCTGGTTCGTCACTTCGACCCAGGAAAAGGGTTGAGTTGACTCAACTGATAAGTGTAAAACAAACGCGCCATCAAAAAGAGGTAAAAGAATAACTATTTTGCATGCTGGCTCTAAAGATGGTTGGATTCCAAATGGACTTTCTCTGTCTGCGAAAAATATTAAAGATTCTTCTCTGGATTACCATGAAGACACCACAGCTGATTTATTTGAAAGTTGGTTTAAAAACAAACTAGTTCCATACGACATTTATTTTCACGAAGATTATACCAAAAAATTGAGGTTCTACAAAGCTTGAACCTACAAAAGGAATACGTCTGTGATAATTATCCAAAAAGCTAGGGCATACAGTTTTAAGGCTTCCACCTTACCACTATATATTTAATCCCATTGAACATATTTGCCACCAACTGAAATCTGCCATTCGTCATAACAATGTTTTTCCCCGTGTTAACTCCAATGTCCTCAAACTTATAGAAACCGAAGTTTTTAACATCCCTACACAAAGTTGGTCAAATTCTGTTATACATATAGAAAAAGCAGAACAATCTTATATCCATATTGCAAATAATATAGAACAAATAATAATTAGAACAGGCGATGATAGCGATACTGATACTGATATATTATGTGAATAATTTTAAGTAATTTAAGTAGGTAATAAAAATAATTTGTAATTTTATTTTAGATTTAAACATAAATACATACATAAATAAATAAATATTGTTTTAGTAACAAAACCCCAAATAATTAAATTCTAAGCAAAGTACGGACCTGTTCGGTCATATTTCATTCTTACAGCTTGCCCGGGTCTTTCCTTAATTCGTATCAGTCAGTCACTTTCTTATATCTACGAACAGACTTTAACTAGAAAGTTATCCGCCTAACTTTCACTTCAAACTGTTGGAAACTATTGACTACTATATAAATAATCAACAATATAGAAAGTTGATTTAAATCCGACTGTCGCCTGAAGCAACACTTCATTGAGAGAGCCCTGTATATTTCAAGCGCGCAGGTGCCCGAAACTTTGACAAATGACCCCGCACCTAAATACATGTAAATACTCCGGAATTTGAAAAAAATATTTATCTTCTAACCCAATTTCTCATCGAGATTGCGCAGAAAAAAGGTTGCCAACCAAGTGCGTTCCATTGCCAATATTTATTGCTTAATGTTTTTAGTTCGGGATTCAATATTGACTTCTCTAATTTATTTTAATAAACAAGCGTAACCGTGTCAGTTATCTCGATTAAAGTGACAGTCAAAAGTTAAAGTTATGTTAGCTTTTGATATGTATAAATGTATAACAAATAGAAATGGAAGCTAAAGCAAGTAGAGAGAGAGAGAGAGAGAGAGAGAAAGATCGACAGAAAAAAACAGAGCAATTGAATTAGCTGTCTTGCAACTTTATAAACCAAACAAAAAAAATCCATTTTCGGACCCGAAAAAGTTACCTTTTATTACAATCCCGGCTAAAAGTAATTCGATTTGGTATTTCAAGCTGAAATCAATTAATAAAAGCGAAACCCTTCACGTTGTCAAAAAGTTGCTAAACTAAAAACCAACATTTCATTTTATAGAAGTGGCATTAGAAGTTTCTCAAGCTACACGGAAAGTTCAATTTAATTATTTAACTTAATATAATTACTAAATATCAAACAACAAATGGACGTTTGTCAGTAAAGTATATATTTTGAAAAGCTGTAGTTAGGCTCAGCTCAATTTAAATTAAAGAAATCATACTTAGCACAGCAGCTCTAGGATTTAAAATTTACTAACAAGAGCTGTTAGGAAAAAATACAATTTTATTTTATAAAATAAAGTAATAATCAGAGCCAATTAGACATAAAAATAGTGATCAAATAACAAACATTCCGACAAAGCTAGATTTTAGTGGAGACCTTGGCCACACTAGTCAATCCCATTCAAATTTTTGTTCCTCCTCCCTTCAAAAATTTCGTTTTTTGGATTTTTCTGGAAAACGGTAAGTTATTTTAAAAAATTGGTGCCAGATGTAAATTGTGGATCATTAAATTATGTACCAAAATGGTTCTTACTATTTTATCCTAAAATTTGAAAGAGTTACAGTCTGCTTTTTATGCACCCATTTCCACTCCACCACTACCTCACTTGGTGCTTTTGTCTAACGATGTTTCTTCGGCTTACTGCACGAACTGTTATGTTTTATAGGGAAATATTATATTTTCTTCATTATGTTTATTATTTATATTTATTGATTTATAGTGTAGTTCTGATTTTTAATACTGATTTATGCTCTTCAAAGTTACTTCAAAAATCATGTCTTCTTCGATTTCTTCTTCTTCCTCTTTTTTGGATGTTCAAAAATTATTCCAATGAAGATAAAGATTTTTAATTTTTCAAACGAATTTCCACAGGTTGTTTAGAAATCTCCTCGATTCCAAAACTAAACAACGAATGCACTAAAATTATTTCATTTAATTCATTCGAAATAGGTAGTGGGCGTTGCCACGAGGATAATAACGACGGATGTTGATCAAGGTCATCGTTTTATAGTTATCTATGCAATAAAAGTTAACGTTAACTTAATGGTAAGGTAATATCCAAATTGAATTACAAAAAGCGGATATGGAGCTTTCGACCCTGATCACGGTCTACAGAAAACAAAACTTTACATTCAAATGTTAAATGCGCTCTTTAATTTGTTTTAAAAAATTGCAGAGAAAAATCCTCCTCCTATGGCGGTCACCATGCAAAATTCATGTTTGTGCTGGCCTCGTATCTTTCGTAATTCAATCTTCCCTTCCTGTATTAGTAGTTGTAACTGTTCACGTTCTATAAGTCGCATTATATGATCGAGATCGGTTGCTTTCCTGATTTTTGTTGTTTGTTATTTGGAGGAGGGTATTCATTCTAGCTAGTACATCTGCATTGGCCGTTCTAGTAGTCCAGCTTATGCGCAGCAACTCTTTCAACTATTCGAATAGCGGATTAGCAATTGTGGTTTGTAAAACAATATTATTTTTTATAGAAAATTTTATGGTCTACAATTTATATTTCAGATTTATTTGATAAAGCTTGAAAATGTTAATTTTTGAACTGAAATAACTGTTTTAGCACACATACGATAGCAGGAGACTTTTGAAGCTTTATTTCTACTGGCGCACTACAGGTCTTCACCAAAATCCAGTTCTGAGGGAATTTTTGTTCTTTGAATTGCAATTTTGATAAGACTATAAATTGGTTTCGTATAAACAACCCACTAACCAAAACTTGTTCTTCTTGATTTCAGGTGATCAAAAAAGCGACCGAAATTAATTTCATTGGACCAACAAGAGTAACACAAATCATGCTTCCCCTGGTACGCCGTGCACGCGGTCGTATAATCTACATGACATCTGGATTATGCAGGGTTGCATCTCCTGTTCGAGGAATTCATTGCGGCTTATTAGCAGCGGTGGAATCCCAAGCTGAATGTTTGAGAAAGGAACTCAGGTAATAAATGTAAAAGTCTACTACTGTGTACTACCACAAACTATCAAGAAACGCCTCCCAATATTCTTTAGTAGGACTAATCGATCAACCCGTCCGCTGGAGAAAATACGGATTTGCTACGAAAACAATAACTATGGATAACAATTTGAAATGAAGAAAGCAAAATCGTCTATTTACTGCCCCAGACTTGAAAAAATAAAAATCCAATCCAATCAAGTAATTATACGTTAAACCGCAGTACTGGGATTTACCATAAATTTATTCTGTGTAGCTGTCATTATCTCCATCTAAACTTATTAGTAAACGTAGTTTTTTTTCTAATATTTAAATTTACTTGGTTCCATATGAATTCGATGAATTACATATATACTGGTAAAGACTGTATGTCAATTCTCTGTACAAATTTATAATAAACGTATTTCTAAAAATTGTACGTCACTATTTTCTTGATGATCTTAGAAATCTAGACAAGCATTTGGTATCTTTTATATTGAAATCAACAGGAAGGCGAATACATTTTTCTGAACGTATGGATTATTCTAGTTTAATGATGAAGGCTTAGTTTGACTTTTTTTACATCACTCAAGAAACTAATTACAACTACGAGTGGATATCAATTTGCAATTTTTATAATATAAACATAATAATATTAGCATATTACATCCGAAAATCTGCTAAATTTATACTAAATTGATACATTTTACAATTTTTTTATTTTTATTCGTGTACTAACTAAGAATCACACAAATTTGATCAGAGTTGTCAGTGTGTTTTGATACCGATTTTGCCATAACCATTTCAAAAAATAATGGAAAATGTTTGCTTTAATTGCTTATATCCAGGATCCGTTAAAAGAAATTTGAAATAAAATTTAAAATTCCAAATCAACGGCTTCATACAGGTTCGTATATGAAAGGCATAATTATGCTGGTATATGTACATATAACCAAGCCGGTAATATTTTTGAAACCGTACCCACTCCCAAAGGTTCAATTCTAAATCGGTTTTGGCAAGTGCGTCCCATTTGGCAGCTACCAGTGAAAACAACTCCACTCAATTTTTTTCTCATTAATTTTAATAATTACGCTTCTTGTTTTTTAAATTAATTATGAGCAAAAGGTAAACTTCGCGAAGCTATGGTGAGCCAAAAATACTCTTACCTATGTAATTAAAAGCGCTCAAAAAATGAAAAAGGCAAACATTCAATATTTAAACATGCAATTTTAGCAAAAGTATAGATACCTAAATTACATCTAATTACATACCTAATTGCTTAAAGAATTGGAGAAAATGAGACAATTAGAATTTTTATTGTGCTTATGGAACCAATAGACCGAGAGAAAAAATGACATTGGACAATATTGAGAAAATGTTTGTGCAACTATTTCAAGAATGTATACCAGAGAAACAAAAACTGAGCCTATTTAATATATCTATTCAGTCATACGTATTGTTTAATATTTTGAAAATAGTGTAAACATATTGAATTAGATTATTATTGCGTTGGCGAACAACAAAGTCCAATTAAATTTTCCTTCCTTCCATCTAAAAAACTGACGCGTGTTTCTGGCCGAGTTAACTATTTTATGCCACATAAGAGCAGATAAATTGGTAAGTGATTATGTCTCCAACGCGACAATTATTAGTACGTAGCAAATTTCATTTTCCAATTACGTGGAAATATTTCACAGTGCACCACCACATTACAATTTAAGCTCCGTCGAAAACGCACGCTGGCCGATAATTTGTCATCGAGGAATTTCCATTCGTCTGGCAAATTTTAATTTGTAACTTACCCCATCAAAATAACTTTTGCCAGAATAATACCCAAATTAAAAATGCGGAAAATATTGGCAACTGGCTGAAAAGACAAATTTAATAAATATATGTACACTTTATATATACTTTATTTTTCTAGTAATCAATTAAAATTTATATAACGTGTGCTACCTAACGTATAGCAAAGTCGGATACTGTGACGACTCAAAAACAAAAATAGTATTCTGTGCGATTTGTTCACATAATAGGTAAATTTCAAATTTATCTATTATGTGAAAGGTGAAAGGTAAATTTCAAATTTACCTGAAAGGTAAATTTCAAGTTTACCGACAGAAAATATTTCAAATACTTTACATATTAAGAAACTTTTCACTATTTTGACACGAAAAAAAATAATAAAATTTGGTCACCTCTAGCAAAATGTTGCTGTTAATAATAATTATAAACCTTAATTATATCAGACCATTTGAAAGTTTTTTTTGCGTTGTTGTTTTACATTTTAGCACATCACATCTATCGTAATTTAAATTAATCTTAAATCAATTTAGACCTTCAGTTTGGCCATTAAAATTATGGAACAGTGTGACGGGTCACTAAATCCAATCAAGAATAAAGGTAATGTTGTTTTAAATTCTATATATAACTAACCCTACATAACTGATAAGGTCATCCCCAACTATGATGGCCATATAAAATAAGAAATTCGTGTTATAAAAAAAAATAAATATATCTCGGTGGATTGGGCGTAGTTCTTGCCATTAGGCGTTTCTAAAAAACTGAGGCCATGAAGCACTCCAATAAAGAAATAATATGTATATTATGATATTTAACACAGTTTGGACGATCGCAAAGGTCATTTATTGATATTACGTGATTTCTGTTACAGATCTCGGGGCGTAGACGTTGTAGTCGTGGCGCCAGGAGAATTTACCGCGGGAAATTCTTGGATTTCCGATCAACTTATTCTGGAACAGGCTAAAGAAATGTGGAAACAATTGGGCACGGAACAGAAAAATGAATACGGAGACGGTTACTTTGAAACGGCAGTAAGGAGTTTGGAAAAGTACTCAAAATCGCAGGTATGATTAGAAAAATTTTAATATTCTCGGGAATTCCTTTTTTCATCATGTTTTTTTTAATCATCCTGTGTAAGATACAGCAGTGTGTAGGTAAAGCAGTGCCCATAACTGTTTCTTTACATTAGGTGCGTGCTTCTAGGCATTTTATAAAAGATTGGTCGTCTTGCCAAACTGAGATAAACATATATAGAAATCCAGTGAAAATTGATCAATGTATATATTAAACAGTTAACAAAAGAATCAACGAAATTTATTACATTATATATAAATATTTATTTATTAAAATATATTTCAGTATATTGTATTATCGCAGTGATGAACATTTGGTGCTTAATGCTTAAAACTAAAAGAGTTGTCTCCAAGCTGTCATTTGACTTCTTAGCTACAAAAAAAAACAGTTTGAATCTTGTCTTCGTAATTCTCTAGAGCGCTAAAATATATTCTTACCAAGCTGCGTCTGATCTTGGCATCGGCAGATACAAAATTTCTGGCTCCTTCTGGCCAATAGCAGTTGTACAGATACCTGATTCTAGCAGGTTCGCAGAATAGGTGGGGCCCCTTAATGCCGTAATCGTAGTACATCTTCGAATATTCCGGATACGTATAAAATTTATGGCCATATTTATCGTAGTGGGTCTCGAGCATTTCCTGCAATAGCAAACGAAACAATTTTACGCCATTTATTGGTTTCAGAAAGGACCCGACTCTGCTGAAAGCCTAAATTCAAAATGACAATTAAAATGACGAGAACAAAGAGACGCCGGCGTAAAAATAACCTACCAGGCAAAACTGTATATAGAGCACTTGATAAAAATTTTTTTGGATAGCCTGTTTCGCATCAAATATCTGACTGAAATCCTTTGCAAAATATTTCAACAACACGCACGTTATAAAATAGACTATTGGACAGGTTCCAACGACCGACATTTTTATTAAACCTTCGGAAATTATTCCTAGGCGGTTTAGATTCGCTACGGGGTTGGTTAAAAATACAAAAGGAATTTTAGATGTGTTCCGGCGATTCTCTTAACTGTTCCGCGAACTTTTAGTAGACATTTTTTAAACGGCGTCAAGACAAAGACCACTTGAAACGTCAAACGAATATCCCATAGGAGCAGCTGGCAGGCCTTTCACGTTTGTTTCTTTTCAGGAAGCTGACTTGACTCCGGTGCTGAAAGCGCTCACTGATGCAGTTACTCGCACTTTTCCGCTTAACAAGTATACTCCAGTGACAAGAAAGGAAAAGGTCAAGGCGTTCGTCGCAGAACATTTGCCGAGATCGGTATATGATCTCGTTTATGCATAAAACAGAGACGACGAACAAAAACGGAATCTTCAATCCAATCTCCCATAGCGTAACGTAGAAGCAAATTTATTGTGAATATTAGTTTTGGTTAGTTTTAAAACTGAAAAAGCGAAACAAACACGAAATGTATATCGATTGATATGTGAATAAAGAAGAAAATGGAGAATGAATGTTTCATTGCCAAATTTTTAATTTTTATTAAATATGTGCCCACGGTATTTTTAATAAAAAGTTAATAATGGTTTTTATTGAGGATCTAACAACAAACACAACGCACCGACAAGTGAAAAATATACATTAAATGCTCAAACGACGAAATCTAACTAACTAAGCCAGATACTCAATATTAACCCGAGGTAAAACCTATTATACAGAGTGTTTCAAAACAAATGCCAAAAAATTATGAGGGGATTCCTGGTTTAAAATAAAGTGTAGTTTGTTATATAAATTTTGGGTCAACCTTACCATTAGAGAGATATCGGGCTTACATATATATTTTTTATCTGAAAAACGAAAACACATAGAGCATATTTTATAAATATTTCTTGTTAAATGAGTGAATGACATTGAATTTCTCATTCTTCTTTACTAAATTTAAGGGGAATAATTTATTTATTATTTTTATTATTATGCACTTCTTAGTATTACTTTGGACACAAAATACGATTAATTTAATGAAAAAGTATATTTTCTAAACATTTAATTGTTCACAAATATACTGTAATTATGGTGAATTAATTAATTAATGCGGAAATGTCGTCTTTATACACAAACGTATTCTAGTCGTACCTCAGCTTGTTTATCAGGCCTTATCGAGTGCTACATGAACCTGCAAGTTTCGAAAAAAGTTGTTTCGATACAGGCCAACACCGAGAAGTTCGAACACCCGGATTAGAAGATTAGCAGTTGCTGTGTTAAGTATTATTGAAGGGAAGCCGGAGACAAGTACCAGGAAAATTGCAACTGAATTAAATACTAATGAGTTTACTGTATGATGAATATTAAAAGAACAACATATATAGGGTTCGAAATCTTTTATCAAGAGATTTCGAAACGCAGGAGACAATAAAGTTTCATTGCGTAAGTTTTTCGTTATATTTAGTTGAGAAGAATGATAGGAGCAGTCTAATTCAATTCGCTCCACTCATTTTGAAAAAAAAATGAAAAAATATGCAGAAAGTATATTTTTACTTCTGTAATATTTTATTTTTCGTTTTTAGATAAAAATTGAAAACATTATTTTTCCGGCCTATTTGTAGTGCGAAATCTCCATAATGGTTGGACTTTAACCTAACATTTACGTAACAATACCCTTTATTTTCAACATATTAAGTTTTTCACATTCGTTTTAAAAGACCCTGTATAAGAAAAAGAAGAAGCACATTAAAAAATCCTACAAAAACAAAAATGAGAGACACTCAGAATCTAAGTAGACATATATATACAAACTAATACGTATGTTGTGTATCTCGCTAGGAACAAGTAATTGTTCTTTGAGATATGATGGAGTGGACGTCTGTAACACTTCATAAAAACATCAAACACAAATACTCAGATACAAATACCCGATACAAGGGTAGTTAGTTTTTGCACACTGTTTATTAATTTAAACTTACAAGTATCCCAAGCAATACCGAAATTGTTTTAATTTTGATTCATTTACTTCTGTATTCGTATATACCACGCGCATGTGTGTCTACAGCGCGCTACGCCACTGCACAGAAGGTGCAGCTAAAGATTATTTGCTGCAAGCTTTCGAGATATAGAGCCAAATTTTATTACAGGGTTCGACATTGTGACTAGTAATTTCTCTGAAGTAGAGAGAATCCGTCTTCGTCAAACAACTTCTAAAATGTCACAAACTGTGTTGTATATAGAGGACAATTTAGTAAATTTGGTAACGAAGCAACTTCATTTCCAGCCGTTCGAAGAAAATTGTAAGGAAATAAAATAAATAATGAATAAATTAGTGACAAAAGTGACACGACTACAAACCAATACATGCATAAAATAAAAGCAATTACCAAAATTTAAAATTTCGCAAAAAATACAAAAGAACGCTCACTCATACATTATTATTTCTTTCTTCTTCTTTTGTTTCCTTTGCTCTTCGTTTTAATAGTACTTAACCGAATAAAGGCCAAGTACTTTAGTTAGCTGACGCAAAAAATCTCCCAGACCACTGCCGCACTTTTTTAAATTGAAACGCACATTTCTTTTAATCGGGCTACAAATGGGAAAAACATTTAAAATAAAAACGTATTTATTATATATATTAGCAGCCTGCATGATATTCCGGGCTGTTTTAGGAATTCACTTTCTTATTTAGATGTTGAAATGTACTTTTTTATTCGCTTTTCGCGGAAGATTTATTCAACGGCAAGCAGTTTCACTTGAGTTTCCGATGTATTCCGATTTTTTGGTAGTATTATTTAAGATTAGGGATCAATTTGAATAATATCAAATGGATTCTAGCCACCAAGCAACAATTTGTTTTAGATCCTACCACCACACGTTTAGCTTTCTTCAAGGTTAATTTTCACCTTTCCAGACATCCAGAAATTAACAATATGAAATTAAAGTTAAAGCGGAAGCGAACAAGTCTAAATTCGAACAAACAACCATTTTGAAACTCAAACAAATGCAGACATTGCCAAAATTTCGACCCACCAAACGACTTTCCACCCTATAAAATTTTGTTTACTCTTATCACGTGGGTTAGAGTTAGCCTACGCATTTTGCGTGGGGCAGGCGTTTGTTATCGCGTATTCCTCTTTCTCAATGTCTCCGGGCTCAGGGGACAAGGAAAACTTATACGGTCCTATTTTAAAAATACATCTTGATTCGACTTGTGCTTTTCACCTTTCCCATCCAAAGAAAAAAAGCGTAATATGTATTTGCGGCGTGGGACTTTGAGTTAATGCGTATTGCTCCAAAATGGGACGTTTTCCATAACTTTCATAACATACACACAAAGAAAAAGTCACGATAACAACCGGTGGTGGAAATAGAGGGAGATGAAATAAAAATCCATAGGAACTTCCAAAATGCAGAGCCATGTGTGCAGAAACCAAATATTTTAAAATCTGATATTATGATTTTTGGAGCAGTGAAAATACATTTGTCACTGCGAAAATGTCTTCAATTTAATCTGGCCCTTTGGAAAAGCAAAACGAAGAGAGTTTTTCCAAGGCAGTGACAAGTCTTTTATAAGAACAATACCTATCAAACAAAAAGTTTTATGGAAATAAGATTTTCTAAGCATACTTTTTACAAAACTTCTGGATTCCTCCTGTGTCGGTTTTTGCTGAGTCGAACTTGCTGACGTTTCGTCAATCATCCTGTTGGCTTCTTCAGAGCTTGACTGAAATTGAAACGTCAGCAAGTTCGATTCAGCAAAAACCGACGCAGGAGGAATCTATAAGTTTTGTAAAAAGTATTATAGTAGTCTGTGGAAGCTTCTTTGAAAAATTTTTGAAAGATTATTATTTTCTATAAAAGTCTTATGATTTGTTGTCTATTACCTTCTGAACATATCAATAAAAACAAATTATAGCCGTAAAGATAAAAAAATAAAAATATCACTTTTTTAAATGCCCGGTATATGAAACTCGTTTTGTCCTTGATATAGAAGATATTTGGATATAAAGCCAAACTATTTCATGTTTTTGATCATTCGAATAACCAATATTAAAATCAAATAGTGTTTCTGGTAATTCAAATTAGTCGTCGTTACACTACTAATAACTGTCCATAACTGTGATTGCCACCACTAAACCATGTGTTATTTTCGAAGGCAATAATGATGGTGATTACTAAATTCTGCTTTTAATGTTTGGATAATAAATTCAAGTTATTTCAAAAACGGCTAAACCAAATACCGACAAACTATATATTTTTGAATTCATATTGTTGTTGATTCCTGTTTCCATTTGCACGTTCAAAAGATAAGAGAAAAAAAGCCATACAACTTTTAAGTGAAAAATTTGTGCATATCGCCTCTAATAGACTCTATAGGTGTCTTAAAATATAAATAGAAGCCCTGTACAATTGATAGGAAATGACTGACCTGTCTTCCATAATTCAACATTAGAAAAGATAAAACGCAGGTAATAGTTATGCAACAACTGTGGTAAAAGGCATTTAAGTCACAAGTGTACTGAACGAGTGACTTAAAAAGTTTTTTACTCCCTTCTGTAAAAGACCTAATGATACACCGATCTAGCGTGCGGGAAGCGTCACTTTACCACGTGAGTTTCTTATCCCACGGATCCGAAACCCTTCGGGCATTTCCGGGATATTACCACAATCGGATGTTTTCGGATGTTTTCGGAGATTTTACCACACACCTTGAATTTTGACTTTGAATGTAGCCGTGTTGGTTTGCAAAAATGTACACAAAAACTAACGGTCGTAGAAAAGGTATAGTATGCAACAAGGGCGGTAAACGGCATTTGCCTTAAAATTGACGTTGTAAAATGACGCTTTCCGCACGCTAGATCGGTGTATAATTGGATATTTTAGTGAACGGAATCGATCGATCGATCGATAGTCTGTGGCTTCTAGCAATTATAAGTAATTTTTATTGTTCATTTGGTGTAATCCAAGTACTTTTAAAAATTCCTTAAAAATTGAAATAAATAAAATAAACTAAATCTCCCTCTACATAGTTTTTACCATATTGCATGCGAATATTTCGTAAAATAAAAATGTCTAATGCTAGTTATGCTAGGCTAAGTTAAAATTATTAAAATTTTAAATTGAAAATCTCGAACTTTTGCAGTGTTTTCCATGTCATTTTCATTTCAACGGCCCCACGTGTCTGCGCCATTTCATATTTTTCAAACTAGTGTAAGGGCACCGAGTAACAAGTTACAATCCAATTACCACTGGCGTGCGCTACGATTTTGAAACCGCTGTCGTCTGCAACTTTCAATTGTGCTTACCGACATAATATTTTAATTAAATTTACGGCAAAAACCCGTCAGCAACACACTATCGGGAAAGTTTCTCATTAAAATTAAACTATTGTTCTATTTGCGTATAAACCGGTTTTGGTAGACCAAAGTTAAATCTGAAGCGAAAATAGACACCCGCCCTACGAAACGTAAAGAAATACTCAAGCATGAATGGGTGCTTTAAACCCTATAGATTTTTACAGTGGGACAACCTTTACTATATCTCAGATGCAGATATTGAGAACCACCCTTTTTGGGAGAAATTCATTGATGAATCTAGTACTCACCTGGATATTCCCATAACTGCAAGGTACAAGTTACTACGTTACTACATTGCCATAATTCATTGGCGTGCACAATAAGAAATTTAATGAAATTTATTAAGAAATAATGAAAACAAAAACGATTGTTTCATTTTAAATACAATGATAAATGTAGTGATTTTTTTTTAAATAAAGAAAAATGGATATAAAAGTAGGGTTACGTTTATACAAAAAGCCTTTTTAAGATTAAGACAAGCCTCGTTAAAAAAAGTAAATTTCATTGTGCGTGTAAAAACATAATCATCTGGTCAATTAAACGCTGGAGTCTATACCTTTATAGTGAATTTTTCATAATTAAAAACTGTGGTTTTATACTTTCCACACCAGAAAATGTTCAGTGGGAATCGAGATGTAAAGTTGCCCGTGAATAATAATAACTAATTCTTATAATTCAACAACTTTTAATTTATTTTTGCCATTTCATTATATTTTGTAATGAGTTTTGCTGTCGTGTGGGTGTTTTGGTAATGAATATTCATTGCTCTTAGCGTTGCCAGTTCGTTACCATTGTGCCCGGGCGGGTCTGGTACTTAATTAACATTGCCGTAAAGCCGATCGGGTTTCATATATTCGGAGTGAATACTAAAAACATGGAGGGCCAAGTGCGGGTAAACATAATAAAAAAACAAATTGGTCCGATCAAAAATATAGAATCAAACAGATATTATAAGTTATTTTGATGTATCCTTTTCACCCGCTTGATTTGAAATATCTCAAAAAGGTCAAACTTATTGACCATAATTGACAGATATAAACAACCAATAAAGTCCAAAAACAATAAACCTAAAGTAAGAGAGGAGCAGATAAATTTAAACGTGCTCTTTTCGTGGAGTCTGGTTTTATGGTTTTTAATTAAGAAATAACACCTCCATTTATCCTACTCGGCCGAGTTTAAATGGATTTTTTCTAATTCGCAAAATAATGATAATAAAATATGCAAATATAACGTCCACAAACTTGTAAAATAATTCCGATAACTTTAGTAAACTGTTCAGTTTGCTAACAACAATTTCCACCAACAAGAACAAAAACTTTCGGTGTAAACAAAATCTTACGCAGATAAAGCAAGTTTGGGCAGCTCACAAGAACGGGTAATTAATCAACATTCGTCGAGGTTCTGAATAGCTGATCGCGTTTGTTATAAATGGAGATAAATTTGCCGGGAACAATGAAGCAAAAAATATTGGATACCTTCAGGATAATTCAAGATGCGAACACAGTAAGGAATTTTACACAGACCACGTACTTTACGTACCAACTTTAGGTGATTGTCTATTATGTATAATACAGTGCGAGCAAAAGATATTCCTATCGAAAGATAATATCAATAATATTGGTTAAATAAAATATATCTTTCCATGCTTTTTAACCATATGGTGCATTGCATATTCTATTTATGTGTTAATGTTGATTTGAGCTCGTCTTAAATCCGTTAAAATTACACAAAAGTACGTTTTGATAACATTCAAAATTCTGAACCAAATAAAGGTTATAAATAAGTATTCAATAGATAAGATTACTTAGATGATTTTCTTAAACCTGCTTCTACAGGTTCTAACAAAAAGGAGAATTCTCACCTAATCTTTCCCTTCTTTTAATTAGTCTTGGTTAGTTGTCGCTTCTATTTCGAAATATGTTGAAAAAATGAAATTTGATGCGTTTTCTTTTTATTATTAATTAGTGACTAATGATATTTCAGTGATATTTGGTACACTTAATCCTCAGATTTTGTGAATTCTTTATCAAAATAATGATAATCAATATTGGGGCACCTATATTGATCAATAAAAATTATTGAGTACTCCAAAACCGCAAGAAATAGGAGAAAAATGGCAAGAGAAATTTTGCTAAAACTTAATTTTTTCATTAGATGACGTAATAAGTAAATGCTGAACAACCCAGTATTATTTATATTTTCGAATTTATTTTAAATTTATCTAATTAACAAAGTTTACAATGCACACAAAATAAGACCCCCTTCTTAGGCGTACAAAAGATCCCTGGGACAATAAAAAGAAAACGCATCATTTTTTTTCAACACCCTGTGTTTCGAAAACAAAGCAACATTTCAAAAAGTTTTATACCACATGTTCATCTTTAACAAAATATGTCAGAATTCTGCTGTCTCCATCCTTTTCTTAGAGAGGTTAGGTGACACCCTGTATATCGCGAAAGCTGGGAGCTTAACATTTAAGTTATCAGACTTTTAAAGAGTTTCTAACCCGTTTTATACTGAAGGGGATTAAATCAAGGTGCTCCTTAATTTTTGATTCAAAACCAACGGTTTTAGTGCTTAGTAAGCAATTAATTTATTACTTATACTCCTCTCTTATAATTTCATACACGCTTCGAGTTGGCAGAGCTAATTTGTAAACTGTCGCGTGTTATGTTCGCAACATCACTGTGCTATAAATCACCCTTAGGAAAGTGCTATGTGTAAGATAACCCGTTCCTTAAATTATAGATACCTACCATTGGCGTTGACGGCCAGAATTTATTTTCATCGTTCTGTTATAAAGACCGATAAAAATGAAAATAATGCAACATTTGACAAATTAACTTCTGAACAATAAAGTTCTTGTGTCTTGTGCGACCTCGCAATGTTATGTGAGTTTTTCGAAACAGCGATTAACCTTTCCTCAATAATTAATAAACCTGTCTTGATTTGATAAATACAATACCCCATTGAATTCGAGAATTAAGGATTAAATATTAGTAAACAAATAATTAAATGTTACATACTACAATGTAATGTTGAACCACATATTTAAATATTTTTTCCTCGATAAAATTAATAGACAATAATACTTTTTACTGCAAATGCTTATTTTGAATAAAGTATTGGTATTTTCAGGATATCTTTTTAAATTGTGATTTAATGTGCGAGATGATTTTCAGCCACGAAATCTGAGTTCCCTATAAACGTGCGAACTATGTTATAAAATTTCCTTTGTAAAGAAAAACATATATAAAGATAAAACATATATAAGAAAAACATATCGTCATTGACAATAATGACTAAGCTAGCTAGCAAATAAACAAGTTATTATTATTCTAAGTTGCTTATAGGTATCCTTAAATTATTGACAAAGACAACTGTGGTAATAATAACAATTTATATGTAATATTTTGTGAATCGTCACCTCCTTATTAAATGCTGTATTGTAAAGTTAAAAAATATGAAATTGAAAATCCATGAAGGCGTATTCCCGTCGACGCGATTCAGATGGTAAAGGATTACGCATAAGTCGTAAACAATAACCTGATTTTTCGATTCGATTTCGATTAATTCGAAGGAAAAAAATGAGCAGTTAAAGGTTCGCAGCTCCTGTTTGCCACGTTTATTAAGCAAAGGAAATAAAACCACACTTACAACACTGTTTTATTAATCAATGGTATACAAGGGGTACGAGATAAATACATGTCCAAATAATAGGTGCTTCATATACCCAGTAACAATATATTAATAAATGATGAGAAACTTTACGTTAGGATATTATTATCAGCGGTAAGAAGACACTTTGGGACAACTATTATTAGTGAGAAGTTCGATCAATATCCGAATTTACATTATAGAAAGCGAGTAAAACCTAATTATCACAGCTATACACACCCAATTCCTATGTCATTATCACTAATAAATCGTATCCCATATCGCGCTGCAATATTTAATGAATTAAAACAAGATGGCCGTTAAAACTAAACAAAAACCTGAAGAGTATAACTTTGAGTAGTTAACTCGAAACCAAAATTTCATCGGCGAAGTGGTTTCGATAAATTTTAATATTCGCATGAAAAATACGTTTCGACATAAATCGAAATTGGTGAACGTATAATGAATTTTTGCGCGTGCATTCGTTGTGCTTGCAGTGTGGTTCTCGGTCAATGACATTCACAAAATCAATATTTGACCTTTCTAGAGCGAGATATCTTTGTCCGCCCGACGATTTTATCGTCGTTAGAGCTTGAAAATCGAAAAAGTATAACCAAGTAATTGTTGACCAAATGGCGGATCCCCCAAAATATTTTTAAAAGAACCTAAATAAATTTGGTCACATTGGAGTCGAACATGTGACAACTGAGTCTTAGAAACCTTGTCAAAGGTTTAGAAAAAAAGAATTTTGCTTAGTGGACTTTGTGTGGTAGTGTGCAAATGCCAGATAGTAAAAAATCAGTTGCTAGTATTTTTTATTACACAAAAATGTCAAAAAAAGTTTCCTGAAAACGTCTAGCCTAGCCCCAATATATAGTTTATTTCACTGTTTTCAAATCAATCATCACTCTCTCATTAACATATGATGCGCTAAAGAGTCTAAATCGAAAACTAGATTTTGGTAGTCATTTCATCTGCGGTGTATGGAGAATTTTTCGAACATCCCATACCGAGTAACATAATTATCAAAATATGTTAGAAACCACATTTTGAAAAATTAATTTCAAAAATATGTATTCTGTTTTATATTAGGAAGTGAATAAATTCATTAAAATAAGGCACTTAGCTTAACATGTCTCGCAACCAAATGTGAGTTCGTTGTTATTAAATAAGTATGATAAAAATATCCGTTTGATATAAACAGTTCTTGGCCATCTTGTTTTCAAAAATAAGTTCTAGAAAATGGATAACATAATGTCAAAATGGACACCTACATCAGGCTAAATTAATTACAAAATGTCGTCAAACGCCTACATATCTTCATTGAAAGGGTTAAACATCACAAGGTAGGTGAAAAAGTGCCCTTAAATCGGAGTATTTAAAATAGCATCTCGTATTTAAATGTTGCTAATGCCGAAAAAATATCATGGTCAATTACTTGGACTAAATTGACAAAATATGTATGTAAGTAGAAGAAAAACAAATCTTAATCCCAGATACGAAGATCTCTCACTTTTTAAATTAAAAACACAAAGTAAATTTGCGAAGGACGTTTTACGACTATTTAAATTTTCTTGTTGCGTATATTATGGAAGTGGTATTTAGATGACGGTTATTATATTGTCAACCCCCACCCTGATGAATATTAAAGTAATACAATATTTTCCAAGTCCAATGATAGTAAACAAATGGGAAATAAGATATCGACAGGACGTGTAACGTAGGTAATTTAATCCAAAGATTTGGTATTAGGATGGTTGTTGGATAACGAAATTTACCTCTCAAGCAAACTTTATTGCCTGTAAGACGGATTCAGATGAACTTCTGAAGTTGAATAGATATAAATAAAATAATCCTAGCTAGCCACATATAAAACTAATTAACTAAATAATTCAAATGAAAAAAAAATGAAATCTGAAACTACTATCTCCAATGACAAGAGAAAGTCTACAAAATTAAATTGTATTTTTCTTTTACTTATATTGTTGTTCAAATAATTTACAATTGGAAAACACATTTGATGTTGATTGATCTCATTTAAAATTTCATGATCTGGTTTATTGAAAGAAAAACGAAACTGTTAAATTTTTGAAAATTTGTTCCAACGTTTTAAACTGATACTTTATAGAAACTATTTATAATAAGATTCGTAAATTAAAATTTGAACAAGATATATAAAACAGAATACCGTCATTAGAACTATGATACGGTATCAAGACTTACAAGAGTTAGTAGACAAAGAAGGACCTTGTTAGCATCAATAATTGAACTCCACTTCATAGATTGTAGATTTCATTTTGAAATATTGATTTGAAAGTGTATGATGAAAACATTATTTTTCGCTCTTCCTCTATATAAGATATATACGAGGATAAAATAAGAGCCCTTGATTTATGGCGAACGAATTGTTGACGAGCTACATTTGGGACAGATTTTGTTGTCTCATCGAAACAATGCGTAGGAACATGGTGGAATCAAAAGCAAGGTGGTAGAAAACGAAACAGTTACAATGTAGTCTGACGAGTCCTGTAATTGCAAAATTTCCAGTTTACACAACATTTTTTTATCCAACACAACCAAAAGAAATCACTCCTCTCTATTTGATCCCGTTTTATAACGCGGAGGTAATTGAGTTATTTTGTCACCATCGAAGGATGTGACGTTATAATTTCTAAGAAAAACTTCAATCGCAATTTACCAGTCGACTGCAAAGGACCGTTCGATTTATTTAAAATTTCTGATTGTTCTCGACAAAAAAAACCAACGTATTTTGCGAAATTAAAACAGAATTTCTTGGTCTATGCAAACGAAATAAAATAAATAAGTAATAAGAAGTTTTGGATCAGTTTGATTAACACCATTTCGTATCATCTCCGAGAAACTATTCTAAATACCCCCCACTAAATTTATTATATACGATGCAAAACGTCGATCATAATAATTCTACTGGTGTTTCTAATATTAATATAGTGACGTGTTCCTGTGTTTGAGCAATTGTTAATTTGATGCCTCCGTTGCTTATTGGCAAATCATCAGTCTTATTGAATGCAGATTGGGTAAAACCACCTGCAACAAGAGAAACTTTTTAAAGTTAATTAAGTGTGAGTCATTTCAAAAATTGTCACCTTAACTGGCAGTATATGGGATAAAAATGTAAGAAATCTCTAGTATTCAAATAGAACACGAAAAAATAACCTGACAAATTTCTATTCTTTTTTCCTACTCCCCCTTATATACCCAAGAGTGCGCAGCGTCACTTCAAGACGTTAGATGTGTTTTAAAGTAAAGAGTAGAAAGAAATATAGGTAGCTTGAATCTTTGATTGAAAAAAGCTGTTTGTTTAATATTAATATAATTAGAAAAGAAAAGTACAGCATGATACCCAAGAAAATACGATGGAGTATAAAGTATAAAGCTAACAGGCAAAAAACCGAAGCGAATACAAATTAGTAAAAACGGAAATATAGTTGGATAATTAAATCCCTGACTTTTGGATGATCGAAGGCCAACTTTTACAAATCTGCTAAATTCCGCAACTTTTCCAGAGTTTCAGAAGTGAGTGAGAACCCTAAAGTAAAAAAGAAAAAAAACCAGATACTCATTAGGTCGAAAAGTTATGTGAGAAAGATTGCTTTTCATGCCCTTGTCGTTAATTTTCTCCCATCATAAGCCAGCCTCCGTGTTATCAAAAGTTTCACTGTAGATAAAGGCGACATGGGTTGCATGACATGTTTTTCATTCTAACAGGAACGATAAACTACACACGATGTATTTTATTCGACCGATGAGTGGCAATTTAAGTTATAAATGGCAATTTAAAAAGATAAGTAAAACCTGCATTAAAATTTTTTATCTTTGTTAACATTAAAATAGAAATATTTAAAACAAAAAAAAGTTTTCTTTTTTTGCGAGATCGCCGAAAAAAGCAAAAGATCGAAGAAATAGTAAGTTTGGGAAATTTAAAACTTTTTTAGCTATAAAGATCTCAATTACATTCCATAGATATTGAAAGATACAAAAAATTGTAAATATTCAAAATAATAATTTAGAAAAACAAAAAAAAAGGTGACATTAAATATTCGCTCCGCTATGTTCCGTTCCAGTCAAATCAAACTTGTGACTAAAATGGCGCTTATTAAATCTGTTACCTTAAAGTTTTATGTGTTGTTGATTCTTTCGTATTTTTATTTTATTTAGTAATGAAGAGTTGGAATGTTCCTTAATTTATAAGTTAGATAAAAATTATAAAAAAATATTTTGATGGACATAACAATAATATTCTGTCTAAGTTACCAAATTTTCTTATTCTAGTGATACAAATGAGTGCTTTTGAATACCTTACAGATATAATCATACTCATGATCATACTATTACATTTTATCACAATTCCTACAATAGTTAAGAAACAAAGTTGTGATTATTATATTTTTTGCTGTATATACCTTGTCCCATTGTGGTACAGCACCCAGGCCGCGACGCGTTTTTTTCTAATTATGCTGTTAGCTGAAATATTCTTAAATTTAACACCTGAGTGGTTATTCGAGTAAACCTATAATCAAACAAGCAAAAAATATATATACTCTAAAAAAATTGTGCCAACCCTACGTTGGCCTGAACCACATTTTATCATCATTTTGTTATTATTGTAAATATTTGAAGGGGTACGTCATAAACATTTGTTTTTTGAGAATTTCTAAAATAAGATCAAATTTAGGTGGGTAGTACTCACATTGAAAGGGGTTCAATTTGTAAGAATAAATACTGTAATGGTCCTTCAAAGTCGTCTTACTTAATTTCAGACTCGGAGGCTTCCTTTTCCTGATACAATCGCAACAAATCGAGCGCATCCTGGGCTTGTCTTTTTTCACACAGAAATCTTCCAGAAGCCTCCTTTAACTGATCCAGAAATATCTTGTCCGGATACGTCAGATCCGCAAGGGATTCCGGATCCATATCGCTTAACAGTTCCAGTTCTTCGCCTCCAAGTAACGATAAATGACAAAGATTGGTTTTCAGCCGACCAACTAGACCGGCCAATTCTCCGCCCTTACCATCATCCACTTGATCTCTGTTAAACTCGCATCGAGGATACGACGGAAGCCACTTTTGGCCGTTAGTTAAAATCATAAGACTGGTATTAGGCTCTAAAGTCGCAAAATATTCTTCGTCGTCTATTTCTGTGCCGTCTGCTTCAAGAACGACCAAGATATTATCGCCGCTTATGGTTTCTAACTTTTCACGAACTTTTGAGGTTAAATCCTCTAACGAAGTTGCGACAACACCTTTCCGTGTTTCCCGTAAATTATCCGTTATTTTAAAGGGTTTTCCGCCCAAACTGCTATCAGATTCCATAACAGTGAACAACAACGTGATAAATTAGTTTTGAAAATATTGAATGTATACGCGAAAACGTAAACAAATTTCAATTAGCCGCAACTACACCCACCAAACACAGCGCCTAGCGGCTTCTGACGAAAGATAAGAACCGTAATTCCTTGCAGCCAGACGAAGGGTTATTGGAAGGTTACCGCCCTCGGTCTAAAATGTACTGCAGAGCGCATGTCGAACGAAAGATCAATCCCGCCCACAAAAATGTCTTTTGATTTTACTTGATGCGCGTTATAGGACATTCACAATAAAAATTTAGTACCCACCACTAGCATCACTAATAATAAACTAATATCATAGAACTACGATTGACTAATGCTACCCACCAACTATATCGCAAAGACTTCATGGAAGCGCCCGTTGATTATAGCTAATGTTAGCTAAAACTAACCAAGGGCGGTAAACAAATCAAAATAGTTACTAATATTAATATTAATTATTAATATCGATTTGAAGCCAGTTACATTGTTTTGAAATATAAATTGAACTTTCTATTTAAATTTATCTTCCAATACCATAAATCGTAGCAAACAACAGTATTGCCAACCACATGACTTTTCGCGCTAAACTAGAGGCAGTTAATCGCCTATTTGACTATCCTCTTTGGTTTACCGTCCGTCGAAAAACGAAAGTATTGATAATTTATTTATATTGATTTTGAAAATGTATGCACTACAGAATTCGCATGATGGTAGAATGAGAACGGAACTTTGTCATTTACTAAGCGGGAGATTTTGAGGTTACATTGAGATATTTGTTGTCTTAGAAGATTTCAACAAATTTGGAGTCCAGCTTCATAAACTATTGAATATCTTTGAAAAGGAGAAACTTTTATTACAAGGATGAGTTTTCATTCATCCAATCCCGTTCTGGTGAGAAACAACAAACCCATCGTATTTAGTTATTTACAATTGTACAAGGCTGAACAAACCTATTCTCTTTCCAATGACTTTGTTACAATTCTTTTTTTCCCACAGATCACATCTTATAACTGATGGTAGTCTTTATTATGATTTCAAATGCTTTCTCCTGGGGGGAAAAAGAATTTCCCAGGTTTCTTTAATGGCAGGCAGGCATCATGTGTTGCCAGGATTTAAGTTATCAATCACTCTGCAAAATGGCCGAATGATTTTAGTACTTTGTCCATGAAATCCAAAGATGTTCTGTGTTATTTTATCTGTGTAAATTTAACGACTGGGTTATATTTGAAATTTTAAAATAATTGACGAGATTCTAATTTAACAAATTTTAAACAAAACCACACATTTTTTAAACTATGGAGCAGGGCCAAAATGCAGATAACGATTGGGAAGCCAGTACGAGTGACGATAGAAACAGAAAAAGATCTTCAATACTTAAAGTAACAAAACGAAAGTCTGGTGAGTTGGACACGACAGACTTCACTGTCCAATTAACACGACGAGTAAGCTTTGCGAGTAACAATTTTGTAAAACCTTTTGCGGCGGATCCCGAAAAAAACACTATATGGGATAATACATATGAAGAAGCATTACCTCAGTCTGACTCTGAGCATACTGGTATGAATGATATGAAGAAAGCAATCAATTTTGACCTACAGACTAGTGATATGGAATTAACTTGTGCCTATAGTAACCTTTACCATACTAAAATGACTAGATTTAATAAAACAATCATGTTCGACAAACAAGGTGAAGATATGGAATTAACTTGTAACTATAGCAAAGTACTAATCCAAGAAAAAGAAAATATTTGCTTACAAGAATTGATGCAAGCCCAGGAGAAAGATAGAACTTTACACATTCATGATCCTAAAAGTTACTTTTGTCAAACCATTCATCAAACTATGGACATGGCTCTAACTCTGGAAAATGATTCCAAAAATGAATTGATGTTCCAGCCCCGTGTACAAGATGAAGAAATCACAGGTTGTCACTCACCCAAGAATGATAGTGATGATAATATAGCAAACATCCCACACAATCTTTCTATTGTGCCAGCCGCAGGCATCATGTGTTGTCAATCAATTAAGAAGGAAGAAGTACAGGTTTCCTTAAATGACAGTCACCAATGCACGCATGATTCTAAAACTAATTTTTATACAACTCTCAACATCAATCTAACTCCACAAACAGAAAATGAAGTCGGGCCAGTTACAGCAAACTACACTAAACAAATCAAAAATGATTTGAAGTGTCAGCAATCATATGCCATTTACATGGATGATAATATTGGAAATAATCCACCAAGTCAAACTACAAATGAGCCAGTGACAGTTACTTTAAACAATATGAAACATACCGAAAATCAATTTATGAAGTTTCAGACATCAAATTGTGCTCTCGAAGGTGGCAATATTATAGAAAACAATCCAAATTTGTTTGTGCAAGACATCAGTTCCTTTAGTCCAACAACAGAGAATGAAGCAGTTGCAGTGGCCAACAACACCAAAAGCAAATTGCTTAATAAACAACCATGTATAGCTACCATGGCTGCTAATGTCAAGGAAGTTTCCCATGACTTTGGTAAATATAATTTTTATGAGTACTTAAAGTATATCAAATCTTGTTTTAGTAGAAAAAAAAAACCAATATTTATATTGGAATTTTTATCTTTTTAGATGAATATGTTATATTTCGTCAGAACAGTGAATCTAGTTCCCATAAACTCTTAATCGAAGAAGAATGTCCACTAGTAGACAGTCCAAATATAAGTGATAATGCACAACTTGATATTGACAATTTTGTGGAACAACCCGTTGGTAATCCAATTTCTCGCGTCATTTATTCAGAAGCAGCAATAAAACCGACAACTCCCATAGCAGACAATACACAGGACTTTGAATTTTCACATTCAGTCCATTCAACCACTGTTGACACTACCCAAACTCTGATGGCGCAAATTAAGTTATTAGAGAATGAACCTCCATCAAACATGAGCATACGTTTGGTTACCACAGAGCTCGATGAAAATATTCATAAAAATCCTTTTTTGGATATCATTAAAGATAAACTTGTAAAATTTGAATTCACTCCTATTGACTATATGAAACATGAAAGAGAGCTTGCGGCGATTCAAATTCTTTGCAAGGAAATCACATCTAGACAAAAGAGTATAAAGCATCCTAGAGTTGAAACCATAAGTGATATCTTAACAGATTTCTTAAAAAACGACTCTACTTTAAGCAGTACGGAATCATTTGTTCCAAAAGTCAATAAAAAAAAACGCCTGAATTCGTCAATGGTGAGGGAGAAAATTTCAGAAATTTCATCAAAAACTCTACAATCTATTCAATTAAAGGGCTGGCAGAAAAATGTCCTGAATTTCTCTATGTTCCATAGAGCGTGTTATATGATTGTTCAAATCGACTCGGAAAGTTTTGAAGTGTTAAATATAAAAACGTTTAATTGTTTAAAAGAAAATCCTAACTCCCTCACAGAGTTCTTAACAAAATTATCGCAAAATAATTTACATTCCTTTTTGGGTCCCCATTTTGATCTAGTGTCACTTTTGGATTATGTGTACATGACATTGGAAGCAAATGATCATTAGTTGATTATCGACATTTTAAGACGTATTCACTTTGTAAATAAGTACGTTGAATTATTTTATATTTTATTTGATATTTTTTAATAAAATATTTTCCTAATAAAAAAAAAATAAATTATAAAAAAATCTTTAAGACTTTTCATTATAAATGCCCCTAAACCATTTTTAAGTTTATTTTCTACTAGGTAGTGTGACTTTCAAACCTCAGCGTTATTAAAGTTTAAGGGGCTGGACCACTTCTTAATTCATCTCTACAATTGACCACTTCTTAAGTTGAATTGAAATCAATCAAAATGTTTTTCATAACAATTGCACAGCCGCTATCCATCATTATTTAATATATATTTTTAAATTTTTGCATTTGCAATGTCTAATTTACCTACAACCAATCATCTTCCTTAGTTAAGGATCCGTGGATTTTTTCGGTAAATATTTAAAACGCCCGTGGTATTTTGAGATTCGCCACTTCTGATATTCGTACTGATTGTGCCGTATCGTGTTTCGGTTGTAGAAAAAGTGTAGTATGCAACGTTTACATAAAGTGACGTTTATAAAACTTGTTGCATAATACTATATAGTATATTATACAACGTTTATAACGAGCACTATAATCACAAATTTGTGAAAAGTGGACCGAAGTTTGTTTATGGGTGTATAAAAACAAAAATAACTTACAAAAAAACGACTGTTTCTTTATGAAAAAAAATTGACCAAAATTTTCAAAAAAATATCTTACGAATACCGAGTCTACAATAACCTTTCCCCAGAGCTATAACAATTTTTTTCTCCCACAAAACTTTTATCATTTAGACGAATATTTTACATATTAATGTTTGTTATCACTGTATTGTTGTGCTTCGTCATATTTTTATTGTATGAATTTTTAATGTAGTTTTCTGCCTCATTTGCGGGATCTATATTATATATCTACTTTTGACCTACTTGACGAAATCCATAATACCCTAAATATGTGGGATAAGATATTATTATTATTAACCTATTCCATACTTTTTCTATGAACATTAGTTTTGTACAAATTTTTGCAAAACACCACCAAAACTAAAAAACGTCAAAATAATATCCCTCCCAACCACTGACTGACGTTCGAATTAACAGTTCGCCCACGCCCGATTGCCTAATTGACTATTTTAGAATAGTGGGAGAAAATATACCATTTTCCTAAGGCATTTGATCGTTTTACATAAAATAGCACCAAAGTTTTTTCACAAAAATTTTAATATTTTATTGAAATGAGTATTTGAAAAAATACGCATTTTATGAGGATACGCAGCATCTTGATCTGTAACTACAGTACTAACAGGAAGCTGAGATGAGCTTTAATAAAGTGGGTACAAAATAACATGAAGGCAGATTTGGTATAATTCTTTATTTCAACATTCAAACCCAATAGTACCAACAAAATAACACAAACACGCCATCTCGACTGCAAATACATCATCCCAGGCATAAGAATTTATTAGAAACAATTAACATATTGCCAAATATGTGACTTTTGTTCATGTTATTTATTTGTTAGTGTGTTCTTATAACCAAAAATACAACTGAATTAATCTAGTAATTTTATTTTTTATGTAATAGTAATTCCATTTCAATTTGTTATTCACTTCCACTTACCTCTAAATGATTTTTATTGCTGAATTACATTCTGAACACCTATATCAAATAAGTCAGAGAGAAACAAATGAGAATTAGCAATCATCAATGATATACCTTGCTAACTATTCAGGAGCTCAAAAGCTCGTACCTCCATATTTTCCGTTGACGTCTGTCATCAAGTAGACCATTTTTTGTTCAATCTTGAATCGTCGACTTTACTTACATTTTTCCAGTTCCTTTAAGCGTCAAATACGCGGTAATGTCCATAATCTGTTACGAAAAATTAAAGTTAACATACAAGCAATAACATTGTTATTATTTTTTATTGTAAATAAATTCCCGCAATACCCCCTAAAGATTTAAGTAGTTTTTACTTATGAACTTATCACCAAAATCCAGATTTAACGACTACGACCAATATAATACCACACATACATTATTATTATATTATCATTAAGTTTGCATAAGTAGCTAAAAAATATTTTTTCATCTCACAAGAAATAAACTTCGCATATTCCTTCTCATAGAAGCACTCTAAAATATATCAAACAAGTTAAAGTATCTGTTATTTATAGCCGATAAACGAAAATTTCTAAAATATTTGCAATACGAAAGAATAAAACTTTGGTCGACAAAAAATGAAAACTATAAATTTATGTTGAAGCTTCTTCACCCCTTAATAACAACTAGTAGTGTGACTTTATAAAATAAAAAGTGTATTTTTTATTAACTCTTCTGTAACTGCTTGTAGCACACACCTACGAAGTTCTGCATAAATATCATGTCAATCATATTGCAATTGATCTTCAAAGCAATTTGCTATCAGCAACTTTTTAGGAACAGTATTTTATATTTATTTTTATTATAAGAACATATAAAAATTAATTTATACAAATAAGGCAACTGCTAAAAAATGTTTCGCATTTAAAATTATTAAGCAAAATTTTTAGTTAATAATAGTCATTCACTGACTAAGACATTCCCACACTTGAATGGTGCATGAATTTATGAAGAATTTGTAAAAGCATAAAACAAGCAATTCAGAATATACTATTATATTTTATTGTAAGATCATCACAAAGTGTGCAAAAAAAAAACAAAAAAAATGTGTAAATATTTTCTCTACCTAACCCAGGTTAAGTTTCCATAAGGTGGTCACTGGATATTGCAAAATAAAACCTAATATGGAAAAATATCCCTGAACGCATAACAATCGCAAAAGATGACCCTAACCTGAGCCAAATAGTTGAAATTGTGTATGATAAGCTAGCCTAACACAATGACATATAAATTATAACTATACATACCTATTGAAAATACTTGAACAGCCTAACATATCACCAAATCATCGTTAATCCCTATTCTTTATTTTCGCTAACAACTTCCTGATTGCCTGCTCAAACTAGTTTGATCCTGGCCTATGTACTTAGGTATTAAATGTAAGATCCTTTCAAATACCCTCAGCTGATAGACTATAAAAATGCTACTGTCCAATTTCTTCAATTCTTCAGACTTCTTCAGATAAATAGTCCAGTAGAAAAAAAACTAAGCATGTAACAATTCCAAGTGTTATGAATTGTTTTCAGACCCTGCATATTCAAACGAATATTTTATTTTATTTAAAAAAATATATATATATCGGAAGGTGATTTTGTTAGCAGACTAGGTACTTAATGCACCGAATCAATACAATTATATATTTTAAGGGATACACTCACCCCAAAATAAAATGGCATACATGATTTGTTCTACTGAAATATAACTATTTGTTAATTTCATAAAAGCAGTTAAATTGTAGTAAGGAAGTATGTGATGTTATTTTCTGCAAATTCTTTTGAAGATCTAGTTTGAAAGATCAAATGCGAATTTTACCAAAATTTAGTGAATTTTTTGGTAAAACTACATTTATATTAAAAATGCGACATATGCAATATTTTTGTCTGGTTTGATAGCAATGAGTATGAGGGTATATTTTAAAGAAATGGATGTGTAGGTGTAATAGAATGGTATTAAATCTTTCCTGCCAAAAAAATTAAGTCATGCAAACATATATTTGCGTGCCCTTTACTAGATTTTTAAATCCACGAAATTTTACAATATTTATATTTAAATATATTTTATGGGAAGTTTGAATACTTGGAAAGTTCCTAGTTAGTGAAAGCATATAAATTTTTCTTTTTGCAACGATATTTGATTTGCACAAGTACAATCCCATGTATAAAAAAAAAATCACCGAATGGCTTGTCATATTACCCTATAGACTAAAGCCTATAACAAATATGGAAAACACACAATTTGATTTGAAGTTTAATAGATTCAAGTGTTATTACAAAATTATATTACATTAGCATTAGCCTAATCCTAGCCTAAAATACTCCCTTATATGTAAATACCAATTTCTCATAAAATAAAAAAAAAATTCAGATTGGCAGCGATTTGCCAACACTGGAAAAAACTTTACCTAAACTAATGCACACTGTCCTACACAAAATTTTGAATTAGTAATTTGCCAAGTTAATAAATAGGTACATATTATTTACTGCATAGTACTCACACAAGTGTCAAAATTTTTATTTCAAAATTAATAGCAGTTTCTTTCTTATCCACAGATTTTCACATACCTAGTTCAAAGTGAAACAATAACTTAAAAATGTGTTACTCGATGAATTAATTTCTCAAATATACAACTTAAATGTGTGTATGATGTCTATGAAAACCCAGGAATAATGGTATATTTAAAGACTACAAAAAAGCCTTTCGGGAAAAAGCACACAATTCTTAAGTTAAATGTTTATAAAATATTATTAATGTTCTAAATTTTCAGTTCTGTCCAATTGTTATATATAATTTGTTGATAAAAATTCTCACAATGAATTAAAACCTTCTTGCTGTAAAACTCCCTAGTTGCTACACTTACATGTTCCACCAAATTAGAATCGCCTCATTCCACCTCCCATGTTGGAACCTTGATTATTATAGCCGCCCCCACCATAGCCTCCAGAATCTAAATGATATTTTTTGTTAACTTTAATATAAAACAAAATTGTAATTATCTAATATTATCTAATTTTAAGATTGGCATGGAAAAGCCAAACTTGATATTTTGAAAGTTGAAATATTTTTAAAAATTCCATATTTATTCAAATAACAAAAGATTAATTGAAAGAACATCATTTAATATTTTATACTCACTGTATGGTGATGGTCTCTGCTGTTGATAGTTATTTCTTACAGCTCCACCTCCATACCCCTGTTGATAGTTATTTCCAAAATTTCCCTGTGGTGGACCTCCACCAGTGGGACCGCCCCAGTTGCCTGTACAAACATATTGCGGTTACCTTCAATTTTTTGTTTTGTATTATATGAATATTGTTTTAAGTCACTCAAAACAAACAAACAAGCAAAGAATAAAACATTTACTTACTTGCATTATATCCCCCCTGGGGATTATTCCAGACACCTTGTTGCTCCCAAGGTCCTTGTTGTGATCCCCATGGCCCTTGGTTAAAATTGCCTTGGTTGCCCATTCCCCAATCTCCACCACCTTGAGGCCCTCCACGCTGCCCCCAACTACCTCCTCCAAAGCCTTGATTTGGTCCTGAACCTCTTGGACCCCCTCTACCACCTGGGGGCCCACGGGGACCACTGGAACCAGCTCTTTCCATATCTTGTTTGCTCAATGCCTTCTTGACATCGACATGTTTTCCTTTTATGCTATGACTTCTCTGCACTACATGCAAAAGAAAAAAATGTGAGAATTTGAATATGAACATTTTTTCATTGCTTACAAACAATTTTGTCTACAGAGTCATAGTCTTCAAACTCTATAAAAGCAAAACCTCTTTTTTTGCCAGTCTCTTTATCAGTCACAATTGTACAAGATAGAATGGTCCCATATTGCTTGAAATGGTCTTTTAGGTCATCTTCCTCAATTTCTTCTTTCAAACCTCCTACAAATAGTTTCTTCACAGTGGCACCTGCTTCAGGTCTACCAATGTCTTGTCTTGGGACTGCCCTTTTGGGCTCAACTACTCGGCCATCAACTCTATTCAGGAAATAATAAGTAATAAATTTTATTAAAAAGCTGAAGTTATACATCTTCTGCAGATCTAAAAGATGAAAATTTATCACTTGAACAATACCTGTGAGGTCTAGCAGCTTGGGCGTCATCAACCATATGAGCTTTAGAATAGGTGATAAAACCAAAACCCCGACTTCTTTTGGTAGTGGGATCTTTCATTACAACAACATCAACAATTTCACCCCATTCTTCAAAATGAGATTTCAGTGACTCGTCTGATGTTCGGAAGTCAAGACCACCAATAAAAAGTTTACGAAATTGTTCTGGTTCCAATTTGTCATTCTGAAATGACAAAACAGCATAATGGTATAAACTATTATACAAACAGTAAACAGATAAACGAAAAAATATATAATTTCCAGTTACACTATAAAATAAACGCCTATTTGGTGACTTAGCGACTATTATAACAAATTGAAAGGATGGATATTGATTTTGAAATAACAACTGGCTTGCGTGGCATTTACCTAACAGAAAATGTCGAAACAATAAAGATTAAGAATGGGAACTACGTTCTAAAGTAATACATATGTACTTACACTGTCTGGGTCTCGTTTCATTATAAAGAAATATTTTTATTTTATTTAGGAACTTCTCAATGTTTTCTTATAGCAAATTCGAAAAACACCCAAATGCTAACACCAGCTAACTGAAGTCACAAAATGGCCGCTCATTCCATTGAAAGTCAGGTGTTTTAAAAATGGTCAGTTGTGCACATCATTTTCAATTTTTCCCTTACGCAGGGCACTAAGAAATAATACCAACCAACCGTGTACAAACAAGGATATCTAATTCTTTATTTACAGTATTTTCTAGTTCTAATTATTAGTCATTAGTCAATAAGTCGCACGGGTGAACTGGGAAATAATAATTGCCGCTTTAAGACAATGCGATCACCTCGCCAAATATAAAAGAAAAAAGGTTCAATACGGAAGGCAAATTTTTGTTTCAAGACAATGTAACTAATGAATCTTTGAATTGATTGGAGCGTATTACGACCCACGCATTCTTAGCCCCTGCATTGTCCCAGAGTGGCGAACGCAGCGCTTATCAGTAAGTTATACTTATAAAAGTTCTTGGTTAATAAGATTATGTTCAAAAATGGTATTTAAAAAATCAAAAGAAAAAGAATTGTATGTTGACAATATTATAATTTTCCAGCTTAACAATAACTGTTAGGAGAGGAATCACATATTAAATAACGCGACCTATTAAAAATTGGAGTTGAGTACAAATTTTATACTGAACCTTCCTAATATTACCGAGACTCATACGCACTAACTACACCAAATCTTAAAACAATAGGAATCTTTTTTGTCTATTATTGACCGCACTATGAAACTGCAAAAGATTTCTATCTACAATGTAAAGAAGAAGAAGTGATCCATTCAGGGTCTCTGAATATACGTATTTTCTATGGCATTGACCAATTAAATTTATGGCATTTTATACGCAGAAGTGTGTTTATTTTTCGAGTGATTGATAGCTATTGATAGGTATTCTTTATAATAATTATATGATCTATATGGTATTTGCTTTAAATATGAAGTGAGTCCATCATTTCGATAATTAGCTTCATTTCTACATAGAGGTCCAATTTAGCAGTGAGTAATATATTATTCCAAATTAACATTTAAATTGAATGTTTAATATTTTCCAGAGCAGAAAAATCTTCGTATGCTTCATTTGGCAGACTTGGAACGTAATGTGCGTGTTGTGTGCGTGAAACGTTTTTGGGTTCTATTTAGACTTTTTAGCAGTTTATTTTAAACTTAAACACTAAAGTGATTAAGCAATGCCTGCTGCTAAACAACGAAAAATCGCGGTGATGGGTTACAGATCCGTGGGTAAATCGTCTCTGAGCATTCAGTTTATCGAAGGACAGTTTGTAGATTCATATGATCCAACTATTGAAAATACTTTTACCAAAACAGTAAGAGTAAATTCACAAGAATATGAGGTGAAGCTCTTAGACACTGCAGGCTTGGATGAATACTCAATATTTCCCTCACAATATAGTATAGATGTTCACGGTTATGTTTTAGTCTATAGCATCAACAGCATCAAATCATTCAATGTAGTAAAGTCAATTTATGATAAATTAATTGATATAACAGGCAAACTGCATGTACCAGTAGTTTTAGTGGGTAATAAGACCGACTTGCATCTAGAAAGGCAAGTGTCTTCTAGTGAAGGCAAAAAGCTTGCTGAAGAATGGAACGCTATCTTCTTAGAGACATCAGCAAAAGAAAATCTTGCAGTGTCTGATGTTTTCCATTTGCTTTTAGTGGAAATTGAGAAAGCAAATGGAAATGCCGATGATAAGTCGAATTGTTCTGTATGTTAGTGCAAGAATTTATATTTATATAGGGAATTTATATTTTATTGTGATTTTTGATGAGTGCAATGTGTTTCCCATAAGATATTTAACCTCCCATTACAAAATGTGTAAACAATGCCACCATTTGCATTACAAATTTTCAATCACATTCCCAACATTAACAGCAAAACATCCAGCAAAAGAGGCTTAAACATTATCTTATATTTGAAGGGGCTTTTATCTGTGAGATAATATAAATAGCTATGAATTGTAAATGAACATTATGTACAGGGAATATGTATATAGGTAAATTAGTAATTGTTGAAGTCATGTAATAGGCCTAACATTTTCTATGGTTTCTTCTACTTGTTGTAAGTTGTATAATTGTAGTGTGTGCCTCAATATATTTTTTATTAAATATTGGCTTATAAGAATGAAAATATAAATTTGTAGACAAGCTGTGGCAAAATATTAGACCACCCTTGTCTTTGAATATTGAAAATGTTATCATGACATACATCTCCCTTAAGAATTATATTCAGGAGTCTGTTTTTTTTTTTTGAAAATATGTAATACAATTAAATGTAACAAATTATACTAATATTTAACTCATGAAAAATGATCACCAATTCCTTTTGTTAGTGGGGATGGGGTATATTGGGTTTTAAAGAGTAGGGTTACCTTAGTATTGGCCTTTAAAAAATTGAAAAAAAAAAATACTAAAAAAGGTTTTCAACTCCAAATCGCTTCATAAGGCGGCTTCTTTGCAGACAGCATTCTCAGGAAAAACAATTTTTTAAGGTGTTTTGCATGTCTATGGGGAGTTTAGTATGTTATATCACTTTGTTAGGACAATAATAGATATATTTTATTTCATCACAAACTTCACAATAATTGTTAGGTGTATTGTTACTTATTTTTAATTTCTATCGTTTATGTTTATTGTGTTAATGCTACATTTTAATATATTTTTTGATATGGTAAAACATTAGTTTGCCATTATCGTCATATATTTTTTTCCAAATAAAGATTTCTTTTTTAATGAACAATAACTGGAAAATAAAATGCAAATCCGGAAGCACGCATGATTACTGACAAAATGTCCTGCAGTCGCAATTGTTGTAAAACTAAAAATGCAAAAATTATTTCTGTGTATATTTATTAATTTTAATAAAATAATTAGACTAATGAGTTTTTTATTTAATTAATATCAGTTATCGCTGAAACTATGACTTAATAATTTTACAATTTATAGCACGAATTGTGGACCGTCTTTCTAAATGAGGCATTTAAAATTTTTGAAAAATTTTATGTAATAAATACACGTGTGAACTGAAGGTTGCCCAATTTGTTGCTAAATACCTGAATGTTCGTTTATATTCCTCAGAAAGTAACGTTCATTTTATTATTAATCTCATCAATAAATTAATACAATTTAATATTGTTTCTGAAGGCATATAAATAACGATAAATAAATGTATTTTTATTTTGATAATTTAACTGAACTCGGATATGCGGTCGTTGTCAAGGTACTTCTCATGACTTGTTAATTACATTGAAGAAGTACGCAGTAAGATACGGAGAGTCAGAAAAATAGCCGCAAGTTTGTATAACGTTCGACAACTGGTCGATATTTTAAAATTTAAATAATTTGTAATTTTTTATGCAGTTCAAACCGACAGTAGTATGTTACAGCGCCACGAGTCAATTTTTCATCGGGTTGTAATTCGACTTGAATCAGGTCGGTAGAATGAAGATTGAATTTATTTTTCGAGATTTAAAATCTCGACCTTACGGCATCCAATAACCAAAACGTCCGCTGACAAATTGGCAATAATTTTGGGTGTGGCACTTTTACATCAGTATTTTCTCGAAATATGTCCAAATCCAATTAAATCTTCAGGCAAAAATAAGTTAAGTGTGTGGAAATCGCTGTGCAGGTTGACATGCTGAGGTATGGTATGGCCATTTTATTATCTAAACTGTATGTCTAAGGACAAAAATGCTCCTACTTTTGCGAAGAAATGGCAACTTCGCATGTCAAAGAATATTTTACATAAACGTATAATCTGCGATATATATATATATATATATATATATATATATATATATATATATATATAGATATATATATATATATATATATATATATATATATATATATAAAGTTTCTCCTATCCTAATTATTGTAGATATCGTTTATTAGTATCGTTTAGAGTAACTAAGTTAATAAACGCGCTGTAATGTTTTAACTTGGGGAAAATATTCGCGCTTTGCTTCCTTCCCCATCTCTCGCCCCTTCCCCCTTAAATCGCGCTGAGAAAGATTATGTAATTTTTGGTACATCCTGTATGCTTCCAAACAACGTCGAACGAATGCAAGAGAGTTACCGCAAATATGGTATTTCCATTGTTCCGAATAAATTATTTCGTTTTATCACGTTAACGCGTGAGCTGTAAAATTGAACATTCGATTACAAGTATCAGCAAACTAAAATTCGAACTTTTTGGTGGAAATGTCGCTCGGAGCGGTCATAAAAATCTGTCGAGCGGCAGTTTCCCGGGGGGCCACTGGTCGGTCATTCGCGTGTCCGTAGAGGATTGCAATCTTTGAGGAGCAAGCGATAGTGCAGTCTCCGTAATCCCAACTCGGTGTGCGTGTTATAGATCTCACCTTCAATCGTTAAACTCGTTGCTTCCTCATCCTTCGGCATTCAGATTCTACACAAGTAAGCAGTAAAAAATTTACTTGAACTTTTACTTATATTGTTAGGATGTTCTAGTGGCTAAACCAATAAAACACTGCAATTGATTTATAAAGAAATAGAAAGTATAGAATGGTTTATAAAATTTGAGAGTAGGTCAGCCGATGTGATATGCGTTTGACATACCTGCCTGCCTACAAAACTGATTCTTTTATTTTTTAAACTTCATTTAACGTTGCCCTTATATTTAAGTTATCGCACAGATTAAGTGGTGGTGTATGTACAATACTATGGTGAGGACTGAAACTCTAACATTAAAATACTTTTATTAGATTAAAAATATTCACTCAATATATAAATAAAAATAATAATGTACCTATGTTAGTTTTATTGCTAGTTGTAAGAACCATCAAAATAAAATTAATATACCTATACTAAATAGTAGGTACCTACTTTTTTCAATGATCCACATTCGACGTTATATGTCCATATATATTCCATAGGTACAACCGCTTTGGTCAACTGAACGACCTGAGTAAGACACAAAATTGAGTGCCTAAACTTTCAAGGCAATACTACTGAAAAATTTAAATTATTCTTAACACTATGTAAACCTGCTTTATAAATCAAGTACATAATGGCCAAATAATGATCGGGTTAAGTAATCTCATGAAACAATGGACAAGGCTATGACCACTATACGAACAATTTCAATTCAATGGAATTAATTAATTAAAAAATTATGGCATTTGGTAACGCTTTTCATCCAATCAATATGTTGCCGTTGGTTGCGGGAATTATTGATACGATAACCCTTAACATCGTCTTTTCTAAAGCCAAACTGCGTTAGATTAAATGACCTAAAGTTTCCTTTTAATGCATGCGCGTTTCGGCTCGACATTCCAATACGAACGAATAATTTTATTGGTATAATGTATGTTATATATACCGGGTGATAGAAGAAGGCGGGCACACTCTGTAACTTTTAAACGGTTTGAGATAGCGATTTGAAATTTGGAAGAGTTTAATTTAAAAAAGCTGAATGTTCAATTTTTTAATAATATGTAGTTAATGGTTGCACAACTTATATTTTTTACATGTTTGGATTCAGGATGGGGCGGTTTTTCTCTTTTTTTTTTGTTTTTTAAAATTTCTATTTAATTTTTACTTATCTTTACTTGTCTAATGGCAAATAGCGTTTAATGTAATGAACTATTTTTTTTTTCAAATAGCACCCTAGTGGGAATAAAAATTTTTTAAAAGATGTATTTTTCTTGCACCATTTTGACACAAAAATCAATTTAATTGACTGGACCCTGTGTTGAGATTAGTTTATTCCCATAAACATCACGTAGATGTTCAAAGGCATCTCTAAAATTATGGGGAGGCGCGACATCATCCTGAAAATACATATTTAATGTCACGGCAAGAATTAAATCATCTAACGAGTCTTCAATTTAATTTCTTAGGGATTTTAAATATCGTGCAGCAGTTGGGAATCGTTACTCATCATCATCATCATCATTTTTGTTGACGTATCCCACAACATTGATTTCCATTTCTTCACTTATAATTAGATAAAAATGTACAAACAGTCAGAATTTTCAATCATGACGACTTGATGATGAATAGAAGCAAAGCCACCTAAGTAATGTTTTGTTATTATAAAAATGTATTTCCTTATCTGGTTTTGTCCTTCCTGTGAGATTATTTTTTAACGGTTTCTGAAAATGTTGGTGTTAAAATGTTGTAAAAAAGTACCGGTTTTAAAAAGTTTTTGTTTTCACTAGGGTGCTATTTGAAAAAACTAGGTTATCCTAAAAAATTAATAGTTCATTAAATTAAATGCTCTTTTCCATTAGACAAATAAAGAAAAATTTCATTTACAATTTTTTACATGATCAAGTGACCCGTTCAACAGTATTTATTATGGGCGTAGCCTTCTAGACACAGTTTTCAAAATTAAATAAAAATTTTAGAAAACAAAAATGTAAAAAAATATAGGTTGCGCCATTTAAAATTCCAAAGTTACTGTCGTTTACGTTCAAACCGGAAGTGCAACCATTGTTAAAAAATTGTACATTCAGCCTATATTCACCCTTCCAAATTTCAAACCGTTATCTGAAGTTTAGAAGTTACACTTTCTTGTGTCATCCGGTATACATAATTGGAACTGAAAGAAAAATATTTAGCTCTAGAACAAAACACAAATCTGCAGACAATTCTTTAATTTCTGTGTTGTCCGATTTAATATGTATATTTTTACAATTTTGCTATATACTAATTAGTTTTTGTTAGGTCGTCCAAAAAAATACTTTTTAATTGTCCTTATTTAAAGAGAATTTCATCTTATCCATTTAATTTACTATCTCTCTGGGAAAGTAAGCTACGTACCTAAATAATTACCAGGTACTCTCACAATAAATAAAAATAAAACTGGACAATTTCTCCGTATGTAGACAACAATTAGGTATACCAATTCTGTATAATCTCAAATATGCGTGCTTTTATTGTTAATTAATGAAGAACTCTATCCGATTGTAGGATTTCTTAAGAATCAGTGTTGTGATGATTAATTTATATTCAGATTAGAACCCCTTTTTGTTTCCAATTGCGATTGCAATCTTAATTTTTGTTAACCAATATTTAAATGTGCGATCCAAAATATTAGATATGTATATTATTCTTTGTATTATGTATATTAATAACAACAAATATATTAAATATTTTATTACTGGTAGTTGCTTAGTCTATTTTGCCTATTTTGCAAACATGGGTGACGTTAACATCAACAGGCCGAAAATCGTGAAGTCTAAATGTAAACTTTTTGATTTTTGATCCGATCGAAGTACCTTGTCGTATCAAATAAAATATTACTAACTAAACTAACCAACTATTCAAACTATTTTTGCATATACGAAATTACATTATTCTGAAAATTGTTATTAACAGACCGAGTGGAGGATCGGGCGGAATTTTTTTTTTTTTTTAACGGAACTAGTAATAGAGTTAAGGAATCAAAAAAGGCTATTAAAAGTTGATGATGCACTTCTGGTTTGGAAATATCAGCTCAATAATTATGAATATCGTTGAAATATCTAAAGTTTTGGTAAATAGTTTTTTAATAAGGTTTTTTTTTGTGAAACAGTATACATCAGAAAATAGACAACACCGAACTAGCGGCAATAGTTATAGTGATGTGGTAGTTTTACCTAGAAAGTTTTCGAAGTTTTGAAAATGTGTAATTTCATAACCTTTGATGTGCTTCTTTTGAATGTCAACTAACTCTTTTTGGTACAATTAATGGTTTTGGTGTATGAAAAGCAAAAAACTGATTTCTACACCATCATGAGGTTTCGTTAAAAACAGGTCGTTGGTTATAATAAATAATTTATATTATATTAATATATTATATATACTAATATATATTAATAATTTATAAATTTATTGCTTTTTTCACATTGTTTCCATAATTTCTCCATTCTGAAGTTTTCCTAATCTGTTGATAATTTTCCCTTTTCAATCACTATTCTAGCGTGAACAGTTCTGGACGACTTTATAAATTTTAAAATTTAATTAAAAAAAACATTCAGGTCCGAAAAGTCTAATATTGAACATTTTTGTTCCTCTTAATGGGTGGAATAACAGTTCCACAAATTCTAAAATTTTTTGTTGCAAATACAAATAGTCTTCTTTTTTTTTCTACGCCTTTCGAAGAACTTCATGCTATTACTGCAATGCGTAGGTTGAAGCTAATAACGACCGAATTATTTTACACACATTTAGTGAACGGTACTACAGAATCGGTATCGCAAGAAAACGAGAAGCACCACCACGAAGTGACCGACGTAGTAAAATCAAGCATCGGCACTCTGGGCAAATGGCATATTTGGACGTGTTTGGCGATATTTCTGGTTAAATTTCCAGTGGCGTGGCATCAGCTCAGTATCGTTTTCGTCGCCGCCCCTGTCAATTTTAGTTGCGCAGAGAGTGGTGAACAAAGGTGTTCCGCAAATTGTTCGAGTCACTTGTTCGACCGGTAGGTATGGTTGCTAGGAGAAGACAACGAACGTTAATAAGTTCAAAACAACCGCTCTCCGTCAGCACCAGGGACATTACTCCTGTCTCTTCCAACTCTCCCGCACTTCTCAATAGCATCGGAACAATATTAAAAGTTTAAACCCAAAATACCAACAATTATGTCAAAGCGCTTAATTAAAATCTCAAATATGTTAAATAGCTCTCCGCCATACACACAGAATTGAATAATTTGATAACGACAATTAAAGAATAAACAGCTACTGCGAATAAGTTGAAAGGAACGACAGTATTTAGATGTGTTGACAAGATCTGTCTGTGGCTGTTAAGAGTATTCTTTGATTTTTATATTTCTGTTATATAAATATTTCTTTCACTTTCAATTTTTATGTTAGCTGCACAACTTCTGGATGGTCTGATCTCCTTTAAATAAACGTTGTGGTAACGTGAGTGTGCAACATATGGAAATATGTTTTATTAATTGCTCTTTAGAATAAATATTTAAGATGCTTTGAGTTATAATTTTTAAGGTAAGTCTATTATTATTACTGGTGTTATCTTAATAAGAAGATTTTTTTTAATTTTAAAATTGTGTTTTATGGCGTTGCAATAAGCATGCAGTTTATGATTGCATTAAATAATAACAAAGTCAAAAGTCAAATATGCTTGAACTTTTAATTCTGAACAAATTTTCGTAATAGCATTTTGTCCATTTTAAAAAAGTAACGGTTGTACTTTAATCTTGTGAATTTTTTTATATTTTTTGACCTACCCCTTCGCTTGGACTTCGAAACATGCTAGGAGCACCCAATTGCACCCAACATTCCACAATGGTGGAGAAATTGATAAAAAAATTTCTCATATGTTGCACACAATGATGACAACACTGTCATTGGAATGAATGTACGGTTTGTCGTTTCAGATCGTTGTTTACGGAAACCATAGCCTCAGAATGGGATTTAGTTTGCGAGAAACACTACCTCCTGGATCTGGCTCAGACGGTTACCATGTTGGGAATTTTGTTTGGGAACATGGTATTCGGATACCTGTCCGACAAGTAAAAGCAATTATCAAAACAAATGAATAAATTAATGCGTTGCCTGTGTTTCAAATTTCAGATACGGCCGCAAAAATCCTTTATTATGGGCTGTCGTGCTGCAAGTGACGTCCGGTACTATAGCCGCATTCTCACCGTGGTTCCTGCTCTTTTTGCTCATGAGATTTTTGGCCGCTCTGGCCACGGGCGGTACAATGGTAACGAGTTTCGTACTTACCATGGAACTAGTAGGTGAGTCTGAAGCGTGTCTGAAAGAAAACAGGTCCGATGGATCCACAATTAAAATCAAAATTTTAATGCACATTTGCTATTAATTTATACATATTTTGTACGGAACCACTTCTTTCCTCCACATTGTAAGACAAGTATTCCTGATTTTAACCATTTCCGTATATTTTCACAGACACGAATACTCAGGAAAACACTGTATGTACGAGATGTGTTCAAAAAGTAAGGCGACTTTTAAGTTTTATCAAAAAGTATTTATTTATTTATTCATCAAAATTAATGTTGTCCCCTTCGAAGTAATCCCGCTCCTAGATATAATACCCGTATGCCAACGTTTTTTTCAATCCCCGAAGAACTTCTGGTAAGCACTTTCTGGTATAGCCTTGAGTTCTTCTAGTGATTTTTTCTTTACCTCCACAATCGTTCCAAACCTCCTTCCTTTCGTGGATTTCTTGAGTTTTGGAAACATGGAAAAAGTCGCAGGGGGCAATTCCTGTGCATATAGTGGCTGAGGCATGATTGTGGTTTTGTTTTTGGCCAAAAAGTTAGACACCAGCAACGATGAGTGAGCAGGTGCAATTGTTTTCCCACATTCCGGATGTTTTCTTCGTATTGCTTCTCGCAAACGGCGCATACCTTCAAGGTAATACTCTTTATTGAAGGTACGATCTTGTGGTAAAAACTCTTAATGTACTAGGCCACGATAATCAAAGAAAACAGTAAGCAAAGTTGATTCACCATATGCCTTTGTTAACATTTCAAGTATTTTGCAGCACTGTATTCTATTTTTTATACAAAATTTTATGCCTTTGTTCCATTTTTTTAACAGCAGAAAATCGCCGAGAACACAAAACACGCCACAAAAAAAGTAAACGTGCTGAAACTGTGAACATATGTTAGGGACATGTGTACGAACATAACAAACAAAAATATCGAAGATCGAATGTAGGTAGCCCGTCCAATTAGAAAAGTCATCTTACTTGTTGAACACTCCTCGTACATGCTTGCTAACAGAACAAAAGAATATAATAATATAATAATAATATGTCTACCCAAATTTTTTTCGCTAGTTTCTTATTACCCTGTATGTGGCAAGAAATCTGTTAAAGCTAGGACGTTACTTAAATAATTAAACCTAAAGCAATATAAACTATCTTCGGAAATTATTTTCGTAGAATGCTTTATCACCTATTTTTATTTGTTGTGTTAAGCAACGTGTTTGATTTATCTTAATAGCCTTTATTTTTTTTTTTACAATTGTTATTTGTAATGTCGCATTGTTTCATAGGAAACACTATATTACGATTTTGCGACATTACATGTGGCCAACAAAAAAAGTGATCGGGTAGCATACATTTTTAATTGTTATAAAAATAACCTTAATTATAGCGATTAATTCATTAACGAAAGTAAGAAAATAGTAAACCTGCCGGCCGTTAACTTGTACTTCTAAGTTTCAAAAACGGCTATGTAATCGACTAGAGGTCAGATTTATTCATTCAGAACCTTCTTCAATCTATTAATTATTGAGTTGGAACCACAACATGTCATTATGTGTTTCATTGAAAACACCCGTGCGACCATGTGACTGTGATAATAGTTATGTTAGGTGCTAAAAGAATATTTAATTTAATATTCGGTAGAATAAGAAGCAAGATTATTGCTATTATATTTTTATGTTTGTGTTTCAATTCAACTGTATACATAATACATAACTAACATAAGCTTTGCGTCCGATTTTCCATAAATTATACTTGGATAGTTTCAATTTTTTGTACGTAAAAATTTAATCACTCAATTTGGAGAATGTTTTCACTTTAAACGAGGACAAACGACTTCACAAGAAGTTGCATAGGTTATTGAAGAATTGTAACAAAACTTGTCAGTGTAAAATGTGGCGAAGTCTCAAGTAGGAATTTTGCTATTTTATCTATTATCATCCATTATCTAATTGATGATATTATTTTATTAACCAGCCTACCGCGCATTCTGCGAGGGTACTTCCGTTTCAGATATATTACAGTGAATTCTTACCGTCGAACATATATTTTATTGTACTGTTTGTTTATGTAACGGCCAGTTCGCGTTTTACTAGCTCATCTGTTAAAACATTTCAACCAAAAGTTTTCATTGCAATAAAAAGGCAACAAACTGAAGTATTTATAAGAAATTCGTTTTCAGGTACCAAATGGCGAACGATTCTATGTATCTTATACCAGATACCGTTCAACCTGGGCCATCTACTTCTGCCCGTGATATCGTACTTTTTAAGAGACTGGAGATACTTCCAAGCGGCCATATCACTGCCATCGCTGATATTCATAAGTTACTACTGGATCTTGCCTGAGAGTCCAAGGTGGTTATTAGCCGCGGGAAAGAAGGACAGTGCCATTAAAGTCTTGAAAAAAGCGGCGGCCTACAACAATTTGGCTACAGGATCAATCGAAAATGACGTGTCAAAGTATTTGGAAAAGAGAAGCTTGAACGGCGGAACGGAAGTGAGCAAGGGTAATATTCTGGACCTTGTAAGGACGCCGATCATGAGAATGTACACCGTCGCCATTTGTTTCAACTGGATCGTATGCGGTCTGTGCTTTTTCGGAGTGTCGCAGTTCGTTGGACAGCTGGGAGGTAAATTAAATAATAATATTCTGTTGGATAATAACAGATCGGAATAAGAGAGCTTTTCATAATTTTTTTATTTCGTTTCGACATATCTGGCTCGTAATCTGTAAAATTGATTTACCACTGGCGGCTATGGCGTTTTCATACATAATCTTCAGCGCATGTTCATAAGTTTCACACTCCATTTATTTTGAAAATTGTGATCTCCATGTCAGGTTTTCCAGTCCTACTCCCTAAAAGCTGTGTTTTACATACATAAAAATGCATTTGCTTTGCATTCAATCAATCAGACTAAGGACTTCACGTGACATTTCTGAAAATGTAAAACTTGTTGCCAGATAAACGTAAAACAATTGAAACACTTTCCTTTTAGTCAAATTCTGAACGTTTTGACTCACCTAAAAAGAGGTCCTAAAATTTGTGTTTATGATGAGTAATATGACGTGTTCTTACAGCTTTTTATTTATTTGGAACATTAATTGATCCTTTCATATCCTAGATTAGATCATTATCATTCCCAATACTTAGCTAGGTATTCTTAAAAATTACTCCCATATCCAATATTGCTCTTCAACTTTTATTGATGTGCTTTCAAAAATGCCTGTGTTTACGACATATGTACATAGGTACATTCTAACAATGCTCTGCGATGAACTACAAATTGGAGACATTCAATTTGAATTTAAGTATTTTTCAGAACACCACAATTGCTTTCGGAAACGTCTTCGATTTTCAATTTTCCTTTATATTCGAAAATATTAATAAAAAAATTGATCTATTTTGTTTTTTCTAATGAGTTCATAGATTACTTTTTTGACTTTTCTACTTTTTCGGCTAGAATAATATATGAAACATTGATTTTTGGTAAGGGCTGTATTTTATGGATATTTCACTTTTCATTTCTTTTGCCTTACAAATTTGAATTAATATAGCCTAAACTAAGTCAAACAAAAATTGTGGGACTGAATGAATTGTTCTTTTTAAAAGAAAACCCGAAATATTTCGAAAACTACCAAGTTTAATACGTATTATGGTTCAAATAAATGGACCTAACAAAGGGATACGCTTTTCATCTGTAAGTTTCATTTCCAGGGAACATATTTTTAAATGTCGCTCTGTCAGCAATCATCCAGTTGCCGAGCACCTTTTTCGCCTGCTGGTCTACGAAAGTCTGGGGGCGAAAGAAAACGCTCATATTCGCCAATGTGTTATCGGGTACCGCCATAATTCTGATTGGGTTGGTTCCTTCGGACCCCACATGGATTAAATCCGTCCTTAGTACCGTCGGTAAGCAATTTTGAAAGTGATTTAGCACGAGAAGCGCACTCTCAATCATGAAAGTGTTTTTAACTCTAGAACTTTAAATAGACCTTCTTAAACCTATTGACGTAGTACAGATAAAACGTAAATTAACCACAATTAACCAATAGGTAGGAAAATTGAAGAGTTAATCTACTACTGGACCTCTAAAAAAATAAAAACCACGGAAATAATTATTAGCATAAATAGACGCGTGAACCCCTATAACTTTTTTTCTGTAATCCCCTGAAAACAAACTTTTCTTATTAAAATTGCATTTAATTAATAATCGATTAATTCTATTTAAATATGACATTAAAAGATTATTTAAAAACTTCAGTTTTCTTTCTCTATTAACGTTTTCCCCGTTTTATATTTGATTCGATATGGGACTGTCACAGCTGTGAGAAACAAGTTTCAAACAAATAATAATTTTAAAGTATGTACAGAATTTCGAAATAATCTGATTAACTAATAGTCAAACATGCACAATAAATAATACAGTTTATTAAATAAATTATAATTAATTAATTTAAAAATTGGTATCAACTTTAAATTAGCACGATGAAACATTATAACGTTTCTCTCGTTTTTTAGACAAAGTATCTAATAAGAACTGAATTTATTTTACATCCGAGCGGATTAACGTTAGCTTCAAAACAGTCATAACCATGTTCGACATTGGTTGTGAGAACAAACCTTACGGTTAACGAATCAAATACTAACTTTCAGGGATGTTCGGACTCGCTCTCGCTTTCCCAACTGTCTACATATATTCAGGGGAGCTATTTCCGACCATGGTACGAAACGTCGGCGTCGGAACGTCTTCTATGTGTGCTAGATTAGGTTCTATGGTTGCGCCGTTTGTAGCTTCCTTGGTTACGGTAAAACTTTGGATTCCGCCCGTCATTTTCGGAGTTACGCCAATTATCGGCGCTTTGCTGTGCTACAAACTACCGGAAACCGTGGACTGCAAACTACCCGACACTGTAGAAGAGGCAGAAATGTTCGAAAAGCGCAGCCGGCACCCAACGGAAGTGGGTAACGGGGAAAACGGCGTAGAAATGACGTAACCAAAATTTTATAGATGTTTATTCTGTCAACTTGGACTTTTAAAGTTTATTTATCGTTAATAAATATCTTCTTCGCTCTAATATACCCACAGACCTCTAAAACTGCAAGTAGCCGCTATGTGTACGCTTAAACATATTCAGCGGAGACAATTATATATACAGCACTTTTGTTTCGTAAACCTAATAGTTCATTAAGTTCCAGGTCAAATCACATTCTAAACACATATTTAGAGTTTGTTCTAATATCACGTTAAAAACTCAAAAGTACCTTTTTCATCTATCAATAAATTTCCTTAATTAGAACGAGGATTGACCATTTAAGTTAATTAAGTTGTTTTTTTTTAATGCTTATTAATTTCAATAGGATCAAACATTACTATGGGATGTTTTTATATATGCAATATCTGTGTATTTATAAGAAGTATTTACTTAAAACAAAATCATAAGACGAGTGACGATTAAAAATTTTTATTACTACGTTATAAAGCACAGTCAATGTTAGTGATATTTTATTTCTTGTAAGTCAAATTATGATAACGTTATTGCTATCGGCTTAGCGTGTCACAATTTTGACCATCTGAATCTGTAAATTTAGAGCTCTGTGATTAAGCGTAGCCTTCGTATTCTACGATTGGTTCTTAACTGAAATTGCGGTGTTGCATAAAAAAATAAAACGTATATTTTGTATGGCTTTCTATTATATCACTTGTCAACATCAGTGTGTCTATTTTCTAGTTGACCTACGGTTTGAATTTTAACAGCAGGGTAAAAAACGAGTAGGCCGAGCTCAACACCTGAAAACATAGACTAACTTATCAATGCTATGTTTTATTGTTATTTTATTGGGCTTATGCCACTTGATTTCACATTCCTGATAAATAGAAAAAATAAAAAATATTGGTTACCGACAAAGTTTCATTTTCATTTTGAAAAGAACTTAGTTAACACTGTTTTTTAAGTACCTCTGAGACAAATTGAAACACAAATACGACGTCAATAAAATATTAATAAAAGACGAAAACAGAAGAAACTATCAAATAATGGTAATAAAAATTACAATCACGTCACTTTGCTATGCTATGTTGCCAGATTTCAATTCTTAAAACTATTGATTGAGTGGTGGGTAGTGTCAAACAAAATTAGTACCTTCAGAAAAGCCGGCAGAGAAACTACTCCCATACCGGCAGCTGACAGTGTTAAAGGTGTCTGAGATCTCAAAATAATCATGTGTATTCGTTTTTGAATTTCGACAGTTTGATTAACCCATTTTATGGAATATACATCGTCAGCGATATTCTGGCTCTAGAAATAGACGTTTTTTCAAAGTCTATGACATGGTTTGACTAACCTGCTAGAAAATTACACTTACTCGATCTATAAGTTGCTGCCCGTAATAACACACGGACAACAAAATAATCAGCCAGCCCACCAGGTGTAAAGCGAATCTGACCGAATCTTCAAAAGCTTCTACCATAATTATTTCGAAGCATAACACGCTTAAAACAATAGAAGTCAGTGTAATGTAAAACAGTAACATGCTACTAAACGAATTTGCAAGTTCTTGGGAATATCTGCAAAATAAATTACTTTACAACTTGCAGTCGTGTATCTATACTAATATCTTGGAAATCCACAGGAGTAGTCAAAATATCCCATGAGAAAATTTGTTAATGTTTGATAACTCTTATTATTTTCGTTCGAAATTTCGTGTACAGCTCTGAAGGGTGCATTCTAAACACTATTTTGATATTGTTTTATATAACTCAAATTTTCGTGTTTTTAGGTTAATTTTCTTAATATGCCGTCATTAAGTTAGTTACGTGACTAATATCAACATGTACTTTTAGGAACTATTCCCATCCTTTACACATAAAAAAATTGACATATGTAGCGAACATTCTGGGGTGGTTTCATAAGTAGAAGTCAAATGCATATTTTCAGGAGCACCTTTGGACATCTCCCTTAACATCTACAGGAGAAAAAAATATGCTATACCCTCTCCAGTAATTAGTATAGATACGAACACACTGTATAACGGAAAAGCAAAATTTCCTTACTCTATAATTTGGATGTGGTACTTAATACATTTAGCCAGTTTCGCATAAATTTTCTCCTGCGGGTGCTCGTCTTTTAACGCAGCTATGTATTTTTTCAAATGGCCCAGCTGATGTATAACGTGCATCAGAAAACCGCATAGCAGCATCGTTAAAACGAGCACCACAATGGTAACCACGGTGCATGTATAGATTGGATGGACGAATACGATTTCAAACATAGGAGAATAGTCAAATTTAAACGGAAATCTGGACCGTACAACCTAAAATACAACACAATAGCCATACTAAGATCATTTGTTTTGAAATAAGTAATTGTATGCGCGTTTCTCTTAATCGACCATATAGCTACCAGATGTGAAAAGGTATCATAATCGTATATACTAATAATACAATTTTGAAGTCAACATTAGCAAATTTTGAAAAGGAACAGTCAATGTACGCATACGCGAGTCATTTCAAAACTCACATTCAACCAATAAGACCTGCCACTTCAAATCTAAAACAATCAATATGTCCGCTGTCAATTTCGGTAGTATTTTGTCAAAATATCCCGAAATCCAATTAGATGTTTAGGGAAAAATAAGTTTAGTGGCTAGTGATCGCTTCCCATCCTTGCGACCACTATTAGCTAACAGATATATGGGCATATGGAAAACTAAATTTCGTTAAAGAAAGAAAGTCACAGTTAATAGACATAATAAAATAGAAAGAAAAAATTCGCTGTTCTAGATGCCGAATCAAAGATTAAAAACTCATTTTTCAAAAGATAACAATAACAATATAGTAGAACATGAGCGACCGAAAGATTCAATCTCAAAAGAAACTGCTTAAACCCTCTTTTATTATATGTACTGATAAATTTACGCTTCTTTTGAAGAGGGGCTAAAATCAATTTTAATTATCGCTGTGGTTGCTCTGACATTTAAGAGACATTCAAAATGTTTATATAAAAAGGCATTATTTTCGAAAAAAATTAAACATTTACTCAGATATCAAATCAAAACAAAATGAGACTGAATCAGACTCCAAAAAAGGGCAATCAAAAATTTATCACCTACCAGTCCGCAAGGGACATCGTCGTTTATCATTTGCATGTTGCGTTTTGCTTGACATTTTTGAATACTCAGCTGCGGCATCAGCATATAAACGAAGTTTCCCAGTATGCCGTAAAATATAAACAATTTACTGAACAAGTTGGCCTTCTCGTCGACTTCCAAAACCTCGCCGAAACTTCCATATTTTTTAAAGCTGTTAATCTTAACCTATTCAAAAACAAAGAGATATATGTAACTGAAGCTCCCCAATGTCATGTGGATATTGGAAACGGTAAGAGGGGTAAATTAAAGTTTCGGATAAAACGAAATCTTGGAAAATAGTTTTTTTTAAGTTTATTCGACATGCAATTTTAAAATCAATTGCATTTTTATTTTGTTTTCTTTTAATGATTTTTTATTAGCTTTTATTGCCTTTTTTAATTGTAGTATTATGGAAATAACATTTTCTGTTCTGAAAATGCATGGAGCAAAATGGAAAATAAATAATATATTACAGTTTTATCAATGAATGCGCCAAAATGCAATCCTAAAATAAACTCGTGAAAGTAATGATATTGAGCTAAGCATATCTTTGCAAAAAGGCGCTCGTTAGTGAGATACAGGGTGTTAAACTTTAGTTCTCCAAATTGCTATTTCTTGGATTCGGACATTTTCGATATTCTATTTTTTAACATAATATGTAGAGGGCACTAGTTGCTACCTATAATTTCGATATTTTATTCTATATGTTTCTTGTTAGCATAATTCCATTACTTTTTTTTAAGATTATAACACGATGATTTATAAATAACATTTATTTTGATAAAACACACGTTTTTGAGATATTTGCATTTTAGTACACTCTCCCCACAACAAGTTGGCCACTAAAAGCTTGTCCCAATCTCAAAATTGGTTGGCTCGCGAACTGTTCGTGATTTTGATTATCTTTTTTTGATTGATTTTTCAGCAACGATGCTATCCCACAAACTTTTATTCAAAATTTGATTTGGGCATATCGATAGCCTATTTTTAAAAAAATACAGGCGAGACAAAATATTATTTTAAACAAAAAAGTTATAGCACATTTTTTAGTAAACAGAAAATAAAAAAGTAATTTTTGCAGCATTTTGGTCAGCCCAACAAATCTAATGCAATGCAAATCTCAAAATCATAAAATTTTCATTGTCATTTCAATTCATTGATATGAGCCTCCCTGTATCAAAATGGCCGTAAAACCTCACAATCTACGTTTTTACGTCAACAATCAACAATTTGAAGAACTAAACTTGATATATCTCACTAATGATATTTTACTAAAGCCATACTTGAGAAATTCGAGAAATAGTTTGAATAGAGCGGAAAAAAAATCATTTTAGAACTTTTATTTGAATAGTCAAATTTTGAAATGTTGAAAAAACTAACCAAAACTAACCAACCCCGCAGCTCTTCAATGTTGACCCACTGTATTGGTTTGCTTACCTACCAGTAATAAATGTATGTTTTTTCTGTTACGCGCGAAACAAACAACCATGTAGATCATGCCGATGATACATATCAAAGCGATTACATTTTCTACTATCGAGGTAACGCTTTCAGTTCCATCTGTAAAAAGTTCGACTTAAAATATATATTCAGGTTATTATTACAATACTATGAATAATAAATAATTACCGTAAAGTTGCATCATGAAATCGGCGAAAATCGACAAAGCGCAGGGCATTAACGAAAAAATCATAGTAGCGTCTTTAAGAAAACGTTTCGCACTGTATTTTTCTTCAAAATTATTTGTCCATAACATGCAAAATTTAATTACGGCGACGTTAAATCCCAAAAACTGTCGCCCCCGTTTGATCGTAGCCATTTCAACAAAATAACGAACATTTTTGCATATCCGATGATAACCATTTATAGTCAGTTCGATTGGCTGAACTCTGTGGGTTGGCTAACCGGGCGAATGATAACGTGGGGGTATGTAGGACAAAACATTTATATAATAATAAAAGTAAAAGATATCAAAAAAGTCCACATAAAAAAATCGGCCAAAACAAAATTAAAAGTCATTTCAACCGAATTAATTTTCGTCTAAACTATAACAATTTCGTAAAATTACTCGCAAAAGTTGATTCCATGGATAAAGAAACGAAATAGATGCTTGTGCTACGTAGGAAATAGTAATTTCCAAACGCAATTTCGCGCATAAGGCTGAAATAAATATTAATTATTAGTTTATATTTTTAATTGTTTTTTATAAATAATATTATGACTAATGTGTTCACTTTTGTAAAACATGGGGAACATACTTTAGACCGTTTGTTGAAAGTTTTTTATTGATCTATTATTGGTTCTCCCGAAACGGCATTTAGTACACTTTCGAAGTCCAGAAACAAAAAACTAGATAGCCTCTAAAGTACAAAAATATTTTTAAGATTTTTTTTTGATTTTTGGTTTTAGTTTTTAATTTTTTATTTTATTTTTTAATAATTCAACTATACGCAGCCATTGAAATTGAAATTGCTACAACGTATTCTGCAACTTTAACCCGATGTTTTCATTTAACCTGTAGGATAACTGACTATTCAAAAATCAAACCGTAAAAGCATTGTTATGTTGAAAACTAAATGACACGTTAAAGAAAAAACATTCTGTCCCTAAACTTGATTGAAATGCGCTGGTTAAATATTCCCTTTAATGTTATTACATAGATAGATTTTTTTAAATTGCTGGTGCTTTAATAAAAAGCAGCGGTTATTGCCGACATGAAAACCTAACCGACATTCACAATATTATTCAGCACTCCTGAATTTAATTCGTATTAGTCCAATCAAGGCGGTTTCAATCGCCTTTTCATTCTTTTGACTCAGTTATGCGAAAGTCACATTTTGGTATACACCGGCCACCAAAATATACTTGTGCTATAGAATGGATGTGGTAAACATAAAATATTGCTTCTTTTAAATAAGCCAATGTCGTGCAATCTCGAATATTTAACAGGGCATTTCATTGTGCTTATGAATATCGTCACTAGAAATATAAACAGCATTCAACATTCTTTTCTCTTTATGAAGAAAAAAATTTTTGAAATTAAACTATATACTATAAAAGATTGCATATGGTTTTTGCCACCATGTGCTTAGCAAAGAGTAGCACCGAAAGCACTCTCGGCGGGTGTTTGAATGTTGGAGGTGTGCTGCTTATGTTTTTGCTTTGTCCCCAGCGCGGTAAACAATAGAAATAGAGACTACATTGTCCAGTCTGACAGAACGAAAATCGAGATATGTGACGGATTGCTTTGAAATACATTTCAAAGCCAAACTAATAGAATCAAAGGGCTAAATTCTGTTATCCTCCTATAAACAAGAAACCAAGAATGTTTGCGTGCACGTCACAAAAAAAATTGGGTCAGAACGCATGTTCTTAAAATACTGACGTAGCGTTGGGACCAAGGTTATGCGTAAACCAAGAAAAATGGATGTTAACTTTTTAGAAAACACAGTGCTTATTTTTTGTGTTATTTTTGCTTTGGGTGTCTCTCGTTAAAAGTGCGAAAATAAAACACCGCTGGTCTCTTGTTGGTTTTTGCCAATTTAATTCATACGAATGTTGCCGTAGAGTTGATGACGAAAACTCGAACATTAATTATTTAGATAATATAGTGAATGCGGGTAAAATTGATGCGTCGCAGGCAGCACTGATGTTTTCGACCATGCCTCTAACTCCAACTAGTTTTCCCAGAACATTTAACGAGATCTAGGCATATTTTGAGAAAATACTGCGCTAAAAATGCCGCACCCACCCTTATTAACGATTGTTCAGCGGCCATGTTGGATGTAAAACGTCGATTAAAAACGAATTTTTTTTCATAGTTGCCTTTATATCTCTAGTAACTCTGTGAATTCAACTGTATTTGCTTTACCCTCTTCAGAAAGGTTGTCTCTGTCGTCATGCATGTCAATACTTTACCATGAAATAGATAATCGCCCCTCGTTGATCATAACACATGGCGGGGTAAACCCAGCACTTTCCGACGTAGAAGAGGGCAGGTAAATAGGCAACTACCCAAATTATTCTATGAGCATAACCTCAAATTTTTGCAAACAAAATTGAAAAACTTATTTTTGTTATAATTTTTAAATGTTTTGCATAAGAACTAAGGTCGCTTTGAAAAATACAAAACATGTCAGGAATATAACGAACAAATCCATTTTGAACGAAATTATAAGAGTCAATCATGCAGGCGAATTGGGGTCTGTATTTATTAATATTTTTTCAAGTAGGGTAGGATCGAAATTGTTCTGTAGAGCGGATAGAATATACGCGGGTCAAATGGCAATCCTAGGAAACACTTCTAAAGGGCGCCTTATTCAACACATGTGGGAACAAGAGAAGGCCCACAGAGCCAAATTTGAAGAACTTATAAGAGAAAACAGAGTTCGGCCAACAGTTATGACCCCTATATGGGACATTGCTGGATTTTTAATAGGCGCTGGTAATGGCATATATATATATATATATATATATATATATATATATATATATATATATATATATATATATATATATATATATATATATATATATATATATATATATATATATATATATATATATATATATATATATATATATATATATATATATATATATATATATATATATATATATATATATATATATATATATTAAATAATCAAAAATGTAATTAAACAGGAACAGCAATGCTAGGTGAGAAAGCAGCAATGGCTTGTACTGTTGCTGTTGAAACAGTTATTGTGGAGCATTATAATGATCAGCTCAGGACTCTGCTCGAAGATCCAGAGAATAATAAAGAATTAATGCAAGTCATAACAAAATTTCGAGATGAAGAACAGGAACACCATGACACAGGTTATATAAAATGAAGACTGCACAACTTAATTTCCAACCATTTCCATTGCAGGAATTGACCAAGGTGCAGAACAAACACCATATTATCAAACTTTGTCCAATACTATAAAAGTGGGATGCAAAGCTGCAATCGCAATTTCTAAAGTTATCTAGTTTTTTCTTATGTTGTGTATTGCAATCCATTAAATGCTAATTAGAATTTCAATATTTCATTTATGCCCCACTATAATTTACTTTTAAGAGAAAATATTCTATTGTAGCTTTGTACTAAACATTTATTTTACCTATTTTTTCTTTTCGATAATGTCGTATGGCCAGTATTTACAATATGGGTTAATTAAAGCATTATTATACTGTTGAAAATATATAAATTTTAAACTTAATGCAAATGAGTTTTCTTTTGAATTTCGGAAACCAATTATTTTGCAATAGGAAATATATACAAACACTCAATTCTTTACTTTATTTAACAAAACTATTTACATTTATCAGTAAAAAATTTGTGAAAATTTTATACTTACATAATTACAGCAGGAAATCACTTAACCATACATATAAAAAGGTGTCTACTATCTCAATGGCCCTTGTGTATAATAACACAAAAATTAATTAACATTAAAATTAGTCACTGAAGAAAAGTAACAAAAAAAATTATTGCATTATAACATCTAAATGCAATGAAAGAAAATAAAGATTGATTATTAATATATCATACCTAGATATATTGTCCATGGATTTTTATATTGAGCTACCACATCTTAATTAATGTGACCTTTCTCCTTGTTTTTATTACTTTACAATTATTATTTTATTTATTTGAGAAATTCAATAATTCAAAACAATATATAAATGTTGAAACTAATTTGACATGTATAGCAGTTTTTGCTGAAGATTTTGATGATTTCGACACACCTTTAATGCTTCATTTACCTGTACTATGCTAGGTTTTTTTCTGTTTCTTAACATAATTATTATTCTCAACTAAAGCTTTCCTTTTGATTGCTCTATGTACTTTTTTCTCTTGTATACTCTTTTTCAAACCTTTCATTTTACGGGTTTGTATATTGTTAATTTCCTGTTTGCCTAGATGGATTCGTCCATGGGTGGTGCCCAGCTCATCAGTGCTAATGTTCTTCTTAGCAGCTTTGCTTGGCTGCTTCGTTTGCCGGCAAGCTTCCTTCATCAAGTCTTCTGATGGAAGTTTTGTTCTTCTGAGTGTGAAATCTATTCTTGGACCTTAAAGAATAATTAATTAATTAAAATCCATTCTCAAGATTAATTTAGCTAATGCAAACTAATAACACAATAACTGTTAGAAAATAAGCTGATAATAAAAACTAATAAATTAAAATCTTTCCCCAGAAAAAATGCCTTACCTATTTCTTCCAATTCTATTCGGGGAGTTCTACATCCAGATTTCTTTAACAAAACCTTATAAGATCTCAAAGCAATCTTGCCATCAGAAGTCACATTAAAACTTATAGTATGCTCTATACCTTGCAGTCTTACTGAGGATACTTTTTCTCTGTGGAACATATCAATAAATATGGACTTTAAATGTTTTAACTCATCTGACTGATCCCACTGAGGACCATTAAACAATAAACATGGTTTTGTTCCTAAAGTCACCTTAGAAGTTGCAAATTCTTTAAGGCCTTCGTATGTTTCCACATTGAGCTCTATCATATCTAGCAGAGAGTAATTGTACATTCTTCCTAATACTAAATTATCAGGTCTTTTTTTACTATGACTTCCCATAAGGAATAGATGAGTCTCATACTTTTTACAAAAGTTTTCTACTGGCGTGGCATTTTCAAATATAGTAATATCATTGCGATGCTGTAACATTTGAGCATCCGGTTTTTTTATGTCATAAATATCTTTTAACACTCCCCGGATTTTTTCGGAAGTCTTTCTCCCTTTCAAAAAGAGTGCCTTTTTGATCCCTTCATTAAGTTGCGGCTCTTTCTTGAGTAGAATTTTTTTGCCTTTGTGGGTTGTCGGTTTCCTAAAATTACAGTTACTTAATAACAGCCGTTGCAAAATAAAATGATTTTGCTTACACCACTCTTTGTAAAACCGACATTTCACCATAGAATTTCGTTTTTCTTTCTAATTTTCTGGCATAAACATGTACCGAATTGTTCCCACACGTGTTGACAAAACCAAACTTCTGAAACGTCAAATGGCGTCGGCGTATGTCAAAAAGAAAATTCAAAATATTTCGCGCCTGATTAATTTCATAGAATTTTTAAAAAAATCAAAATAATATAAGAACTAAGTAAGTTAAGTACCGTAATTAATAAAAGTGTAACATAACCAATAAAGAAAAAATTGTAAAAACGAAATTAAGGGAAACTTGGTATGACTCATTCACTCATACCACCCCTGTTTCGAACTGATTGGAAATTCAGTATTCTTTTTAGTCCTGCGTATTCGTGATATTTATTTCATACTTAAAAACTGGTCAACAGAATTTAAATAAACCAGAAAACAGAGTACCACTAGTAATATATTTTGTCTTGGATCGACTGACCACTGCAGACTTACTACTTACCTGATCTCAGAAAACCAAATGATTTTGAATGATATATTCTTTTCTCTGTCGATTTACACATATTTAAAAAGAAACATCCTTTTAATATTACCGGTTTTTCTCAGTTCGCCAGATCAAATGATTCTTTCACAAATTATATGTCAAATTGTCAAACTGATTGTGTCAAAACAATTTTATTTAAAGTGTGGTAAAAACATTATACAAAAAACTTTACAGCAATTTCCGCTTTCTGAGTTATTTTTTTTTTTATTTTCCCATCTAACTTCAAAATTTCCAAGAGTTCCGATTAGTAAACAGACGCGAAAGTTTTGAAGACTGGAAAATACGCTGTTACAAATGGATGATAAATTTAGAAAGGAGAATTTATTGAGGCTGCTTCGCTTTAGGGAGACCAACACCGAGGGAGGAAAGAGTTTAAGTCGAAGCAGTCAGTTTACTGAAGCACTAATCAGACGATTGGGGCTCGAATATGAACTTCAAGGACACCAGGGTTGCGTAAACTGCTTGCAGTGGAGTCATGATGGAAAGTCGGTGAAGCACCCAAGGATTGCTAATCATTATAATTCTTATTTTTTAACTTCACAGGCATTTAGCTTCAGGATCAGATGATACAAATGTCATTTTATGGGATCCATTTAAACACAAGCAACTCCAGGTTATTCCAACAACCCATATTGGCAACATATTTTCAGTTAAGGTAAAAGTGTCAAAGTTCATATAAGCAAAATAAATCTCATATTTTTTTAATTATTTTATACTCTCATCTCAATAAAAGGGAATATTTTGTATGAATTTTCTGAGATTTTTTTTTATAGAACATATCCTCTAATAACTAAGTTAAGCTAGCTTCAATTAATTGAAATAATAAAAGTTAATGTATTTCTTAAGGTAGGTGTTCTTAGTTTTTAGGGAGTGTCAGTAATTTAATTGCCACAGCAGCAGGGGATTGCAGGGTTTTAGTGCAATCTATAGAGACTGTAGAAATACTGGATTGTGTTTGTCATGTGAATAGAGTTAAACGTTTGGCCACATCACCTGAAGAGCCCAATCTATTTTGGTCTGCAGGAGAAGATGGGCTTGTAATGTGAGTTTTTATTAGAGAAAATCCTTTACACAAATGTTAATTTATTTTAATTTAGGCAGTTTGATTTGAGAGAGCAGCATGAGTGCTCTTGGAAACCAAAGCCATTGATTGATCTGTCATCGGGGCAACTTGAAGTTAAATGCGTAGCTATTAATCCTACTAAACCATATTGCCTAGCAGTAGGAGTTAATGATTGTTATATTAGAATGTATGACCGTAGGATGATTAAAAGTTCTGTAGTTCATCAGGTAAAAACCAATATTTATTTATCCTTTTAACATGATCGGGGTTTATGTCAAAATTGCAGACCATTGAATCAGGATCTGGAAGTCGAAGTGAACATATTTTGGATAAAAATTGTGTGCAATATTACGCCCCTGGCCATCTGGCCATTGAATATTCGAATGTTGTAAGTTACCGATTGGCAGCTACATATATTTCTTTTAATGCAGCGGGCTCTGAAATGCTGGTGAATATGGGTGGTGAACAAATTTATTTATTCAATGTTAACAATCCAAGGCACATCAATGAAATGAGAATACCTCAAGTTATTGGGGGTAAGAGAAGGTTCCTTGGCAAGTATAGATGTAAATGCCCGGTAAGTCAGTTAATTGTAAATCATTATAAAAAAAGCTTGTGTTATTAGAAATAGGTTGTCTGATTGCATAATTACATATTGACTATGGGGATTCTAGGAAGGCAATGGTTTCCTTAGCCACAACAATGTGCATAAAAGTGAACGATTGTCAGAAAATTGTGCTTGTTACTATATGAGAAGAGCATACAAATGCTTCAGAAGGAGATGGTAACTTTTGTTTATTTTCTTAAGCGATTTGTCTAAAATGTTTTTGTATTTAGGGTGGGAGATGTTTACAGTGCTGCCAGGGATTACTTGCGGGTGATAACAAATTGGCCTGACCAATACCAAGCCTATGTAGGTCTGATAAAATGCTTAATTTCAATGAAATGGGCGGAGGATGCTCAGCAGTGGATGGATTACTTTCTAACAATCAATCCCGATTCTGTTAGTAGCAATCAGGTAAAAACAGTTTATTGTATTTTTCAAATCAAAGAGTCAATTTTGGCCTTCATATTACTTAAAAATGATTATTTGCAGGTCAAAAAATTACAGGATTCATTAAACCGTTTAAAGACTTGCAGTAAGAAAAAGGATGATGATCCCAATTTGGACAAAGAGGAAGTTAAAAGACGACTAGATTCTAGAGATTATGAATTAAGATTTTTAGGACATTGTAACACCACGACAGATATAAAAGAAGCAAATTTTTTGGGCAAGATATAAGAAAAGTAGAAAGTATTACTTACTAATAAGAATTTAATTTTAGGTGAAGATGGGAATTATATATGTGCTGGCTCTGATGAAGGAATTATACTTATTTGGGAAAGAAAAAAATCTAATATAGTGTCAGCCCTGTTTGGTGATTTTTCCATAGTCAACTGCATTCAGCCTCACCCTACGGCATGCCTGATCGCATCTAGTGGAATTGATCCAGTTGTGAAATTATGGTCACCCATGCCTGAGGTAAATATGACAAATTATTTTGGAAGTTTATACTTAGTTACAAACTTAATGTGGACTACAGAATGGTACAATCAACCCGAGAATTGTCAAAGATATAAATTCAGTGGTGGAAACGAACCAGCGTAGAATGGCGATGGACCCATTTGAATCGATGCTGGTGAATATGGGTTATAGGATCCATCACGGCGCTGGTTCAGAGACCGAAGAAAGCAGCAATTTTCAAGAGATGCCAAATTGTCGCACTTGCTAACGATTGATTGGCAGATCTAGATATTTGAATTTTATTGTAATTACTCCGTTTTGTCAGTTGTAAATAGGGATTTCTTTATGGTTGGTTTCCTTTGTTCCTTACTGTGATATGGAGTTAGCCCACACCCACCGCAGCTTAACAATCAATCAGCTTTGCAGCTCTTTATGAATTTCTTTGTTCTCCCTATTGAAATTATGTATCCATCTTGGGATAGGATTTGCAAAATATCAATCAAATATAAAAAGGCTAATACCCAATGAAAGTCCAATGCAATAATGCAAGAAACAAATAATTTCAAGCATAGCTCATCTAAAAATGGGCTTTGGCGGCTATTGTGAAATTCTCGAAAATTGTATCCTAAAATGGCGGTATCCCCAAGAAGATCGGCACAATACATTTTTGTACCTAGATAGCTGATTGCTTGGAAAGATGCGACACTACGTCAAAAAAAAGTCTAGGGAACAAGAATAATAAATAATAATAAATTGCCAGTTTTTTTTGTTCAATAGGTACAATAAACTCGTGAAATTGCCAACCACTTTGCACTTCTCTTCATTTTTTTTAAGGAACCCACTTAACCAGTTTTTGTTCGAAAATTTATTGCTCGTTTGGACAGACTTTCAAAAAATTGTCATAGTAAAAGTGAAAAGGAACTTGAAATGCTATTTAAATATCTTTTGGATTTCTCCTGTATCTGTTGTGTATGAATCAAACTTGCTGACGTTTCGCCAATTGTCCTGTTGGCCTCTTCAGAGCTTAACTGAGAGTGGCTTCTACTGCTTATATATTGTTTGAGGGTGGCGGAGCTAAAGGAGGGGCATGAACATTGTTTTGGGTTACTGATTCCCATATTGGTGAAAGGTAAAGACCTGAATCATGGTTAAGAATTTTAGTTTAATTGAATAAGAATAAGATCAAAGATAATGAACCCGGACATCAATTCTTGCATGTAGGCAATTTTTCTACCAAAGAAAAATCCGAAGTTCTATAGAAATCTACACGCAACCAAACAATCTTTTCCGCGACTTAGGTCTTAACCTTTCACCAATGTGGGAATCATCCGGGACAATGTTCATGTCCCTCCTTTAACTCCGCCCCCTAAAACCATATGTAAGCAGGTACAGAGTAGAATGCGAGTCAGTTTCAATTAAGCTCTGAAGAAGCCAACAGGCGAAACGCCGACGCAATAGGAATCCAGAAGATTTGTAAATAGTATTATAGTAGCCTGTAGAAGTTTCTTTCATTTTCACAACGCGAAAAATCTTTGAATAGTATCGACATATCTTTGTTACACTGAAGGTTTGACCTACGGACTGATATATTTTTGTTATGAGTATAACAGCTAAAGATGGCAATATCATTTGATCTTCATTGGAAAGATACTAATATAGTTAATTGTGTAAAATTGACTATTATCTTGATATATTATTTTTCTACTCCCTTATTTAAAATACACGTCGGTTTCGTTACTCTGCGCCACTTTAAGCATTTCCGGGATATTACTCACGGGTTTAGAAGCAATCGTATATTTTCGGAGATATTACCGCGCGGCTTGTTTTTTCGCTGTTTTGCAAAAATGTCCCCAACAACTAATGGTCTTAGAAAAAGAACAATATGCAACACGTTTGGCAGACTTTTTCAGTCACTCATTTCTTAAGCAAGCTTTGGCTCTATTTCTGCTTGGTATTCGCTATTTTTTTAAATAAAATTTATTAGCATCGTAAAAAGTATTTATTAATAAATTGTGATGCGGTGGTCCAACCATTTAGTTGAGGAAATGATCATTAATTATTAATAATTAAAATAAAAAAATACAGAAGTATTTCAAAACAAATTTTTGCTACTCCCGCCTGTAAAATACCTAATTACCCACCGATCTAGCGTGCGGGAAGCGTCACTTTACCATGTCAGTTTCGTTTCCCACGGATCCGAGTCGCTTCGGACATTTCCGGGATTTTACCGCACGCGGTGGGGAGCAATCGGATGCTTTCGGAGACATTTCTCACGCCTTGAATTTTGATGTTTGTCAGTTCTGACGGTCATGTCAGTGAATGTATTCGTGTTGTTTTGCGAAAATGTACCCAAAAACTAACGGTCGTAGAAAAAGTATGGTATGCAACACGTTCGGTAAACTTTTTTTTCTACTCCCGTCCGTAAAATACCTAATTACGTACCGATCTAGCGTGTGGGAAGCGTCACTTTACCACGTCAGTTTCGTTTCCCACGAATCCGAGTCACTACAGACATTTCCGGGATTTTACCGCACGGGTTTGGGTGCAATCGGGAATTTTTTCGGAGATATTTCCCACGCGTTGAATTTTCACGTTTGTCAATTCTAACAGTCATGTCAGTGAATGTATTCGTGTTGTTTTGCGAAAATATACCCAAAAACTAAGGGTCGTACAAAAAGTATGGTGTGCAACACGTTCGGCAAACTTTTTAAATCACTCGTTTATTACACACTCGCTCCGCTCGTGTCAAATAAACTCGTGAGTCAAATACCCTTTACCGCACTTGTTGCATAATATACTATAAGTCACTTGTTTATTAAACACTCACTCCGCTCGTGCCAAATAAACTCGTGAGTCAAATGCCGTTTACCGCACTTGTTGCATAATATACAATTCATTTTTGATGTTTTCATTTTTTTTATACAAGAAACACAAGTTTTATAAAAAATAATTTATTAAAACAAAGGTTACTGTAATAACAGTAACTTTCATAAAAATATATATCTTCACTGCAACAATAAAAGGTTAGGTAGATAAGTGAAAACGTTTATGTACAATACATTTAAAGTTTCAAAATAAACAAAAAACATTGTCTTAAAACTAAAATTTATAAATTATTTTCGACCTATTACTAATTACATTAGATTAACTATTCCCTGTGGTTAAAAAGTCACAAGCCTTATGGCACGTAACTAAATAACTCTGTCTCGTTTCAAAATGGAACTTCAAGAACTTCTATAGGATGTCCATAAAATTTCAGTCCATCATTTACGCAAATTATTCCCTTTACCTGTACTGATAATATTTCTTATAATCTTTTAGTGGCCAATATGGCCTAACCATACAAATTATTTTCTGTTGTCTAAAAAATTAACAACTCTTACCACTTCTGTTTGGCAAATAGTCACCACCAATCATATTTAAGGTGGATTTTTCAAGCGTATTTTTAACAGTGAATAGAAATTAACAGGTAAAAACTAACGGTAAATCTTCTCTTCCGAGGGATATGTGGCTATAAAATACGGTTGCTGTACGTTGCTCGGAGCATAATATTGACCTGGTCCTATGGTGGAATACGCAGCAACAGGTGATCTCATGATACCTAGATTATAAACTGGAAAGTTAATGTTTAAAAATAAAGCAATTTAAGAATTCAAGAAAATATTTTCTACAATTATTACGGATAGATTTATAATATAAGTTTCATGTAGGCACCACCAAACAGCAATATTTTACGGCAAAACGTGTGTGTGATAAGCACGATCATGCCATCCCAATATTATTTGACCATCCATCCCTTCTCTAAATTTAGTTTGAATTCAAGTGATTCGCTCAAGAAAATGTAATTTGAAAAGGATTTCAAATTCTTTTCAAATAAAGAACGGTTGTTGAAAACTATGAAAGCTACGGAAGATGTAAGTTTTTCGTTTAGTTGGTTTTGTTATTTGTAGATAACTTAATGGATTGGCATCAGGTCATTAAAATATATCGATCTCCTCCAGTTTGGGATACGCTGTATAATTTTTACCCCAATGAAAACAAGACAGTTAACGGAATTTTTTAGGTGCCTTCTAAACCCGGTCGACGCGTGTAAATAAAAACTGTAACTTGACTAAAAAAAATATAGGAAACTGTTCAAAATCACATCTCAATATAGGTTTGTTAGTATTCTTTCTACGAAAATTAAGTAAGCAATTAATTTCCAAAAAATTATAAGATATGAAGAAAGCAATGTTGCTTTTTTAAGTGAAGATATGTATTAAAAACAAAACTAGTTGTCCCTACTTTTGGATAGAATCGTGAGTAATGCGATACTGAAGATATTTTAGATTTATGGATCAGAGTTGAAAACCTACTTCAACAAATTTCCTGTTTTCCCAAAACGTCGTGAAATACTGTGTATATAGATGTAATTATTAAAGGAGAAGCCTCTGGAAACGACTGTTTTTGGTGTATTAAGGCTGGTGTGATATTAAAAAATATTCTGTGTGTTAGAAATATTAACTATTGCTAATATTTACTATATTATATGAACATATTACCTGGATGGATATTTTTATGAGGAAGCGTCGCTGCGTACCCTGGTGGTATGGTATACAAAGCGGGTACATGAGGCTGTTTACCGGGCGGTACCCCTTTCACGCTGCAAGCGCAGCTGCTGCCGGAACCAATCATACCATCCGGTACCATTATCGTCGAACCAGCTGCCATTGGACCCCGAAACTGGTTGCTCGACATTTTCAGTCTACAACAAATTTTAAAACAATGTTGCCGGTTAAGCCGCTTTGAGAAAACTCTTAAAGCAAGCAACGCCTTTTATTTAGAATGACTTTCACATCTTTCATTTTTATATACTGTTTTATACTGTAAATCGGCTCTAATTTTATTCTTTAATTCTTCAATAGCATAAGGTTTAATATCTATTTAAAATATTTTCAAAACATTTTCCAACTCGCTTCTTTTCCAGTGTTTTTTTTTATAAACAGGTAATAGTTTTCGTGTATCTAGTTTATTTATAGTATTCTTTATTAATATGTATCTGAATATTTAAGAGTGTGATATTTTCATTCAATATTCAATCCACTTAACTTCACTGCTCAGGATTTCGTGATATTAAAAAGCATCCCACTAATGTATTTTTAAAATTCAAGTTATGTATCTGTGAAAAATTTGCTAATTGTTGAAGTTCAATAATATCAAGTGAATAATGAAGTCCTCTCCTGCCCATAGTACAAATACCGGAAAAAACAACTAGATTTTATTATAAAATTAATACTAACTCTATTTCCAATATTAACCATCGATTTGGTTCTTCAAAAGTAAATCATGGGGTTGATATGCTTTTGTTTCATTATTTTTCACAAATAAAATTAATTTTTCAATTGCATGTTGCATTCGTAATAGTTTCTCGAATTAATCGCTTTCCTGCTAATCGCCCTAGAGTAAAAAAAAACGTTACTATCGGAATAAACGGTTGACTATTTTTCTTTTCTTCGATTTTGAATTTATTTATTGAATTTCGTCAATTTCCTACCTAATAATACAAATAACTATAACCAAGATGGCAATGAAAGCCACTACGCCTCCAACGATGCCAATGATCAGAGTATCGTCGTTATTCATTGAAGACTGACCCACCACTGGCGTTTTCGCTTTAATTTGAGCTTTTTCTGTCGTCGGCATCGACCATATAATATCCGCTTCCGTCACTTTTTGCTGTTGTTTCGTGCTTCTCGTCAAAATTGAGGTCGAGCTTTGAGTCGTCATCATGGTCGATATTTTTTTTGGGTCGCAAGTTAACTCGTCGTCTCCTATTTCCACCAAAAGTTTACCTAGAACACCAAAATTTAAAATTGAACACTGTATATTCAGTTTTCATTTTCACCATTTATTCCTAGTCGAATAGATTTTTATTTGTCTAGAGCTGCTGCATGCCTTGAAAATCGCTGATATACAAATTATGGAAATAAGTATCTCACAGCACCCTACTTCCTTATTTTACAATAATTGCTTTTATTTGACAGAGTTTCTTAACTCTTGAAGACTTAAAAACTAACTAACCAAAAAACATGTGAAATTTCGTCAAAATTAATGCTGACTGGAAAGAACTTTGGGTTTTGATTGACTTTTGATATACTTTTAGGATAACCGTTGAACATTTAATTTAATATAGAGGGTTTCGTATTTGAAAAAACTACGTTTTAAATCTTCGAAAGTGGTGTAATTGATTGGTAAATTTTGGACACCATGTAACTGATAAATCAATGCTTTTTGCAAAACTTCTGGCAATTTCGACTAAGCAAAAACCGACGCAGGAGGAATCCAGTGGTTTTGTAAAAAGCATTGCTGTAGAGGTTTCTTTGAAAAATTGATAAATCAATTGTCAATAACAATTTCGAAAGAACGATTGTTGCGATTTCGTTTAGCATACATCCCAAAAATGATTAAAAGGCGTATTGTTCAAAATTATGTTACAACTTTTAGAAAATTTTCAAATTGTTTAATAACCACTGCGTTAGCGCCAAGTCAAGCTCCCGACTAAAGTGGCGCTTGCCAAGCTTGTAGCACAATAGGCTATTTCGTAATTTGACTAGACCTTGCAATCTTTATACGTAAATTTTCAAAAATGTATTCATTGACAACAACAAAGGGAAATAAACATCAGCCTTGAAAATAATTTTGTTACTAAATTTGGTGACAAATTTCTTTTTTTTATGAAACAAATCTAACCAAACTGGTGCGGAATTAATCGAACTCTCATTTCATTCATTGCTTCATTGCCTGAACTCACAGGGTGTCTTTTTAAGGACGGTTCTTTAACATATTTAGCATTTTTATTGGAACACCCAGTGTAATATTGAGCAGTCATAATTATTAGTGCGAATTTATATGTCTGAATTATGGAATAGTGAAAGTTATCTTTTTTGCATATTCTAAAAGCAAAAGAGATATCCGCGAATCTATTGGAAATTAACTTTAAAAATCTAGAAATAAAAAAATATATAAAAAATTGCAGCGTGTTTTATTTAAGATTTTAAATCAAACCGGAAATTGAAAAACAGAAGTTACTAATAATTCAAAAAATTCAAATTTGTGTCCAAAAACCGAAACCAACAACTTAGGATAGTGAATCCCTGTTATCAGTGCGAGTCATTACTGACCTTCGAGGTAATCTGGCCCGGCACATCTGATCATTGTCATATGCGAAGGCAGCCACCTCCTCAATGCTCTCGAGTGACAGTCGCAGATGATGGGGTTGAATTCTAAGCCCGTGAGCAGTAAATCACCCCTGCGATCTTCCAGTGTGCTGAGCAGCTGAGCGTTAAGGGTTGTCAGTTGGCTGCCGGTTACATCCAACGTGGTTTTGGAGGACCTCGGCACCGGAAAGAATAATGCGTGGGGCAGAGATGTCAGGGAGGTGTTTACTATACGAATCGCTAATTCTGCTCCTAAACCAAAAATGTTTGACGTTAATGTACTGCAAAATATAGAAAGGATTTGTAGGAACAAGTTGATCCATATTCTGTGTGTTTTAGTTTTTATTAGTTGTTACTTTTTGAGAGCTATATGGAGTGCTTTTCAAGTATGGAAACCTCAAAGGGTGATTCTTTGAGTGATTTTATGCAAACATATATGATACAGAATGTTTCATTTCTTTTTTTTTTCTCAGATTAAACAACTAACAATATAATAAGACTTATAATTAATAAAATATCGCGTGCCATCTCGCATTTTTATAGGTTCTTTCACATATTTACACATATTACACTGATTGTCGCACGAGTCGGTTTGATTAAAAGAAGGTTTGATAGAAAAAGAGGGAAAATATTTTATTTTAGGGGGTATACAAATTCTAACCGATCTGAGTATAAGCATTCTATATATATTTTTTCTATATTCAGGGGGTACGTGTTTTAGACATTGACGCAACATTACATAGTCAACATTGGGTATAGTTCTTTTAGCCTACGTTGACGCTAAATTGCTTAAATTTTATATACAATATGCGTATTAGCCAAACATACCATCAAATTCATCTTATTTCATATCTAGGTCTGTTTACCATTTTTTTGATTTAAATGCGATAAGCGACGGTATAACGGTATTTTCATTGTAGTTCATGTTAAAACGTTATAAAGTTTTATTGCTCTTTTTTTTAAGCGACAGCACCTCAGCCACGATTATTGCACCTGCGGTGAGTCTTTGAGTATTATCTTCGACATTATAGACAATTATAAAGTTATGTATTGAAATGTATTCAGTGGCACTGAAACCCGGTTATGTTTACGTTCGATATGCTCAAGCATCATAATCCTTCATCATTAAAGAGAAAAATGCATAAAAAGTTCGAATAGCAAATTCGTCGTACGCATCATTTGTTTTTTGCAGTTCGTACTTAATAAGTGAATACATCGTTAACATATTCAGAAACTAATTAAGTATAATTACAGATTTTAATTTGTGCTTGTATGAGTATTATTACTAACATACCACACATTCAGATATGGACAAAACCATTACATACTCAGTTGCAATTAAAACTGGTGTTATAATCGTTTTTTTTTTTAATATAAGGATAAATTTAATTCATTATATAATGCATATGTTGACATTAAACATTAGAAAGTGTTTCGCTGATGTATGCAGAGGGCGAGGAAATAAATGACTTTGGAAATTACGCATTTAGAGATGCGAGCTAAGGAAATTTAATGGCCACGGTAGACCTTGAAAATTATTTTCAAAAATTGTATTGCATTATGTAAGCCTTTGATTTTAATTCTTGAAAAGTTTGAAGCTAATGCCACAGTCCTGAATGGAGATAAGATTCAGTATAGTCTCCTGAATTTTGTTTCGGAAAATTCTGTACTGAGCTGAATTTTCCACATGTATGATAGAAAAGATATTCACTCACCTTTTAATCCAGAGAACGTTCCCGAGGATATGGTTTTCAATCTCGAGCCGCTAAGCCCGAGCTCCTTCAATCTTGGATGCAGGATCGGTTGCAACTGATCTTTCCCGATGGAAGCGTCCTTGGTTTCAATATTTACCTTTTCTAGCAGCGGCATGTTCTGCAACAGACCGTGGATATCCAGATATCCGAGCTTCGGAAAGTCGTAGATTTCGAGCGTAGTTAAATGAGGAACATTCTTGAACGCACTTTTCTCAATTTTCGAGCATTCGTGCAACGAGTGTAGGCTTAAGTGCCGCAGCTTGGTTAAGCCGCGGAAATCTGTTTCGGATATCGAAGTGATTGGATTGCTAGATACGTTGAGCAGTACCAGATTCGGCATTATATTCCACGCGTCGCTGGAAGTGTCCAAAGTGGCCACGTTGTTATGGGAAATATCCAACTCTTCCAGCAGAGTCGTTCTCTTGAAAGTTTCCGAGGAGATGTCGCTAATGTTGTTGTGTGAGAGATTCAGGTGTTTGAGAAATGGGGTCTCTAGATGTATGATTTTGGTTATTCCAGTACCAGACAGGTGTAATGATCTCACAGTCTTTGGCTCTCCGAGAATATTTTCGATGGCTTTCTCGGATAAAGGATTGTAGGACAAATCCAAGTTTTTGATGTTCACCACGACATCGTCCTCTGCTGGTATGACGTTTATGTTGTTGTAAGACAAGTCCAAAGACTTTAAGAAGAAATACTGCCTTTGAAGTGCCCTGAACGGAGGAATTTCGAACTTGTTCTTAGCCAAGTTTATGTTCTCGAGCATATGCAATCGAGCCCTCTCGAATATAGTATCCGGCAAGTCCGCCAAGTTGTTGCCCTCTAAATTCAAACGTTCCAATCTGATTAAGCCCTCGAAGGTTCTGTCGCTTAGCCTTTCCAGCTTATTGTAGCTCAAATCCAACACTTGGAGCTGCGTTGAATTGTGGAACACCATTTCGTTGAACTCCTCCACCGAATTATTGGTTAACAGAAGGGTTCTGAGTCTTGGAAGTCTTGCAAAACCTAACTCGTCGACAGCTTTAAGTTGGTTAAATGAGAGATCGATATGCTTTAAAAATTGAAGATTTGCTATAAGATCGGGAGGAAAGAAATTGATTTTATTGTTGTTGGCTAAGATGGTGTGGATCCTGGGGTGTATCCTGAAGGATGACGGGTATAAATAAGTGATCGAGTTGTCAGAAATGTCTATGACCTCGATACTGGTGCCGGTGTTGAAGAATTCGCCTTTGAAAAATGCGAGTTTGTTTCCCCGTAGATTGAGGTGCCTCAGATTCATGACGTGGATGAATGCCGATTGTCGGATATTGCTTATGCCGTTGAACGAGAGGTCTATTTCCGTCAAATTTGGCATTATGGCGAACGTTTTCTCCACGATTTCTGATATGTTATTATGCGATAAATAGATCGACTTCAGCGAGTTGGATTTGGCGAATAGTTCCGGAGGAATGGCCCCCAAACCGATGTAGCTTAAATCAATCGTTTCCAACTTCGGCACATTGTGTAAAAGTGAGACTGGAATTTTGGAAAGATGAACGTTGCGGCTCAAATTGAGGTGCTTTAACTCGTTCACGCTGACGAGAGACGAGTTCGGCAAATCTGTGAGATGATTGTCACTCAAGTCTAATTTCTGAAGATTCTTCAACGAAACCGTCGCTCCGGTAATGATCATAATACGGTTTTGAGAGAGATAGAGCTCTTCGAGAGTGTTCTCCAGGCCGACGAATGACTCTGCGTTTAACGTACTGAGTAGGTTCCTTCTGAGATCTAAGTGCCGCAGGTTCTTGAATAATTGAAAAGTAGCAGGAGGCAGTTCTCTAACTACGTTCGTGGCTATAACCAGTTTTTTCACTTTGTCGGCTACGAAGCGTAAAATGTCACCAGACAGAGCTGCTATGCGGTTGTAATCCAGTTGCAGTGACGTTAAACGGGGCAACTTCTCTAAAGCAGCTGCCGGCAGCAGGAGGATGTTATTGTCCTTTAAGTTTAAATGGGCGAGATTTTCCAGTCCTTCGAAAGCGTTATCTTCGATCGTACGTAACGAATTGACACTTAAATCTAACGTCTGCAATTGCTTAAGACCGATGAATGTTTCATGCGCGATATTGGCCAAATTGTTTCTGCTCAGATCTAGTTCCAGTAGTCTAGGTAGATATCTCAGATGAGTGCTGTCCAAAGACTGAAAACGAGGCAATTTAGTAGAGATGTTTTGTTTGTTTGAAGAACTTGCTAGTCTGCTCTGTATACCTGTATGAGATTTGAAGATAAATTCAAGCGGCTTAGACTTGTTAGCCGCCTGAGCGCGACCTCGGGAAACTCAGTTATGAAGTTTTGCGACAAATCCAGCTCGCCCATCGTTTCCGCGCCTTGAAAAATGTCGCTGTTAAATTTTGACAGCCTATTGTGATTTAATCTGAGTTCTTTGAGGGTGTGCAAATTGGAAAAGCACCCGCTTTCGATCTGGGAGACTAGATTGTTGCTGAGGTCGAGCGTTTCCAGGTGAGGTTGGGCTCCAAACGTTCCTACCTTAATGTTGTCTGAAAAACTGTGTGCGTTAATTATGTACTTAGTAATGGCGACATCCAAAGAAGATCCAAGAAGCCGCAATAATGTTTTAATTAATTTTGGTCAAATATTCAGAGTCTGAAACTGTTCAAAAGTATTTACGGGAAAAAATATTCACGCTCAACAAAACTTAAAAAAGAAATAAAACGTTGGTTTGTTTTTTGAGGTTTGTTGTTATTATTTTGAAATTGCCTTTTTGTGTTTTGATTAAAGGAGATTTTGGGCGCGTTTTGGCTTTTGGCTACTGGTTTTAGATTGCTTAGTAAAAAAAAATAAGTTGAATTGAACCACCTTAACCCCTTCTTTATTGTACAACACTGTCTACTATGAAAGTTTTTCTATTGTTAATTTTATGTGGAATTAAGATATTGCTTTTATTGACTAGGATCTCTTATGGATATAGTGTCATAGCTGTAGTAGTTACCGATGTTGTTGCCTCTTACGGACAGCAGTTTTAAAGCTTTCGGTCCATTTAAGGACGTGTTCGGTAATGCATTGAAGTCATTATCGTCCAGGTACAATTCCTAATAAAGCAATTGAGGAAATTGAAGAGTATAAGCAGACGAAGTTCTTAAAAAACCTACGCGCAACTCGAAGCATCCGTCCAGAATGCCCTCTTCCATGGCTTTCAGTGAGTTTTCGCTCAAATCCAACAGCTGTAGGTTCTTCAGACTTCTGAATTCGGTGCTGGAAAATATTGGGTTGAGCGTATCCCCCAGCAAGTTGTCGCCAAGTCTGAGTTCGGTTAGTGTATCTTGGACGCTTTGAAGCATGCCTTCCGTGAGTTTCCTGAGGGAATTGCCGGACAGGTCGATGCTTCTCAGGGGCAAATTGTTCGATGAAAATAGCTAGCGGATCCCAACAGTTAGTTTGTGGAAAGAAAGTGTTGGATAATTTTACATTTACTAACCGTTGGACGATTTTTACGAACAAAACAATTATCTAAAACATCATATTCCATAGTCGTCTGTATTAGCTCCCTAACTATAAAATGTTAATCAGTGCGACTAAACGTTAATAATATCAAAAAGCAGTTAAGTTCTTGGACCTCTACCTATTTTCTTTAGGAACTAAATAATTAATAACACAGGTCTACAGTAATTTGAATGTTTGAAAGATGTTTGCTTATTTGTATATTTTTGGTGCCCTTTTTCCAAAAAATGCAATATCGCGTCATTTTTTTATAGAAATGTTATTCTATTAATATACATACCTATGACATGAATAGATATGTTTGTTCCATGTTAGGCATGATTTTTAAATGCATTGATTTTTATGAAATTTAATGTGATTTGGCAACACTGGACAATATTAGATTTCTCTGCAAAGCAACGGAGTTGGCGCAGAAGCCTCAATACAGCGTTGTATCCTGCTTACGCGCAGTTTGGTTGTATTGGTCGTCGTGGTACTGTGTTCGCCGCTGTTGCCTTCGTTATTGCGTATTTCTAGCGTTCTAGATTGTATAAAATATGTAATGTGGTGGTAGCAAAGGCACCCTAATTTTGGTGTAAAAATTGGCGATGGGCTCTTCATATTGTTTGTTCCGTTTGCGTTGAAGCATTAAGAAACTGGCAAAACGGTAGTAAGAAATGTTAGAAGAAAAGAAAAGCTTTGGTATTCCTATGGTATGGCGAGAGCCTAGGACTCACAGCGATGATTGTTATTTTTGTTCATGTAATATTCAAGGATTCAACAGAAAAAATAAGAAACAAAATGTGTATCCCAATCTTGACTCTGCCATTCGACCAGTTCCTCATGGACATATCGTCAGGATCAGTTAACTCAGATTCCGCACCAGATTGTTAAAGCCCTAGACAAAAATGGACAGTGTTTTAAATATTTGTGCGATAAATTTCCATCTGATTCAAATCTGATGCCAACATAAAAGGAGGTATTTTTGTTGGGCCTCAGATAAGAACATTATGCAAAGATACAAGGATTTTCAAAACACAATGACCAATGTCGAGAAAAACATTTTTTTAATTTAAAGAAGTAATTGATAAGTTTCTTGTGAACTCTAAGGACGAAAACTACGAAAGTATTGTTCAACATATGTTACAACACTTTCATCGTATAGGTTGTAATATGAGTTTGAAAGTGCACTGCCTGCTTTCACAACTATTTTCCTGAAAATCTGGGAATAGTTAGAGAAGAACCGGGAGAGAGGTTTCACCAGGACATTAAGGAAAATAATGGAACAGCGATACCAAGGCATTTTTGAAATTAGCCTACCAATATTATATAAAATCAGTTTTCAAAAAAAAAAACATCTGCCAAAAAGTTTAATTTTGTAAACCTGTGTTCGCGTTCGCCGCTTTTAAATTAAGTTAATTAATTTATTAACTTAATTAATTAATTAATACTATTTATATATAACATTTCCTTGTATGAATTGAATATTTGAACTTTCTTTCGACTGTCCTTCGATATCCTGTTGTTGACCATTATTCCATTTGTTTAAAATTATTTATACAATTATATGTAATTATGATGGTATCCTTCCGCTTATGGATAACTCTATCGATGGATACGAAATTATACGGGAAAATTCTGTACCTGCACAGGTAACGATTGGTATCCAGCCCATCTTTGGCTGAACGCAACGATTGGGGCGCCATACGTAAAGGTCGCAACGTCGCTGGGAAAAACAACATTGTCGCAGTTAACAGATATGGAAGGGTTGCCGTCGAGGGCTGCCTCGACTGGTCCTAAAGAACACGCACACGGAAAGGGAAGCTCTGAAGATAGCTCGGAACACGGAACGAAGTCTCCATCGACGGGGTAGAGCCAATAAGTCGCATACGCGAGAATTGTTATTAAATGTAAAGTCATCTGAAAATAAAAAGATCTCTCAAATTACGATGGCAAATTATTTTAAAGAATTAATTAGATGATGTTGATTTTATACCTTATATTAGTAAAAATGGCGCAAAAAAAAGTTTTGGAGTTAATTAACCATTTTCTAAAATAACTTTCACATTATAATGGCTAACTCACAAAGGTCCGAAAAGTATAAAAAAAAACATTAAACTAAATCTTGAGTATTGTTAAGTAATTCGAATTTTATGTAGCCCAATTTTAATATTTTATACCGGGTGGCACAAGATAATGGGAACACTTTTTACAAAACTTCTGGATTCCTGCTGCGTCGATTTTTGTTGAATCGAACTTGCGAACGTTTCGCTAATCATCCTGTTGGCGTATTCAGAGCTTTTTCAGTTAGAAACTGGCTCGCATTTTACTCTGTAACTGCTTATATATTGTTTGAGGAGGGCGGAGCTAAATGAGGGGCATAAACATCGTCTCGGATGATTCCTTATTAATTTTTCAAGAAAACAAACTGCCATCTCAAACAGCTAATGAAATTCGATTTGAAACCGCAAAAATCCTTAAAAAATCAAAACCTCCTAAATCCAATATTGCAAAGCCTGAACGCATTGCCCTAAAATCTCGAAAATCTAATCCAGACATCGTAATCCTAAAAGCAAATAAAGGAAATGCTACGGTAGTCATGGACACAAACGAATATCAGGAAAAGATTCAAGATATCGAATCATATCCTCAACTTAAAAAGATCCTATATCATCTATGGATCGCAACCTTAAATCTGTCTTAAACGCTTCTTCTCTATCAGACTCCGAGAAAAAATCTGTCACCCCCATGACTCTAAAATTCCTCGTCTGTACGGACTCCCAAAGATCCACAAACCATGATTACCCCTTTGACCTATTGTTAGCACCATTGGTTCTCCAACATATTCCCTAGCATATCTAGCATTACATTAGATACGCAAGGATGGATTCTACGTCAGTTTCGACGTAGAATCCATCTTTACCAAACTTCCTATTCCTGAAACGCTCAATATCATTTCAAATATATTAAAATCCGATAATCTGGAGCCAAACCTTCTCAGCATAATCGAAAAATGCTTGCCTGGAACATATTTTTCTTATAACGGTCAAATTTTTGAACAAACGTCGGGAACAGCTATGGGTTCTCCACTTCACCAGTCATATATTCATGGAAGCCTTTGAGAAGAAAGCTCTCGACACCTCGACCGATAGACATTTAAACTCTATACACCCTAACACCGTTTACGTTTTACCATTGAGTTGGAAACTAATAATAACCTTCCATTCTTAGATATTCTTATCAATAGAAAATCAGACCTAATATTGGGTCATTGTGTTTACACAAAAACCTACGCACACTACCTACGATACCATAATGCATTGCCACATCACAATCACATAAATATATTCGCGATGACTGGTGATAGTGGAGAACCCATAGCTGTTCCAGACGTTTGTTCAAAAATTTGACCGTTATAAGAAAAATAAATATGTCCCAGACAAGCATTTTTCAATTAAGGTGAAAAGATTTGTTTCCAGATTCTCGGAATAATGTTGAGAGTTTCAGGAATAGGGACTTTAGTAAAGAGGAATTCTACGTCGAAACTAGCCAGAATATCTTGTGTATCTAATGTAATGCTTTTTAATTATTCCATGAAGTGAAAGGAATTAATACAAAACTATCAGTTTTCCCTGTAAAGCTAGAGAATATGTTGGAGAACCAATGGTGCCGACAATTGGTCGAAGGGGTAATCCTGATTTGTGAATCTTTGGGAGTCCATAGAGACGAGGAATTTTAGTGTCATGAGGAGTGACGGACAATATATAAGCAGGTACAGAGTAAAATGAAGCTCCGAAGAAGCCAGAAGTTTTGTAAAAGTATTAGAGTAGCCTGTGGAAGTTTCTTTGAAAAATTAAGATGGGAACTTGACTTGACATTTGCGCACCTCAGCATAGGCCAAATATTCAGTTGTTGCACACTATGAAGTCAATGGATGCATCTCACATTTGAAAGGAAACGACAGTCATTTTTGAATTTTAAATGTTTTTCGCAATCTTTTTTGAAATTTTTATTTGGTGATAGCAAAAATTCTTCTGAATGAAAATTTCCTTACTTGTCTCCTTTACTAAAACATAAACATGAAATATAGCCCTATAGTTTGCAATTTGCGATCTACAACTTTTTTACGTACGGAATACTTTAAACATTTCCCATATACCAGAAACGGCTTGCTTTCTCAGACACAGACTAAAAAGGATTATAAGCATTTTAGCCAGAACAACGACAGGAATGTTGCAATTAAGTCTCCCAAAATTGACCAAAATTTGTTTGCTAAACTGTTTTTTTTTTCTTCCTTCAAAATGTCGACTCCAAAATGTACCGGCATTAGAAGTAGTTAATGTATGTAAACGTAATTTACAGTGAAATCTCACATCAAAAATTTTCCGTCTTATACAGGGTGAAAAAAATATTAATCTAATCTATTAAGAATTTAAGTAGATCGCTTTATTTTCAGACCAAATATTTGCGCTTTTGGCGATAAAATATAAGAGATTTTAAACACGTTATGCAAAATCGAAGGAAAATTTATTATAAAGCTAAGTTAATCACATTAACTATTGGCGGAACGACTAAATTGCCTGGTTCCGATCGAAGACATTGCCAACATTATAATAATAATAATTCATCCGTGTCTGCGAACAACACGCATCCTACATTTCGCGAAGATCGACGGTAAGTGCGTAATAAATGTCCCCGTACGTTCCGGTTTATCAGACCAGCACTAATTATTGCAAATCGAACCGTTAATTACCGAGAAATTCTATAAAGCAGACATATAGGGCCCGTTTGTAGTTTACCGTTAAATGTGTCTAAAGTTTAAACTTGCTGCCATCCGCGCGAGAAATGTAAGGAATGCTACGAGTCGGTTTCCGAGAATCGCAAGGTCACGCACTGCTAAACGAGCCTGTTTAGAATTTTGAAATCTCGCGGAAAAATAAACGAACGTTTACGAGTTCAGGCATAAAAATGGTGCCGCGTTTTCTGGGTGAGGCGTTCTATTCTGAGGCTCCCACGCGGTGAACTTTGGATTGTACCATTCCCAAATCATTGGCGTTTTTAGTTAATATCGCCCACCATTAACAAAGATAGGAAGCGACACTCTAGGTATTACCAATTTTACGAGATGTACTTACTTCGTGTAAAATGAATGTTGCCGACGCAGAACAGAACTTTTTAGCAAAGCAAGCAATTTCATTATCTTAAAATAAAACAACATATTTCGAAATTAGTTTCATTTAACGACATTATTATATTGGTATAAATATTTGAGGTTTAATACCATGAATTACAAACTTTAGGGTAAAACGCACTTCTCACTCCAACCAAAATATTCGATGCGGAATTAAAAAATATATCTATTTACAACCATTCCTAAATAGATCTCAGTGCAATAATCAAAACTAACCAAAACTAACTGTACTTTCAATTTCCAAAAGGTTCCATAAATACGTTTTTTTTTATTACCTCTGAATTTAACTGTTAATTTTCGAAATCTGTTTAGTAAGATATCAGATATCAGTAACGTTGCAAAAACATAAGGCTAAATAAATATTTTGATCTACTATAGATAAATTAATGCATTTTTCAAATTAAAATATAAATCAAATCTATGGTCAACATAAAGTACGAATTTTTGAGATCTTGTACGTATCATTTTTGAACATTTAAAGAGCGCACAGAAAAATCTTGTAAAATCACTTCGCGAGGAAACCCAATTTCTTCCACACTACATTGAATTTTACATTTGACTAACTTTGACCAAAAGGGTTTATAATTATTCTGATTGAATGTAATATGCATTAAATTTACTTCAAATATGTTTTTGATGAACCGCGATAAATAAATTTACTTAAACTCCAAAAAATTATACTGTAGTTATTTTATAAAAATAACAACTTCACTGGTGATGCAAGTTTTCCCAGATATGATTAAAACAGTGGAAGCCATATCGCTTTTTATACCTAATCGGTGTCTTATTGCTAACCTACAGCTTTATTCACAAAGTAATAATTGATTTTAAATTTGTATAAACAATACATAAAAAAAAAGATACAAGCGCGGTTTAGTATTTTCCAGGAATTATCTATTACATCGTCGGTGTTTTAAGGTGATGACCTCTTTGGTAGTGATGAGATGCGTGTGGTTGGCCAATTAATCGAATACAAAACAATAGCTTTGAACGGATACGAAATATCGCTATTTTTTTTTAGCTATTGCACATCTGAAGTTACTAAGTGGTCGTTTTGAATGATACTGGAGATGGAAGACTATTTATTCTACAGATAACTGCTAATAAAGCAATCTTTTTATAAAGCATCGAACAGGAATTTTGATAGAAATCTGTGTAATAATGTATTACCAAAATATTCAGATAGATAAAAATGCATTGCATGCAATGAATGTAGGTACTCACGGTTTTCAAAAATCGTCTGGTATAATTAATACAATATAATAACCGAGAGTTATTGTTCAGCGCCGAATGAAAGGTTGCTCTACTTTTATCACGGTGGTATTATATTGAACGAGTGGGAAAATGGAACTTATCTATTAAATCCTTCAATTAAGTGTATGGTAAAGTCTGTTCATAGATATAAGAAATTGACTAACTGATACGAATTAAGGAAAGACCCGGGCAAGCTGTAAGAATGAAATATGGCCGAACAGGTCCGTACTTTGCCTAGAATTTAATTATTTGAGGTTTTGTTAGGAAAGATACTAAAGAATATCTATTTATTTATGTATGTATTTATGTTTAAATCTAAAATAAAATTACAAATTATTTTTATTACCTACTTAAATTACTTGAAATTATTCACATAATATATCAGTATCACTATCGCTATCATCGCCTGTTCTAATTATTATTTGTTCTATATTATTTGCAATATGGATATACGATTGTTCTGCTTTTTCTATATGTTTAACAGAATTAACACGGGGAAAAACATTGTTACGACATGGCAGATTTCAGTTGGTGCCAAACATGTTCAATGGGATTAAATATACAGTGGTAAGGTGGAAGCCTTATAACTGTATGCCCTAGATTTTTTGCGTAATTATCACAGACGTATTCCTTTTGTAGGTTCAAGTTTTGTAGAACCTCAATTAATTACTTTTTGGTATAATCTTCGTGAAAATCAAAGTCGTTATTATACATGTAGTTTTGGATTGTTGCTTTTGTGTCACATGAGGAAGGAGTTTTAGTCAACTGTCTACAGTGATAACTTGCATTGTCCATTACAATGACGCTATAAGAAGGAATGTTTGGAACTAGTTTGTTTTTAAACCAACTTTCAAATAAATCAGCGGTGATGTCTTCATGGTAATCCAGAGAAGATTCTTTAATATTTTTCGCAGACAGAGAAAGTCCATTTGGAATCCAACCATCTTTAGAGCCAGCATGCCAAATAGTTAGGTATTCTTTTACCTCTTTTTGATGGCGCGTTTGTTTTACACTTATCAGTTGAATCAACCCAACGCTTTTCCGGCGTATCATAAGTGTCGAACCAGGTTTCATTCAAGTAAATAATTGGCCTTTTTTGTTCTCTGTAAAACCTGCCTTTTGTCAATTTTTTTAAATCAAAAGCCCATGTGTTGAATACACTTCCATAAGGTAGTTCTGCCACATTTAATACCGGTTTCAACTTTTTCAAGCCTCCTCGTATAACTGGTAAATTTTACGCCGTATTATATCTTGATCCCTTCATCTACACTCGAGAAAATTTCAGCATGGCTTCTTTTCTTCCTCGCTGAAATGGGATTATTCACTTTTTTCCATACAGTTGATGTTGGTATTTTCGTCAATGTGGCCGTTTCTTCTAAAGATGCTTACTTGCTGGCACCACGTTCAATGAGAGTCAAATAAACATTGTTTATAACTTCCTTAGTCTCAATAGAATAGTGTTTTCTACATTTGGGCGGGAGCATCTCCTGAGTTACACTAGACTCGCACATATTTTGCATAATTTGCACACGATTCAACACACGCTGTATTACACACGAAATAAGAATAATTACTAATAAACTTAAACTACGTAGTAGACCAAACTAAAGAATATTAAACACAGGTAGGTATAAAATTATTTTCTATTACGGACCACAATTTTACCTGAATTTAAATTTGGAAACTTTAACTAATAATCTTGTTGCATTTTATGTTAATGATCACCCTTGGATAATTACATTCAAAAGCAATTGGTCACTTTCTTATATCTATGAACAGAGCATACATAATTTTTAATAACAATTTTCTTTTACCTGTTTGATATCTAAATGTGTCTCTTCAGTTACTAACAAATACATTCACAGATGCCCAAAAATTGTCGTATAATATGCAAGCTTGGTTTGTGACATACACATTGTTTTCCATAGTATTATGTTTCTTCTTCTTTCATTCCCTATTGTTTAATATAAAAGATACAAAGTACCAACAAGAATAAGTTAAAAAACAATAAAAACAATTAACGGGTACCCTCAAAAATGGCAAATTCGTTTTTTACAGATCTTCTTGTATATCGCGAGCACCAATAAAACTAGTCAAATCTATTGACAACCCAAGGAAAATAACATTTTTTATCTATCTTAAAAATGATTTGCGCACACAGAGTGTAATCAATTTTTAACTTCAAAATATTTCAAATATCGTTTTAAAAAGAGAGATAGAAAATGGGTCGTAAAATAATTGAGAACCTTGTGGAACTATATCCGATTCAAAATAAATCATTATTAATAACAATATTCGAAACATATGAGTAGTACCAAAACTGTTGGAAACTTAAACGAAACATAAAACACCTTACATTTCAAAAATGAAATTCTCATAGACCATTATTTTTTGTCTCGCTACTGCCTCATCCTGTAATTTAATACATTGTGGAAAAATGTCAGAGGGCAAGGCCGTCTTTAGATGTAAATATCACGGCCGTCTTAGCCAAAATTCAGTGACTTAGTCCACCAAATGTTACTTAGTTTCTATTCAATGCTTTTCAGTCCGCATAAGATTTTCCTTCCGGAAAATAAGTTACGTAATTTTAATTTTCACTTGTTAAAATAGTGAAATCGCGCCGCATTTTGCGTAATATAACGAACGAATTAACACGTAACACATGTAATTTCAAATAATGTCACCCGTGCGATATTTAAAAGCGTTTTACTTTCTTTAATTAGCCGTGATTTGGGACTGACCTTAATGGCGTTTTAATTATATTTCTCGCACCTTCGAGGGATCCGTCACATTAACGAAAACGGTTTTCTTTCTTTTTAAAAATTTCCCGCCCCCGATTGAATGTCGCACACTCCGATAGCACCGCCCCTTTTCCGATAGGATACACACCGCGTAATTTTCGTAAAACGCTACGAAACTTGTCGTTTTCGCATAGTTTCGAGAAACCAGCGCGCGAGGGTTCTTGTCCGCGGCGCGACTCGAAGTCACTGGGTACCACTTTGGTACCTTTCTCTTTGACGTAAAAAGACCTGTTATGCCCCCGGGCGGTTCTCTTGTTCAAAACCGATCGTGATATCATTTATAGGAGCGTTCATTCCGTTTCGGCCAGGATGTTTTATTAATTTTGGAAATGTGTTTGGACGTAAAAAGAAATGTTAGAGAAAATACTTTTAGCCCCACTACCCACTCCCCACACATAATGAGTCAGTCATTTTTTTTCAATTTCCCTTGAGCTGACGTTGTACAGGGTACCCGACATAAAAAATAATAATCGGTTGGGGATTCTTCATCCAAAAAAAAGAAAAAGATTAATGTAAAAATGAAAATTCATAGCCTATTATTGTGTATAATATAATAAATAAAAGTAAATGTCAGTTGCGGCTCCTGACAATGGAATTTAGTGAATATTGAATATACGTTGCAAATACAATATTCATTTTATTTTTATAGGGTTGGTGGAAATATATGTCATTCTGACAGTGACATTTCAATGCAGATAAATTATGTTATAAACGATGTACGATGTGTGTTCAAAAATTAAGGATAAAAAAGTATTTATTTATTTATCAAAATTAATGTTGTCGCCTCAAAGCAGTTACCTACGCAAAGATATAATTTTTATGTTTTGGGAACTGGAATGAGTCTAAGGCATGATTGCGCTTTAGTTTTTGGCCGAAAAATTGGACGCAAGCAACGATGAGTGAGCAAGTGCATTATCGTGATGCAAAATCCATGAATTGTTTTCCCACAATTCCGGACGTTTTCTTCGTATTGCTTCTCGCAAACGGCGCATAACTTCAAGGTAATATTCTTTTTCTACTCCCGTCTGTAAAATACCTAATTACCCACCGATCTAGGGTGCGGGAAGCGTCACTTTACCGCGTCAGTTTCGTTTCCCACGAATCCGGGCCCCTTCGGACATTTCCGGGATTTTACCGCACCGATTTGGTAGCAATCGGATGTTTTCTGAGATATTTCCACGCTTTGAATTTTGACGTTTGTCAATTCTGACGGTCATGTCAGTGAATGTATTCATGTTGTTTTACGAAAATGTACCCAAAAACTTACGGTCGTAGAAAAAGTATAGTATGCAACACGTTCGGAAACTTTTTAATTCACTCGTTTATTAAACACTCGCTCCGCTCGTGTCAAATAAACTCGTGAGTCAAAGGCCGTTTATCGCACTTGTTGCGTAATATACTATTACAGACGGCAGTAGAAAAATATATTCACTGACATCACGTCAGAATTGACAGACGTCAAAATTCAAAGCGTGGGAAATATCTCCGAAAACATCCGATTGCTACCAAATTCGTGCGGTAAAATCCCGGAAATATTCGAAGTTGCTCGGATCCATGGGAAACGAAACTGACATGGTAAAGTGACCCTTCCCGCACTTAGCAAATAGTATATTATGCAACAAGTGCGGTAAACGGCACTAGACTCACGAGTTTAATAAACGAGTGAGTTAAAAAGTTTACCGAACGTGTTGCTTACTATACTTTTTCTACGATCGTTAGTTTTTGGTTACATTTTCGGAAAACGACACGAATACATTCACTGACATGACCGTCAGAATTGACAAACGTCAAAATTCAAAGCGTGGGAAATCTCCGAAAACATCCGATTGTTCCCAAATCCGTGCGGTAAAATTCCGGAAATGTCCGAAGTGGCTCGGATCCGTGGGAAAGGAAACTGACGTGGTAAAGTGACGCTTCCCGCACGCTAGATCGGTGAGTAATTAGGCATTTTACAGACAGGGGTAGAAAAAATCATTTCCTGATCAGGGTCTTACAAAATATTGGATTGCAATTTTTATTTTTGGTTAGTTTTTAATTTAGGCATATCTACTTTTTTATATATAATGCATTCTTCATTATTTTTACTTTTATTTAATGGTAACATTAATAGTGTAGTCGAAAATGATTAGTCGTGCGGGAGCGTAATGCGCAACTGGCTTAAAAGTTCTCTTATCAAAGATTTTAGAAGAAAACAGATGTAATAAACCTGGGGCTAATAAGTGAAACATCATAGCCAAAATATATAATATAATGCTAAAATTAAACATACAAATACAACAAAAATTATTCAAATGAATTTTTACATCACAGGTAGGGAACTACAAAATGGTTACAACTAAAAATGTCTTATTTTGTAAAAGTTGTAAAACGCAACGGAATATTCCAACATCTAGAATTGCGTAAGCTCTGAGACACACTATATAATAATTAACAAAATAAAAAGGTAATTAATAATTGTAAATTACTCGTTCTATTCACTCAATACACCTCAGTTTGTACATATACAAAGTAAAAACTATCAACCTACTCAACTTATCATTAATTTTTATTATAAAAATATCTTATTTTTTCTGATCAAGGGCCATTTGGTCCATGATCTGTACTGCTGTGTGTTCATCCAAATTTTCCAAAAAGTTCCTTATATCCAAAATGTTCGCGTTATCACACTGAAAATCAAGAATGAGATACTAAAATCAATTTTACTATTTAAAGCAAACACTCACTTCTATGGCGTAGACCAAAAGGTTTTTGCTTTTGCTTTGGTCGGCGGGCGTCACTCCGCTCTGTATCAGATGGGCGAGGTCCAAGAGATCTGCTAAATGTTCGTATTTCCGACTCTGGTCCAGTAATAATGCGACCGCATCCAAACATTGCGGCGTCAAATTAGTTACATTTTTGTATAAATCTGCGAGATCGTCGGGACACACAATATCCGGTTCTACCTTAATCTCAACTTCGTCCTGCAAATGACAAACAACGTTGGTGCCGACAAAACCTTGAAAGATCCTGTAAGAAACATTACCTCGTCCATATCTTCCTCAGAATCCTCTTCCACTTCCTGTTTCATGTCGATAATAAGTCCCTTCTCCATCTAAACATAAAAAAAATATCCCCTTAAAAGCTGCCAACCGCTACCGAAAAAACCTACCATAACCTTGGAAAAGAGCTCAACGATGTCCTTTGAGTCTTTGGCATTGGCGGCCATTAACGGGGAAACGTTTTGGAAGTCATCCTGCTCGTGAATGTTCAATTGTGGAAGCCCCAAGAGATACGCTAATGCGCTTATGTATTGGTTTTCGACCGCCACTCTCAAAGGAGTGAAACCGTTCTTGCCGTGTTTCCTATTAACGTTCGCGCCTTTTACGCAAAGCACCTTCAGTGCTACCAAATTTTTTTTCTCAATGGCGGTAAATATCGGTGCGTCACCGTCTAAATAATAACAAATAAGATGTGGCGAGTGAAAATGAAAATTTCAACGTTTCCGCTTACCGTAGTTGGGTTCTTCGAGCAGTTTGCTACAATGTTTTGTAGACAACAAAGTTTCCAGCGTTTTCGGGGAGGACATCGATTCGATCGCTAAATGAAGAGCTGTCCTGCCCGACCGGTCCGTTCGACATGGGTCAGCTTCGCAACGCATCAGGTACGTGACCAATTCATCGTTGCAGCAACCCACGGCTATATGGAGCGGCGTCAAAGATTCCGAGTTGGATACATTTACAAGCTCGAACTTTTTAAAGTAATAAATTAAACCGATGAAGAATTTCACTTCCTCTTTTTTATTTAGTCCGATGAATATGTGAAGAGCACTGAAAATGAGAGTGTACTTGTTAACTTGTTGAAATTAAAATCAGATGAAACTTAACAGAAGGATCACAATTTTTTAGAATGTAATTGAATAATAGAATTTTCCCTTAGCAATTTTACTTAATTGATTCTATTAAAAAATGCCGGCCCTAAACGACATACTTGGTTTTTCCGGCTTCGCTCAAATAATGCTGAAGCATATCCCCGCCTCTGACTTGAGCATCTTTGGTTTTAATGAAGCTTCTCAGTTCATTGTAGGTCCTGGTTGCCTGAGCCACTTCTTCAGCACTAACTTCTGCTTTGATTACCGTTGGCTCTTTGTGAATTTTCCGCGAATATGTCCTCATTTTGGAGACGGTTTTGGCGCCTCTATCAAAAAAACAACGATCTATATTTTGAAACACTTTCCTGGAAATGAGTTCCTACCTGGAAGATAAATCCAAACCTTTGTTGTCCAAGTGACAATCGTTTAGGCGCCCCGATATCTCCAACGGGCTGTCCCGGACGTTACTAATTAACTCTTCTCCATAAACCCCACCAAACATTGAAAAAAGGGTATTAAACTCGTCGGAATCGATGTCCTTCATTGCCATATTCATCTGCTCCTCATTCAATATCCCCCCCGCTGGGCAGTTACCCCAGCTATTGACTTCCTGAAAGGTATTGCCCGATCCAATGTTGCCCAGGTTTTGGATGGTGGCCGGTAATTCACCACTACTTAGACTAGAATAATAAGTTCAAAGCTTTATTTTTTAAATTTTTATAACTAGTACGAGTTAATAATTATTACAAATGGCAAAAAATATATGCTTTGTACTGGGGCATTTACAATGCTTAAGGCGCCCATGTTCTAAACCAGGAATGTTCTAAACAAATCTTTAAAAAATCTGAAAATTCTTATAACTTTGCGAACCTACTTGCAAAATAAATAACCAGCAAAAAATAGATATAATAGATATTTCTTTACTTTGATATTTAGAGTTATTTGAAAGCAATTTAAAAACCCAAGTTTCAAACTGCAAATTAATTGCAGATAAATAGAAGAGAGTACTTCGCCCTATTGCGCGGCAGTAAGAATTACCTTGAACTATTATAGCTGCTGGAGCTATACAGGCTTGATCGTGGCCTTTTGGCGCCTGGTTTAAACTCATAATTGGGCACATATGTAAACTCTTTCCATTCGCTTTTCGCATTATCCGAAGGCCTAACCAACTCCATGTAAACTCGCACGGGACTCTTTATGTTACGGTTTCTGTCATATTCTGGAGTTCTACAATAATCAATTAACCACAAGTTACGTCAAACTCTAAAATAATACATACTTAAACACTATGGCATACTGATGGTGTACGTCTAGTTCTGTAAATCTTCCCCATGCTTCCCACACCTCATTTTCCTCATCATCCAACTCGAAGAAACGAATCTTTATGTTTTCTGAAGTCAGAAAATGATAAGTTTATAGTACCTGAACAGGGACTGTTGAAGCTTACTTTTAGTGACACGTTCCACGAGAACGAAAATCTCCTTTCCTCCCTTGGCGGGACTTGTGCAATGGTCCATACGCACGATTTTTAAATCTCCCGTCAACGCACATTCTGTTAACAGCAACAAACATTCAACACATAAACACGCTTTGCTACAAAATAGTACTTACTCAGATTATTTATCCCGTGACTATAGAGAGGTTCGCAAATCGGACTCCAAATATCATTTTTAACGATAAAAGCATCAAACCTTAATGTAGCCCTATTCAAGTTAATAGCTTTACTTTCTGTTTCTGCGAGAGTTTTAATCTGAAAAAACATGAACCAATAACGTTTTTTGAATGAATTTTTCTTGGGGTAGTCAATGAATGTATGTTAAAAGATTTGGAATTTTGGACAATGCAATGTTGCCAGTGGTTTCGGGTATATAAGGGAATGTGCAAAAACATTTTTTATTTTTTATCATTTATTATAGTTCCACGTCGGTTTGAAAAATTTACTGCTCTAGGCACTCAAAGTGAAACACTCTAACTATAAATCTTAATCCTCATGGAATCCGGAATTTGAACTATGTAAACAAAAGTCAAGGCTATATTTTTACCTCTAATATTTCCTTGTTAGTTAATTCCCTGCATTTACCTTCCATTCGGGCAATTAATTCCCTTTTCAATAAAGAATTCTTTCGAAATAATTCTGAAATTATATTTTTCCGTGCTGTATGGATAATACCCATGCTATGGAACCTGAGAAACAAAGAAAATTAATTTAAAACAGAATTTTTATGCTGTTACTTACGTAGCCACATAACCTTCCTCAGGGCCTACTGTTAAATTATGCGGATCATCATATTCTTCCCGTCCTCTTTTCATTATAAGCCTGTGCGGATGTGGTTTAAAATCTTCATGTATATTATGTTGATAGATTGAGCAACGAATGACTGCTTTTTCTGTACAATTTACTAACTAAAATTATAAATGAAGTAACACAACAGATATAAAAATGAAAACAACAAGAATTTATTACTTCCACTGTCGGGTATGTTTGCTTTCTGGATTTGTCTGAATTCATACCACATAAACTACCATGTGTACCAGCCATCTCGGACCGATATCTAAACCGAAATTTGTTTGTGGGCTGCTCTATAAATTTTAAAAATGGCTCTAAAATATGACAAAAATCAGACCCAATAAAGATTGTTAAGTTGATTCAACAAAGTTACTTTTGTCATGACTTGATCCATATAGATGCATGTTATCTAACACTATTTCTGCTTTAAGTGGAAAAAGATCAGGACCTGAAAAGTTATTTGATCCAGGAGATGCTACAAAATATACTGGCTGTGGTGAATCTCCACTGCTCGAGGGAGGTGTTGGATAAGCACTCATATCTACAAAATAGAAATTGATCTTTTTAACTAAGAGTATTGGTTTCATCAGACATTATTGACAAAATATAAAGTAATCAATTTTCAACAAACAAAGATAAAGCGTTTCAGTATTCTGCAATATTTTTAAAAATATTTGAACCGCCCTGTAGGTTTGTTCGGTAAATTAAAATACAAATGTTAACATAACATATTTAGTTAAGTCAGATTTGCGAGTGGGTTAATTTTCCTGTTTGTTTTAAATATGTGTGTTGAGGACACACATGAAATATATAATAGATGTTTTCATTTTATAAGTTTTCCAAAGATGTACACAAAAGTCACATCAATACAATTCCTGGTTCTCTTCAATAAATATGATCTTATATATCCTTGAAAATTGAGAAACCTCTCATAAGTCCAACTCGTTCTCCTTTGTTATGCATGTAATAAAATTGAACACAATATTGAAAACATATTAAGATTAAAAAACATATTTTTGCAAATATTGGTGAAGTGTATGATTTTAAATTCATTATTGAAATTCCATTTTTAATTATTTAAAAAAATCAGATTTAAGATCAAATGTGGCAACCCTGTAGAATAGGCGCCATTAGCTGCAGACAGCAGACAAAAAAAGTTATTGGAGAGGAAAAATACGAAACTACGTTTTTCTGTCGCAAAAACTAGCCTATACCAAATAACCAAAACATAAATAGATACCATACGCGTTGATTCAATATAACTTTATCACATACTTAATTTGCTTTTGTCCACTTGCTATTTTGTATTTAGTACAAAATTTTATCTTGTGCTACTTACTGGACATTGTGCTTTGCACTGGACTTAAAGGGGTCACGTTTAAATTAACTTCACCTAATAACATTGTAAACAAATTTATGAAAACCAAACCAACAACGCAAAACCAACTTGTTTAAAGAAGCCAATCTATCCTCGGCTAGAGAATGAAAGGCAGTAAAAACAATTAACTCAAACTTCAAAATGAGACTGAGATACACACCTTTATCATTATCGGTGATTCACAAAATACACGAAACAAATTGGTTCTTCCCCTTGGATTAACATATATGGATTGGATGAAGGGAAGCGAAGAGTAAGGGGGTCGACGTGAAAATCCCCGTTCATAGATTAGGATTGTCAAGGTCTCACTGGATATGTATGTACTGCGCAACTATTTACAAAAATTTAAAGCTGACAGTTTATTACGCCCATTGCATAACGATATGTACATCACATTGCAAGTTCCTTCTTTTTTAAGGTCCCCGTTTTCAAGCAATTTTATGTTACAAGAACTTACCGACAAAAAGCAACGTCTAATTTGGATTGACTATCATCTGATAAGATCGCTTCTAAGATAATAATTTGGGATTGGTATTTTTCCTATGGTGAATAGTAAATTTTACAGGTATAATGAGGTTGGGAATATTTTAAACGGCTTAAATATTAGAATTTAACTAATGGGTCGATTGATATTATTAAGATTTGATAAGTTAATTGGGCCATTGACCGTAGGTATTGTGGCTTGCCACAAAAGGAAGAATTTTCCTTTTTTATTATTGCTACTTTTCGTTAATTCCATTTATGCATTAGATTATTAGATAATATTGTGGTTTCTAATAAGGCAAACATTGAGCCTATCGCGCGACTAAGATATTTTGGTATAGATGGGATTGATCTTCCACACTAAATTTCGCTAACGTGCATTTTGCGCCATTTTCTTTCACAACGATCTCCACACACTGCACTGACACTGACTGCTGTAAAAATGCTACATCTAATATGAAACTGTAGAATTGACGAACTGTCAGCAACCATGTTCGTTGTTGAACGCCGCTTGATCTTATCCCAATACATTTTTTCATCATCGTTTCAAAAATTCCTCATCAGCCTACATCATTATGCAGTATACAGGGTGTTTTCCAATTAAATGTAAATAGTTAAGGGGCGATTTTTGGGTCAATATAAAAAAGAAAACTTTATATGAACATGTGCCATAAACTTACTTTTGGATACAGGGTGGAAAAGTTTCCAAAAATAAAATACATTTTTTTAATATCTGTAATACTAGATATTTTAATGAAATCGGCACACATGTGCTATGTATCAAGAGGCATTGTTCAGCGTACCACAATTTTTTTTTAATTTACCAGTGGTGGGTGTATGGAATTTCACATGTCTATTTTGGAATTTCTTTTTTTCAATCCAATGTACGGTTTTCACTTTAAAAAAATAAGAACCTCTTCTCCGCATCGTCGAAACAATGTTAATGTGACCGTATGCAGAGCAATTGGTTTTTCTCTTTGAGCGAAGACTGTGCGGCGGACTGAAAAAAAACGATAAACCTACTCAGAAATGAATACAAATGTCATTTTTTTAAAGGAAATCTGTGCCGCGCCATTGACTGTCTATGAACAAAGAATATTTTGTTTAAATAGGTAGCATTAGTCAAATCGAGAACTTTTTTTCAAAAATTAAATATCTATCTAAAACAAAATATCTATGTCTCTTTTTCTAAGTGATCTTTTTCGTAATAATTGATAGGAATGTCGTTTGCAAAACAACGATGTAAAAATGTTAATCTGTTTACCTATATAGTGTCATGACAAGAAATAAAACAACAAAATTGGTTATCTATATTCCTATAATATATCTCTTATATTTTTTCTAATAAAATTACAAAATTGCCCCTAACTACTACAAATATATGAAAATATTACATATTTACCTAAAACATGCCATACAAAAACCAATAAATTTTTCATCATTGCATCTATGGATATAAATAAAAAACATTGAACAAAATGGGTATCCGCCATTATTCGCTATATAATTAGGTTATAAGAGTGTATGTGATATTATTAAGTAAGTAAAATGCGATAACTCAAATCTTATAAAATCAATATTATGTACACATAAATTTTTTGACCAACATCCAGAAACAAGCGTGTCTGTGATTTCCTCGGTAGTAGCACCAACACTTTTTTTTTTACTTTTTTCTGTTCACGAAAATTTTGGAAACAAATAGCGTATCTACAAGTCCCGCGTTTAATCGAGCTAACTTTAACCATATACAGCGATTTATTTATTTATTTTTTTTGTTCATATTAACCTACCAATTCGCCATTCCCGGTTTGTTCAGTGTCATAAAATAAATCTGGCATGAGGAACCACTTTTGGCACTAGAAAAGAAAACCTTGTCGTTTCTTTCGCAAAGAAATTTGAGCCGCTGCGCTTTCTTGTGCATGAACACGCCGTCCAGATGACCGGACTCTACCGATCTTATCTCTATAGCTTTATTGCCCCACCCCATGATTTGTCCCGTGCCTATATAGGCGACGGAAGTTGGCATTTCGCCCCACTGCAGTAGCATATTTTTCGACACCCTTCCGTAGGTGTTCACATATACGCCTTCATTGTCGTAACAAAGCAATAACTGCATACCGTTGCTGTTCGGTAAGGTGACTATACAGTGCGGAGTTATTCCGTTTTGAGTGTGTTTTGGTAAATAAATATCGTATACGCTAGCCGAATCCAAATCGACCGCGTGGAAACCGTCGGAACTTCCGTATATCACTTTTAATCTGGTTCCTTCCTCCACTGTCAAGTCGACCAGGATAGGTTTATAAGTTAAATCGCAGAACGATTTAAACGCCATGAATTTGTGGTACGGTTTCGGTGCCCACGCGTATATTTCTATGCTATCCCTAAGGGCGATGACTAAAAATTTTATACGCTCGTACTTGACAATTTTAAAGTGAACGGCACCTTGAAGATCTCCGACGTTAATCCAGCCGTTACGGCGCTCGACCTGATCGCTAACCCCGTCGGTTCTTAAAATTTTACTCTTCAGCCAGCTCAGGTAATAAACCCGGACACGATTCTTCTTGCCGGATATCGTGACGAGGATGTTTTGACCTTCGAGCACTTCCATTTGCTGAAATTTGCGTCGCGATATCAACTGATACACCTTGCCCTGACCGCTACGGTCGAGCAACATCAACCCGTGCTCCGTCCCGATTAGAAGATTCACTCCCCACAGTGCCGCGCATAATATTTCGCTGTTGAATCGTTTCTTGTATTTCCTTATTTCGGGAGTGTCCGACGAGATATCATGCGAAGTGGGCGTGACGTTCACGTTGACGTGAGATTCTCTTCGCGACGGCTGCGAATTGACTCCGAATCCGAACGCCAAGAACGAACGCTGCTTTTGTTGCAAAGCCAATGCGTTCGCGTGCAAGAACGGCGACTGATCCGAGTTGTATTCGTCGTTATGGGACTTGTCCCGGTCCCGGGACGAGGGAGCGTTTGGACTGCCACTAGTTTGACTCAATAAGTCAGGCAATACGCTGCTTTGCCTCGAATTGTCGTTATTTCTGCCGTTCTTTCTTCGCACCAAGGTGTAGTCGGTTTGTAGGTCGTCATCGTCGGGTGTTGGAGGCAGGGGACGGTTCGGAGCACCACCGGAATTGTTCGTGGCCGCCGGACTCGAAACGCTCGAGCTACTACTCTCAGGGACCGTGCCCAAACCTCCCAATGGTTTAGGCGGATCGCTTGCCAATAAAGTACCGTCGTTACGAGCTCCTCTTCCGATCTCTTCTGGTTCCGAGTCGCTCTCGCTATCGTCGAGTGTATCTACCGAATGATCCGCCCCAACCGACGACTGAGTTATAATTTGCAGTCCGTTATTATTAGAAGCCGACTGTCCGTGGGAACTCATTCTATTGTTGTATCCTTCGTTTTTCGGTTTCTCCTCTTCCGGCTTGCTCTGTTGCTGCTGCACACCCAGTTCGTTTAGGTGAGCAGCCAACGCGTCCAGTTCCATCGGCTTGAAGTTATGCTGCGACTGGGAGTTTCTGTGCGGTATCGGTTGAATCCTGGGCGGCACGCTGGTATCGGGCGGAGGCGGCAATGGCCTCGACGGCGGCTCGATAGCCGCGCGACCTTCCTGTATCTGCTGAAAATTTCTTCTCAAAGTATCGCCCTCGGGAGCCTGAACGATGCTGCTGGGCTCGCCGGCCATTTGGGACTCCTCGTCTTCGTTCTCGGAGCCCGAATATCTATAGTCTTCGCGTTCCTTTTCTTGCTTCCTCTTCTTGCATCTGTCTATGTGATCCTTCAGCTGTATTCTTACCTGGCGTTCGGTCGGTTGATCGCGGATAAACGTGTGTTTCAACAATTGCTCCGTGTACGGCCTCTCGTGATAATCCTTGACTAGTACGGTTTCGATAAATCCGTGAAACTTTTTGTTCCACTTTTTGCTCTTGAGCCGCGGCGGCGGGTTACGGGGAATAAGGAACAAAGCCCTCATGGGATGAAACTCGCACAGAGGCGGCTGGGATTCCGCCATTTCGAGTGCCGTAATGCCCAACGACCAGAGGTCGCTGCGATTGTCGTACGTGGCTTCCGAGTTCTCGTCGCAGGCGATTACTTCGGGGGCCATCCAATAGGGCGTGCCGATAAACGTGTTCCTTCGTCCGATTGTTCTGTCCAGTTGCGCGGATACACCAAAGTCGACCAATTTGACTTCCGCGTTGTCCGTGAGTAAGACATTTTGTCCTTTAATATCCCGGTGAATCACTTTGTTTGAATGCAAATACGACAACCCCCGCAGTATTTCACGGCAGATGTAGGCGATCCATTCTTCCTTCAATGATTGCCCTTTGGTAGATTTTACCAGGTCCGTGACGGAACCGGCGCCGCAATACTCCATCACCAACCACAGCTGATCGTCTTTTCCGGGCGACGATTTCTTGATGAACGCCCCATAATAAGTGGCTATGTTACGGTGATTGGAAAATTTCTTTAAAACGTTTATCTCTAGTTTGATTTCCTCCTCCTCATCTTCGGTCACGTCCATGACTTTGATGGCGGCCAACTGACCCGTTTTAGTGTGACGACCCTTGTATACTTGCCCGTAGGTTCCGTTGCCGACGACTTCTATAAGTTCGAAAATACCGGCGGGATCTTTGAGGGCTGTGAGGTCGATGTCGTCCAACGAGCAGTTCACCGAAGGGGGCATTTGGTGTGCCATGTTTAGTTATTTTGCGTTAAACACTCGATATCTTCGATTAGCACGTTGATTGATGCATTGGTCTTTAATCTGAAATTAAAATAATTATTCCGAACATGGGAGATCATATACTGGGAATATCGGCTATTATGCCAAGACTTCAATCCGTAGTACTCTTACAATTCTTATAAAGTTGAATAAAACGGGTCAACAATTGCTTAATTTTCGAAATAAAAGTGTTACACTTTTAGAGAATGGTCAATTTTTACTTGAGTTGGTGACGCTAAATTCAGACTACACAACAATACTTATAATTTTAAGGGCTACAATCTTCCAAACTTTACTTAATAAAACGAATGGCAGAAATGTCTATTAACTATGTACCATCAGACGTAGTGTTTTCAATATTAGAGATTCATGATTTGAAGTTTTTAGAGACTTCTGACGTTTGCGCATTACTCTCATTTACTCTCCTCCAAAGAGTATAAGATAGAGGGGAAGGTCGCGTATACTATTACGAATGTCAGCTAATATTTGTGTCCAAGTACTAAAGTACTGTCATGGCGGTTTAAAGTAATGCGTCACACTGAAAATACTACAGTAGCTTGTAGCGGATAACAGCAGTTTATTGATATTTTAATAAAAAAAAAATTAAAACTATTTTCCAACCAAAAGAGACCGCACAAGTCATTCATAAAATTCCCTTTGTTGTGTAGACAATATAGGAACTTTGACAAGGAACGAGTGAGGTGAGGAGTGTTGCCTATAAATGAAAGGTTGCTATGGTAACCAGGTAAAGCACTAGTGTAACAATATTAAAATTTTCGTAATTACATTATAAATAGTTAAATAGTGAAATTAAACAAGCGTTCTTTGGAAATCCACAATAGAGAACCGTTAAATTCTTTGCAAGTGTTGCACTGTTAAACAAAAAAAATGGAGATCTAAACAATGATGTTAATGGTTCCTAATAGTATATTATGTAACAAATTTGGTAAACCACATTTGTCACGAGTTTTGGTTTGCCAGGAACGGAGCAGAGCGGAGCGAGTGCTTAATAGACGTGTACCCCGATTGAACAGAAATTTATATAATAGCAATAGAAAACTTTATCCCGGAATGGTAAACATTGAGCGGATAGCAAATTTTAAATAAATTTGGAATAATAATAATGTACTTTTAATTATTAGGCAGCGGCACACAAATAACCCAGTCAGCCGCGCGAGCTAACCAGGGGTTTACAGATTTATACCATACATGCATTACACATATTAGTTATGTGGACAACAGCTAACAGTTCTCTTTTGAAGTAACAAATTTTAATACGGTTTTAATTGTTTGTTAATGGTGTACTAATTATACATACATATATGGGTATGTCGAAATTCACAGAAACTATAGAATTATTTGGATGCCTTTTAAAACACAAAACAATGATCCTGAGAAGTAACCCACAATTGTTTGAAATGCGAAAAGTATGGATTTAGCCAATCATGATTCCTAGAAGATTAATTAGAAACACAGTAATTGCATTAATTGTTTATTAAGAAAAACGACCATTTTGTAAAACGGAGTATATGGGACATTATTAATAATTCAAAAAGTGCACAAATTATACATACAGCAGTTTTTATGATCATTTTTTTTTGTTAGGCAACTTGTTTTTATCTAAACATATCGGAATGCAATTCGAAATGGCTTCATGAGCGATATTTTAGCTCACACACAACTAATCGGCCGCTTAAAAGTCATTACTGATGTTCCATATAATTTCCGCGTATAGCCACATCCCAAATACTCCATTTTAACCTTACTGAAAAGGCATTTTTAGGCCAACATCGGCTGTTATCCGTACCCGTTATCTCGATGGAATGAATCGCTACCGAAATATGTGAATAAATCGACCACTCTGTCACTTATAACACCGAAATTTTACGATTTACAAGAAATATCGAAGATATCTTATTATCATACATAGTTCAATGAACATTTATTTTCTTCGTTCGCGATTTGACAGTAAACTGTTGACAATTGTCACTAGTTCACGATCATTGCGGTGAGTGGTGGAGATTTTTATTTTTATTTGTTGGCACTCTGTCACTCTGCTATGGTAAAAGAAATTCAATGAAATAATTGTTGGCAATTGTTTTGTTAATGTTTATGATATTACATATAGTGTCCAATATTACATTTCATGATTAAAGGATACAATAGAATTTTGATCATAGAAAAAAGAATTGAGACTTTGGCCAACCAATGGTAAAGAATTGTGACATAAATCACGTGAACTTCTTCAATGTCAATTGTCAGGGGGTATCATATGATTTGGTAAGGGTTTGGTCGATATTTGAAAGAGCAAGTTATAAAATATGTTTAAAATAATTCTACTGGTAATTTCTCTAGTTACCTTAGGTAAGATATAAGATTTTCAGAGAAGCTTCGGCAAATTTATAAGAATTTTTTTAGCCTATGGTGCTGGAGAATTTTCAGTGTTGCACCATCCCCCTAGTCTAGTATTTAGAGGCCACGACCCTATTAAGCAAAGCACTTTGGCAGAAGTGTTTTCGGCCGCTTTAGGGTTTTCAGCAGAACACTTTTCACACTGGCAGGGCTTCTATATTGACAATCCTTTTGATATCCCTGAAGCTGTAGTAACTGTTGTAGTAGATGGTGTTAGAGATATTGATCAAATCAAAGGTCACCATTTCCCTCTAACAACCAATGAAGATGAGAGTCATATTTATAACACTCTGACCAGGAGAATTGAGGAGAGATATCCAAATGAAAATTTAAATTTGGTCAGAATTGAACTTGAAAATGGTTTGGATGATGTAAGTAATATTTTGCAATTTGAAATTGAAAAGTGAGTTATCTTGTTTTTTAAGGTAAGGAAATATGATGCCTTTAGAACCATAAAGAGTGAAAATCCAAGACACATAAGTTACAAGCACTTAAAACTTGATGTGGAAGAAGACCGTGAATTTTTAAGAGATGTTGCTCTGTTGAATGAAATATCACTTAAAGTTGAAGCTGGTGCTGTTAAAGAAGATTTCATTCCTGATATATATTGGTTCCGTCTAACATCTCTTCATGCTTTGTCAGATCTTCATGGGCCAAACTCTACAGAAACGAAGGAAGCAAAACAATTGCTGCAGGAAGCTATTAACCGTCTTTCTGATGCATTTGTAAAGGCTTATGGTAACAGAGTCCTCGCCAATATTATTACTAGTGATGCCAGTCACACTAGGATGAGAAGAAATATTTTGGCCACTGCTGATGACACTAGTGACGTAAGTTAATATTTAATGTAAGGATATGTTGAAACTATTATTTTGTTTTTTCAGAAAATTAAATATAATTTGGCTTCCTACTACAATAAAGACTTTCCTGTAATATTTAATATCATTCTCTGGTTCAGTGTGGTGCTGTTTTTTGCTATTCTGGCCATTTGCCTTGTTACTGCTAACATGGATCCTGGCAGGGACTCTGTTATTTACAGAATGACCAGCACTAGGATGAAGAAAGACAATTAGACCTAACAAATAATTTCAACAAAATCCCATGGTCGTTAACCTAACTTGCTCTTTCTGAGTGTTCATCTTATGCGCAATTAGTGTAAATATTTAGTTTCAAAATAGTCTCTTGTTAAACGATTGAGAACATTTAGGTAAAAAGTTATATTAGAATGTGTTTACCACCATTCCTTTAGCTTTTAAGTACAAAAGTATTATCTTAGACTTTCAACTGCATTATATAGAATAGGTCTCCAACCAAACTAAAAATGAAAGTTTTTTAAATCAACATCTGGTAATGTTTAGTTTGTACATAATTAGTTTTAGGATTGCAATGAATGTAGAAACTTTGATGTTAATAAAATGGATTAGAATGTTATTTTTAAATTTAAAATTGTTATTTATCCACAGTAATCAAGGGAACATTGAAAGTTTTCTTTTCATTTTAGAAGTGAATTTGGGCTATTGTAGGGGAAGGTAAAATAAGCAATTTTAATTTTTACTATTTTTTTTTTAATGGACTCTTATATAAAAAAAAATCATTTAAACTGAAAATTTAACGTCCTTGAGCGCTCTTTGCAATTTGTTCTTTAAGTACCAAAATACTATTCCTCTGCTCAGGTGGCAACATTGCAATCTGCTCATCAGAAAGCTGAAGGACTTGCATAATAAGCGCGGCCTAAAAAAACAGTAAAAGGATGAAGTTTTGTTTTTTAAAAAAAATTACATACTTTTTCTTGGTCTGTCGCTCCAGGAGGCATAGCTCCAGCTGCAGCCGGCATAGATGGTCTTGGAGGAGTAGGTCCTGCCACTGGCGGGGCTACGGGCGCAGCATTAACTGGTCTTATAGACTGTTGAGGACCTTGAACTGGCGTTGCTAGAAATGATATTTCTTGTTATTTAGAATAAAAGAATAATTTAACTTACGAATGGGCTTTTGTCTTGGATCAGCACGAGTGGCTTGTCTGGGATCTGTTGGGAACACTGTTGGGGTCATTCTGGGATCCCTTTGGAAGCTGATGAAAAGCATCATTTATAGAATCAAGAAGTTATATACTGTTGATATGTTTTTATGAAATCTTAATAAAATAAAAATCTGATTGGTTCCATCATAGTACTTTACTTGTAACTTTCCAAACCACTTCTTTTGGTATTTTTGGTGCTTTTAGAAATGAAAATCACAAGGAACGCCAAGTAAATAATATGACCAAGCCTTAAATTAAATGGGGAATAGAACCAACAATTGAGATTACCTGTCCGTTTTAATATCCTGTAGTTTAGGAATTGCTGCAAGACTGAGATAAAAGTTGTTTTTTTTTACACAAAAAATTTCTATCTTCTAACAATGAATAGTACTTACTTCTCGCTTACAGCTGGTGGTACCGGATTTGGTAGCTGAGCTGTTTGTGGTGGCAATTGTCTCATATCTTGGTCAGCCATTCTGTTCATCCTAACGTCAGTTGTTGCCCGAGGATCAATGGATCTTAGATCCACATCTTGACCTATTCAGTAAAGCATATTTTTTTTGTTGCCTAATTTAATAAGTAGCTGTTTTAGTACCTGTGAAAACAGGAGCGTTATGAGCATTTGGATGCATGATAGGCGCGGGTACAGGTTGAAACTCTTGCCTAGGTGGAGCAACAGGAACTGGAGCTTGTTGAAATTGGCTATTGATGGGTACTTGTATTGGGACATTTTTATCACCTGGCATCAATGTTGCTGGCACTTGATTCACAGGATGTAACAAAGACTTGAAAAAAAATATGGTTGATTATTTTGGTTAATATAAGAGAGTAATGGTATAAACAAATATGTAGAACACAACGATCAACCTACTGCTGCCGTGTGTGGATCAATAATCTTCATAACTACTTGAGCCTGAAGCAACGCATAAGCCAGCTGGGGATTCTGTAGCAACATTTGGCGAGCTTCAGTTGGATTATTCTTAAACATCATTATAAAATTATTAAGCAATTGAACAAAAGCAACATAAATAAACCTGAATTGTGGCTTTCATTTGCTTCATCAATTCAAACATTTGTTCAGGAGGGAGAGAAGCTACAGCTTTGCTGATGGCTTCTGGAGCTTTCTCTGCTTGAATGGGTTCTCCGTAAGGATTTTCTACTGGAGGTTGATTTAAAAGATTTTGCATTTCCATTCTTGATTTCTCAGTACAAGCATTATCCACTCTTAAGTTTCGTCCGCCGATTTCATAACCATTTAGATTCCTCATGGCGCTCAGCGCAGTTTCTTGGTCTCTGTATTCACAAAAGCCATAGCCTTTTGGTTTGCCCGTCTCTCGGTCAAACACGAGCCTGCAATTATATAGCTGCAACTACTGGCTAAAAGAAACAAGAATGAATTTACTCACTTGAAAGATAAAACTTGACCCACTTCCCCAAATATGTCTTTGAGTTTCTCTTCTGTTGCTTCATAGGGAATATTTCCCACTAAAATAGCAAACAAAGGTCTGATGGATCCCAAAAAATGTTTTTACCTCGAAAACTTACCAAACACCGAACGCATGGATTTATCCATGATATTGGCTTCTAGATTGTCCATTTTTATTCAATTGTTTTGTTTATTTGAAAATAAATTTGCTTTCAAAATTACCAAACCTTAGTAAGCTTTGCCGCAGACTTTTCTTCTTTACTTCTATTGGTCTAGTTATCACGATACAAGGGCTCTTCTTCTTTGAATTTCCATCCACATCCAAATATTCTCGACTCACACGGAAGTCCAATTTAATTGGTTAATCTCAAAAACAGCTAATTATTTGTTCTGCCTATACAAATAACTGCTTGCACAAGACTCTCGTAAGTTAATATCTGATGTAACTAGTTTTTGAATAAAAGCACAAGCGGGTTAAGTTAAATCTTCTTAAACAATATAAAAACGAATTAGCAAATATGATATTCCGGTTTTCAGGCACAGAATATATCGATGGCGATTTCAGTATTCAGTGATAAAAACAATTGGCGACAATTGCCAGTGCTCCGTGAAATAAACTAACCCATATGCGTCAAAAACAAAAATAATCGGAGCGTTTCAGAACGGGGTAGTTTGCAGTTTATTTATAAAATAATGTGGGATTCTTCGATGTTCTTGAGTACCTTAACGCCAAAATTTTACGTGGCGCTTACTGGGACTTCGTCGTTGATCTCCGGTCTGATACTTATATTTGAGTGGTGGTATTTCAGAAAGTATGGTACCTCTTTTATCGAACAAGTGTCTATAAATCACATAAGCCCGTGGATAAGCGGTGACTATAGAGACGATAATGGGAATAACCAGCAACCAGTACAACCTCCAATTCCTGAATGTAAAGTATGGAGGAACCCTCTTAATCTCTATCGTGGTGCTGAATATCAGAGGTTCTATTGGGCGACAAACAAAGAACCTCTGACATATTATGATATGAATTTGTCTGCCCAAGATCATCAAACTTTTTTTACATGCGAAGCAGATATCGGGAAAGCAGAGTATGAAATAATGCAGACGGCATGGAGAGAAAGGAATCCACAAATAAGGCTCAAAGCAGCACATAGTGCTGTAGAGAAAAATCCCGAATGTGCCACAGCTTATATATTATTGGCAGAAGAGGAAGCAACAACCATAACTGAAGCAGAAAAAATTTTCAAACAAGCATTGAAAGTTGCTGAATTGAATTACAAGAGATCTCAAACTTTACAGCATCAAGGGGCTATGATGGAGGCACAACACCGTAGGGATACCAATGTTCTCATTTATATAAAAAGACGGTTAGCAATGTGTGCCCGAAAATTAGGAAAATTGAAGGAGGCTGTCAAAATGTTTAGAGATTTAACTAAGGAGGTGCCCCCAATCATGAATGTATTAAATATTCATGAGAATCTCATTGAAGCACTGCTTGAAATGCAAGCTTATGCTGATGTGCAAGCAGTTCTAGCTAAGTATGATGACATATCACTCCCTAAGTCTGCTACCATATGCTATACTGCCGCTCTACTAAAAGCAAGAACAGTTGCTGATAAGTTTTCCCCAGATATAGCTAGCAAACGAGGTCTGAATAGCGCGGAATTAGCGGCAGTAGAAGCAATTCATAGAGCTGTGGAGTTCAATCCTCATGTTCCTAAATATTTATTAGAAATGAAACCTTTAATTTTGCCTCCAGAACATGTTTTAAAGAGAGGTGATTCTGAAGCATTGGCTTACACATTCTTCCATTTGGCACATTGGAAAGCTGTAGATGGGGCTCTGAATTTACTACATTGCACATGGGAAGGTACCTTTAGAATGTTACCCTATCCCTTGGAAAGAGGCCATTTGTTTTACCCTTACCCAACATGCACAGAATGTGCTGATAGGGAACTGTTACCCCCATTTCATGAGGTTTCTGTCTACCCTAAAAAAGAATTGCCATTTTTTATAATTTTCACTGCAGGTTTGTGTTCATTCACTGCTTTGTTAGCTCTCTTGACCCATCAGTATCCAGACGTGATGGGTATTCTTGCCAAGTCAGTTGTAAATTGGATATCTTTGCCTATTTATTACGTATACGAAAAAATTGAAAGCGTCATGCCCTCGAATCTTTTGCAGCAGTTAATTCGGATTTGAAAGTTAATGTGGTTTGTACTTTTAAATGTGTTAGAGTACTTACGACTTGCAACTGTTGACTGTGAGTAACCATGTAGTAATTATTTGTGTCTCTTAACTGTGTGTTATGTGGTTGTTTTCCATAAAGTGATATTTTACATTTGAAAATCTTTACGAAAATTAAATTGACACTTCACATGCAATTGCGGTTTTTTTTTCACAATGAAAGTACGCAAGGACATTTATTTCCCACTGATTCTCTTAAGTAAAGATAATGTTGTATGATGTTTGCAGTTTGTCACCTTTGTCACTTATTTAAGGTTTGATTTGAATTTGTAGCAAATTCTAAAAAACCTCCAAGCATATAAAGAAAAATATTAAATGACTTTTTTATTCTGCGCTTCCATTTAAAATCAAAACTTTAAAACAAACACATAAAAAACAGTGAAATTAAGACATTGCTTTCAAGTAAAGTTTTTTTATGGATAAAATTTTTTATTACGTTATAATACATCCTTTTTATTTTTGCTTTTATTATTTTATGACCTATGACATTATTCCTGTAGGCGCACATAAAGATTATAAAGAGGATAAGAGCATGTAATATTACATTATAAAATTAAAGCTTTGTAACATCACTTTGAACCTGATCTTGCCCAAGTTCCACAGAAAACACTTCCTCATTTTCTTCCTTGTCTTTAATATAACCATGAGACGGCAGCCCTATTCCATGACTTTTCCTGTGTTTTTTCAAACTGGTTGAATCATAGCAACCACGACCACAAATACTACAAATGTAGGGGGTCTCCCCAGTGTGGATTCTAACGTGGACCTTAAAAATGTTTACTTATGGGTAAACTATTTATAGCATAATTAATAAAAGTCTATCCACCTTTAAATTACTCTTGAGTGCGAACATTTTCCCACAGAAACTGCAACAATAAGGCTTTTCTCCACTATGAACCCTCATGTGAACTTTAAGGTGGCCAGATTGGGTGAACAGTTTCTCACAAATTTCACATTTGTATGGCTTCTCCCCTGAATGTACCAACTGATGATTCTTATATGCGCTTCTCTGTCGGAATTTCTTGTTACATTTATCACACTCAAATGGTCTATCTCCGGTGTGTATCCTGGAGTGAGATTCAAGTTGGGAATTTGTAACAAAACCTAAAAATTTTATAAGAAAAATATCCATTTGCATCGTGCAAAATGGAAGAAAATAATTATTGAATTGATGACAAAAAATTGTAACCACCTGAATTATTTCTAAACTAAAAAAATTACAGCTAGTTTGTAGTCTTTTAAGTATAATAAGTATGTATACCTTTGCCACAGTCGTTACACAAAAATTTTTTTTCACGAGGCTCTCCTTGGTGAAGTGTTATATGATTTGCCAAACCTCCTCGGCTGGCAAATATCTTGTGACACACATTACATTCAAGCTGCAGATAAAGCTTTTTGTCTTCATACTTGTCAATTTCCCCATTTATCAGCTTGTGACGGTACACATGTATAAAATGATTAGCATACCTTTTAAAACCTTTTCCGCAATATGTACATATGTAGGGATTGTTACCTGTGTGTATATTCATGTGCTCACTTCTAACATGAGCCCTGGAAAATGCTAAGGTGGGATGCACAAAAATGTAAGCAATTACTGTTCAGATCTGAAGCATTATAAAAAATTGCTACATACCTTTTCCACAAACTTCACATTTGAATGGCTTAATCCCTTTATGGATCAAATTATGTCTTCTTAAATTTTGAACAAATCTAAACCGTTTTCCACAGAATTCACACCCGAATGGTTCCTCTTTTGTATGGCTCCTCATGTGAGCAACTAACTTGTGGTTTTTGTCAAATTTTTTGCTACAAACTGAGCATTCAATTTTGCTGCGAGAGCAGTTTGTACTTTCCTTATAATGATAGTTTAATTTTCGTTTTGTGGTAAATTTTAAACCACAGCTGTTGCATATGCACTTGGTGGAATCCGGTACACAATTCACTGATTTCCTATAGTGTGTACTTAACCCTAACTTTCCAGAACATTGTTTCCCACATGTTTTGCATGAAACTTTTAACATTTCAGGTATGCATTGAGGAGAAATACTATAGTGGCGTGTTAGTGTCTGTTGCTTTGTAAATGATTTTGAACATCTCTCACAATTTAACTGTTTTGATACATTGTTCTCTACTTCATTTCTTGCTATTGAAACTGTTATATCTTCAATGACATTCTCATCCTGATTTTCACAATCAGTTTCATCTTGTTCATTGTTTATATCATTTTGAAGCTTTTGAAACAACTTATGACTTTGTTTTGACTTCTCTATGAGAGAAAAAAAATTAGAGAACTGTGCGTCGCATTCTTGGCATATTTGTTTTGGAAAATCGCCATTTTCAATCTAAAAACAATTAAAATTGTTTCCCAAATTAAATAAAACCTTCATTAGAACTTACATCGATTCCCGAGACAATTTTATACAAATTTTCGAACGCAAAATTGCTGAGAGGAATCAAATTCTCTGAATAGCTTGCACATAAACGACATAAAAAAGGAAAATCTTTAATAGTTATTTGTTTACTGTCCATGGTAAAAAATAATTATAGGTTAAGTTACAATCTTCTTTACACCTGAGTCCCAGAAAATTTCCTAATTCGGTTTTAACCTATGCACAGAATATTAGAACTCGATGGGACTTAAAACTGAACGTCATAAATTAAATGTATACCTAATGCGAACTGAAGGTCAGAATTCGAAAACATTTTTTCATAGGCGTACTCTTGGAGTCCTTATAATTTATTCATTCCTAGCATCTACTTTATTTGAAAATCTAAATTGCAGTTACAAAAAATACATTAGCGTTGCAAAATATTTAATAGTTGTTAATGGTATTCCATTAGCTGGTAAACCGATTGAAGTTTTATTTGTAATGGATACTTAAGCGCGCTCATGCAGTCAGTTGTTGATTCTTTACTGATACCAATGTTACTCGATTTGTTGTTTCCACTTTTAATAGAATTTAAGACTATACAAACGATAAAACTTATTTATTTCGGAGCAAATTAAATCGACATGTCGTTAAACAAAGTGTGGAAAGTAAAAAAACTTTGCCAGTGCATGAACGGCGGAACAGGTTTAAGAAAAATGTTTGAACGGAATTACCATTTTATTTATACACCGGATAAATCAACTTCAGTTGAAGGTTAGGAAGTACTATTTGTTTTAAATAGCAGCCTTTGTAAACGAATGTTGTCTATAGGAAGTCGAACGAAAATGAATATGTTTCAAGCTATAAACAATGCTTTGGACATTGCCCTTCGAAGCGATCCTAAGTCAATTATTTTTGGAGAAGACGTAGGTTTCGGTGGAGTATTTAGGTAAAACAAAAGAAAAATACCATTCAACCTACCTAGTTTCTTCTTTAATCGATTAGATGCACACTGGACTTACAGAAAAAATATGGACGTGACCGGGTATTTAACACGCCACTTTGCGAACAGGGTATAGTGGGATTTGGCATCGGGGCAGCTGTGATGGGACAGACGGCTATCGCAGAAATTCAATTTGCTGACTATATTTTTCCTGCGGTTGATCAGGTATTCACGACGCACTTTTAATTGCATCAGCTTCTTCTAGCGAACAGAAATGGTTATATAAGCAAATAAATAAATATTACTCTGCTTGATTAGAGCGAATTTGTCCGCCTGCTCCCGTTATTTTTTGAACAAAGTAGAAATTTTGAGAATGTATAATTCCAAAATTGTATAGTTTTTTAGGTTATCTTGACGACATCTCCATTGTAGGAGGCACTGCTGCGCCCAACTGACGCAATTTTTTTCACTGGAAGGGTTTTTTTAATGGAAACATGCCCCTATTTTTTTTTTAAGTTGATTACAAACATTTTAACGTGATATGCCCAACGGTGAAAAAAAAATAAATGCAGGCAAGTTATAGTGGTCTGTTAGAACATTGCTAAAATTAAAAAAAAAGTTGAAATACTCATTGGATGACTTCTCTATACGTTATGCAGTGTCCCCAATAATGTTCGCTACATATGGGGATTTCTTTTTATTTGTGAGATCCACTAGTTATTTTCATTCCAAATTTCCTAAAATATAAATCTCTAAACACTTTTTTAAATAACCTTTGTCGATTTGATATAGATTTGATATACAATCATTTTGGGGATTTTTTTTATTAGAAGAGATAAAATCTTGTCGTTTTCGCGAAGCAGAGCGACTACGAAATGGTTAAAAACGAATCCTATTAGAACTTTTTAGGTAGAAACGAGAAATGGGTAATTGTGGTGTAGTTCATATTTTTGGATTTGGCGGAACGTAATAAATTGAACGTGTTCACAATTTATGCTTAATAGATCATAAACGAAGCAGCAAAATATAGATATCGCAGTGGCGACCAATTTGATTGCGGCAAATTGACCATACGAGCGCCATGCGGAGCAGTCGGGCACGGAGCTCTGTATCATTCACAAAGTCCCGAAGCTTACTTTGCTCACACTCCTGGTCTCAAGGTAGGTGACTAAGCATGTAAGTCATGTTGTCTATCAATTTATTTTAAAAAATTTAAGATCGACCTTTTTTAAATAAATAACGAATGCTTTGAAAAATGGCATTAAAATTATTGAAATACAGTTCCTAGGGCTTAGAACAGTGGCGGCGATTTTATATTCGAAACTCCAGAAAATATTTGTGATAAACGACAATTTTAAACTTTATTTGAAGGAATTGGAAGGTTTTCTTTTTAAAACTATGAATCGTGCGCTGCACTCACGCCGCTACTGCTGAAACATTTTCAGTTTAGGGAATGAAAATGAGTACAAATTTTCCCTTACTTGTATAGGTCGTAGTACCGAGAGGACCAATAAAAGCCAAAGGGCTTCTTCTAAGCTGTATACGAGACCCGGACCCGTGTATAGTTTTTGAACCCAAAACTCTTTATAGGGCGGCGATCGAACAGGTACCAGATACCGATTTCCAGTTGCCAATCGGCAAAGCAGACGTTCTGGTTCAAGGTAATGTCAAAATTTGACTTTGTTTACGGGACGTTTAAGACGGTATTGCAAATTTGACACCTATAAACATTTGCTTTAAAATTTCAACTGTTTTGGGGAAATATAATGACATGGTATCCATTTTTACTTAAAGAACTGATTTCAAAACAAAATTATAAAGTAGGTATCCTGTTTGAAATCTCATGTTTTGTTTGTGGGGGTCCATCAACTTTTTTCTTTGATTTGGACTCTGTTTTCTGGGTACGTTCTCTTTTTTTCGTTAAAAAAAAAACTTTTTCGTAGCGTATAAAAAATCGTAAACAATTATTATTTGTATTTAAAACTTATGAATTTCACGTTCAAATTTTTGGGTCTTTCGGAAAATAGAAATACGCGCAAGCCAGCTGATTAAGTTTTTCTGGAAGTTTATGACGGATATGCTTAATATTCACGGTCTGTCTCCCTATGCAGCGGTTTACAGGGTTTTCGGATGCAATCATTTTCGCGTTCGCGTTTTTGTTTACAGCGCAAATATGTAAGAATATGGCAAAATTTGGTTTACAGGCAGTGATATTACTCTCATCGGATGGGGGACTCAAGTTCATGTCCTGAAAGAAGTCGCAGATATCCTGCGGGACGAGTTTAAGGTGTCCGCTGAGGTTATCGATCTGGTGTCGATTTTACCTTGGGATCGCGACACCGTTTGCAAGGTGAGCAAAATTTTATTTTTCGTTATACCACCATCTAGCGATGCTTATACGAAATGTTGGGAAAAATATTTCGTAGGACTAAAATAATACCAATTTGTAGGACGGGAACAACTTTCTAAAGAGGACCTCAATTTGTTTTCATTGCCTTTTTTTCTTTCAGAGATATGTTGCACAAAATGATTTGTAATTGCTAATCGTATAAAGAAATGCATTTTTGTACAAATTTTCCCAATTTAGGTAGAGAAAAATTACTATAATTTTGACAGTTGTTTCATGTTTTCATTGTCTGACCTACAAACAAGGATAAATTTTACCGATCTGATATTCAATGAAACCTAATATTTCATCAGAACGATTTTTAACGCGGATGTAACTGACATCACACGAAAATTAATAATTTTGTTAGTGATATATAATTATAAGTAATATTTTTGCATATAATATTTTTAAAATTGACGCAAAATGTTCCTACATAAAATATTAAAATATGTGTGTTTGAATGCTGAGTTTTTGAGCTTAACAATACTTTTAAAATAATTATATCAAAAAGTTAACGCGTCGCTTCTTCCTTGATATTCGAAAGCGTGCTTTAAATGATGGTTTACGCTTTGCACTAATACAACAAAAACTGATGCTGAAATTATAAATAAAAAACATGTTCCAGTAAAAAAATATTTTCTAATCGCTGGTGGAACCGTAATTAAAACTATCGCTAAATTTACGTATTAAAATATGTACCTAGACAAGTACCAATAGCTAGTAGATACTGAATACCTTTCTACTAGTTTCTACTATCAAAACTCCTTTTTCCAGTCGGCCACCAAAACCGGAAGAGTGGTTATAGCTCACGAGGCGCCGTTAACTTCAGGATTTGGGGCGGAACTGGCGGCAACGATTCAGGTAAACATATACAAGGTTGCGAGATAGAAATTAATAAGAAAATCCAAAAATATATTTGGTATTTTTCGTAGAAAATACTGCATCACCTGAAAATAGTGTATAGTGACACTCTAATACTGGAGTAAAACTTTTACAGGAGACTTTATGTAATGTAATTTATATAATATCTAAAGCACTTATTATCAAATTTATTGTTGCTTTTGTTGTTCCAAAAATTTATTAGTATTCACCTACCAGGTTCAAATTCATCTCTTGATAACCGATTTTTCAAATATACTATACATTCGCAAGGATCGTACAATCTAAAATAGTGGTAGTTGGCTTTTTCTTTCTTTCTTTAATTTCGCTTACGTGTCTTGAATTTTTATTTTAAACATTCTTAAATATTTTCGAATGAAAATCTAATTTATCCTCATGCCCCCATCCGACTGAAAATAAATCTGAAAGCAATTCGTTTCCTTTGTTTCATTTGCTGAACTTTTTTTCACGTTCGATTTTGGACACATTTCGCCATCGAAGCGGTTTTTTATTTTCAAAAGCTGTTATTGTCGATGGAAATATGGCCGCGGCATTTTTAATTATATCATGTTGGCACGTTTTTTGCGTTTGCATTTGCTGACGCCCATAGAATAACGCACAAAGAAGTCATAACATAGAACAGGATTTCAATATTTTATTTATACACAATAGTGAACTCGATCTAAACTGGAATGGCAACGGCTTGATAGAAAATTGAGGCTTATTTGACAATCGAAAAAGATGCAATAGAGATTATTGTTTTTTCTCTTATTCAGATAAATGTGGGAATTCGGTGTTATCATTGTTTTATCACTTTTTTAAATATTTGCAAAACATAAGTCTTATAGCCATCAAATGTCTTATTAAAAATTCAAAAAAACCTATATAAATTGATATAAATCTTTAGCTTACCTAATTCTGTAAAGGAGATAGATGAACAAATTTCAATTTATATATTTCATTTATATAGCAACTCGATGAGTTATTATGTATTTATAAAACAAAATCAGATCGGTGTAAATGCTTCACCCACCATAAAAAAACTTTCTTTTGCAAATTATATATACCTTACTACTGCAACAATTTGCAACACAAGGATTTACCTTACCTTTTCAAAAAATTATTAGTGACAACCGTGTCACAATGATTTAATTTAAAGAAAGATAAATTACAAATAAGATTTGATTCACATTTCATATTGTCTGCTTTACCATGACCATCTTAGTTCGAGAGACGCGCTGCAAATCATCAGTTATTTTGTACATCTTATTTCTTTTATGGAGCAAACTTTAAATATAAATTTTAATTGTCAATTTCCAAGTCAATTGTTGATAAATTGGTGGATGTACAAAACATAATTTTAGTATTTTTGAATTTCAAAGATTGTTTTTTTTCAAAGATTTGGGAAAAGTTTAAGAGTTCGTTTCCAAGACATATAATATAATTTTTGAAAGAAAAATAATTGAAAAAACACAATACTGTGTCTATACAATTTGTAGTAGTGTGACTTTTTTAACTAAGACTGAGAGTTGGTTATTTAGCTACAAACACGATGAATATCAAAAAACGAAAAAGAAATTTGTATAAATATTTTTTATTATCCTACAGTAAAAAAAGTGAAACTCAAAATATTGCCTTTTTAAACGTTTTGTTTGTTTGTAAAAATATCCGAAATATTTTGTGATGAAAAAAAATTGATTTTCCATACTTTTTTTACATTATTTCAGGAAGAGTGCTTCTTGAAACTCCAAGCGCCTGTATCTAGAGTCACCGGTCCTGATACGCCCTTCCCTCATGTGTTCGAACCCTTCTATTTGCCCACCAAATGGCGCTGCGTGGATGCAGCTTTAAAATTGCTCAACTATTAGGAAATTTATTGTTTTTTTTTTTGCGTTACCTCGAAAAATTTGTGAATGAATACAAAGAAATGTTGTTGTTGCTCTCGGCTGTTTTTGTAACGCAAGTATCTACATCCGCATGGTAATTGTTGGTTATTAAGTTAATGACATATTTCGTCGATATCGAAAACCTTCATTAATACCCTATGTGAATCACAAACCTTAGACTACCTGTTCCAATCACAATTTAAGATTCTTTACTGAGTCATTCCATGTTGACCGTTTCAAAAAATAAAAAGTTCGGTGCTTTCGGTTTACCTTTTACATCTGCTGATATCGTGCCCTTGCGGGATTTTTATGCCGAGTCAAGTGACCGGACAAGGTCGCTAATATATCGAACGATTTGTTTGTGAGCAAAAAAAATAATGCGTAAATATGCATGTACGAGTAAAAGTTGAAACACAGTTTTTTAGCGTAGGTATCGCCGACAAAATTTGCGCAATTCTTTTACGAATGGCACAAATTTATAAGAGCGACGTTGTGTGGCGCGTTTTTGCTTAATGCTTATTTACATTTTGTCGTAATTTTTGTTACCACGACGATCCAAACTACAATTTTATTTCAAAATGTGAAACTCGTATTTTTAGAAAACGATTTTTTATTTATAACACAAGTAACACAATTCTTACTACGGCAAAGCGACTTCAAGACTGTCCTATCTTATGATTAGCGCGCGTATTTATATAATTAAAGCTGCTGAATAAGCATATGTCTCGTATTACTATTCTTTATTAACATAAGTGGCCATACTGAGATGGACCATTTAATATGCGCGTGCGCGGTAATTTGAAATCTCGTTATCAACTAATAACTAGCCTAACTAACCAATATAACTAGCGGCGTTCAGCAAACAACATGGCCGCCGACAGTTCTTCAATTATACAAGTTTCAGTTTAGATGTAGCATTTTTACCGCAGTATTTTCTTAAAATATGCCCGAATCTCGTTGAATATTCTGGGAGAATTACTTGAGTGTGAAGAAAAAAGCCCAAAATGCAAGTTAGTGGTGAAAACATGCCTAAAAGCCTATTTTTATGCAATTTGTTGCGGTGACTACGTAACTTGTATAACAATGAAGCAATTTCGGGCGAAAAGTTGCACTGACTTGGTAATTTTTGTAGCAGTTTCTTTCTAACTAACTAAAAATTTAAATTATTAAGAATTACGTAAGGGCAAGTTAATTTTTTTGCATTATTATGATCTTCTTTTCTTTTTTTTTTCAAAGAAACTCCCACAGGCTACTTCTGGATTCCTCCTGTGTCGGTTTTTGCTGAGTCGAAATTGCTGACGTTTCTCCAATCATCTTGTTGGCTTCTTCAGAGATTGACTGAAACTGAAAAAAAACTTATGATCTTCATTTGGATGAGATATCTCGGAAAATCAATATAGAGTGAGTTCAGTAACTTGTTGGTCGCTGCAACCTTGATTTTATTTGTCGAGAATCCCAACCCATGCAACAAACTGCAGCAACTAGAAAAGGTATCAAGTCGTAGCTTTAAATCGCAGCAATTTATTGCAACTTCAACATCAGGCTGAACTATGAGAAAATACCAGAGTTGTCCGAACGCATTAATTTTAATAGGGCCACTATATTATCTAACAGCTAGATGCTACGGCAAACAGCCAAATATTTAGCTATTTAGCTAATGTAAAATAATCAGTATATATTTTCTTACCAATGCTAATAATACAGCAAAACTTGTTTTCAAACCATACGAACTGTTATTCGAATTCTCACTTACCAATAAGAATCAACGTGGCCGCCAACAATTACTGAATTCACCAGTTTTCAATTTGGATATGGATCATAACCGCCTGGGGCGCATACATTCTGCAGTATTTTCGGCCCCTATATTAATTAATATTTAAATATATTTTTTTAAATTGTTTTCATTTGCAAAAATTTCAAACTTGAGAAACTCTTTTCAAACTATGTTTCGTTGAGATACTGTACTTAATCGTTCATTGTAACGGAGGCAGTGCAAAATCTCTTTCTCCAGACGAAATTTATTTTCAGTAATTGGTTCATTGTTCATTATTTTTAATATAATTAAATCCAGTGGCGGCTCATGGGACAGATTTTAAGGCGGAAAAAAAGTTATTTTAACCAAAAACGGAGAATTATTAATTTTCTTAATTATTTGTTCATTACAAATTTCAAGCATGCCCTTAAATATCGAATAATTTCTTGGGTGTTCATTTTCACTATATTCATTATATATTTACACAATAAACAGAATCTAATTGAGCCCTAATAACGCAAATTCCGTTCAATTACGAATGTGGCTTTTAGAATTTTTATATCTTTATTTTCAAACTTAATGCTCTGGTTATTCCAATTTTACTTTCGCGTTCGACGGCATTTCCATTGTATTTTTTTATCATTATGACGGTGGGAATGCGAAATATGATTCTTTTTGTAAGATAAATGAAAATATTTTTTATACTATTTAATTACTGTAAATTTTGGAGCTCTGCAGAACTGTAGCGCACATAAAATATTAAACACTGTTTCTATATTTTGTAAGCAACGTCAAATACGTCAATTTTAAGGCGACGGTGGGTGCACAGCTGGTAACATAATTTGAAGAAAAGTATATATTCTATTCCAAAAAATATAGAATTAAATGTTTCGACAGTATTGTATTTTTATTTATTTTTTCATATAATAGATCATAGATAAATAAATAGATATTGCAGAGTGCGAAATATTATATTTTTTTATCTGTTTTATCATCTAGTTATTCCTAAAAAAACAGATTTCACAGAGTTGAGCGTCTCTAGACTTTGCTTGCCTCTATGTTCATAGAAACGTTCCTGTTCATCGTTTTTAAGACGTTTTTAATTTGGTTCATTATGGTTCAGAAAAACGGATTCTAAAATTTAAGGATTAAAAAACTTGTCTCAAAACATATTTGGTTGAAAAATATCTTTAAAAAATTTCGTAGCATTTAGTGATTTATTTTTAAGCTATAGAGGAATGGAGTAATAAAGTAATTCAATTTATTCAAATGAAAGAAGAGCACACGACTTTAGCATTACTCTCAGTTATTTTGCTTGGTTTAAATATTTTATAGGATTCATCTTAACATCTATTCCGACCATTATCCTAAAATTGCAATTTTTCATATCCGGTCACGACAGTGTTAAAGCTGACGTCTAGTGACACTTTGTTCACTAATGATCAGTGCATAATTGGATATCAAAATAGGTAGTAAAAAAGCGCGTATCACAATCAGACATCTAAAAACGTTAAAAATCAAGTATGCTTCGACTTTTAACCTGTTAAAATAGTATCCGTATTTACTATTACTATCGAAAACTTCTGAACGGGCCCCATTAGCATAGCGAACGGATATGGTTTTTACATAAAAACGTGGTAAAAATTTCATCAAGGCCTCCCGCGGATAGGTGTGGCTCAAAACTTTACAAATAAGATTGTCTTGAGTTTATGCTTCACTTTACGATTTAAACAACTATCACCGTCGAACGCTGACGGCGTTACGTAATGCTCGCTTACCGAATAGATCACTGAACTTAATGGAATAGAACTAATGAGCAAAGTTCATTTTTTTAGCTTGGGCTTGCCGAGGGAATTTCGTAGCTAAAATATGTATGGCCTGCAGTTTTGCCACGGTGACAACATCAACGGCGAAGGTTGTTGTCGGGTACATTTTGCACAGCAATTTTTTGCCGTTTTTCAAAAACGTTTCTAGTCATAGCTGTAAAGCTCTGCTTTTTCGGAATACTTTATCTAAAACCATGTTTTTCTACTTTTATTAAATATTTAAAAATGGCCAAAAAATATAGTTTATAAACACCGTTTTTATTATTTTGTCAGCTGAAAGAATTAATTTGTTTCGGCTGGAGAACTTTCCTTTTTAACATTTGTGAGTTTAACAAAAGAAGATAATTTTTTTTTTACAGAAATAGACTTTTGAAATAACAAATCTACGATAAAGCAATTTTTTCATTTTTCAGAATCGGGAGAAAATATAAATATATAAATATAAATAATAATATTTAAAAATTTCGAATGTAATGCTAGAAGTACAATATTTTTAAAGCATATAGCTTAATAGTTATCAACGGAAAATTTGATTTTGATTTTTTATATTGCACACCCCATCAATGATGATGGATGATTAAAAAGAAAATTACCCATCCAAAAATGTAGCACAGTCCTTCTCTTTTGTAGAAGCAGGAGTTTCCATTTAAAATTGTCCAATCTAGCGTAAGATTTTCTATTATCTATTTTCAATCCTTTGCTACATATTCTTTGAAAAATTCACTAAATGACTAGATATAGAGCTGGGATCTCAGTTTTTAAGTTATTTATTTAGAGTTTTTAATAATAAACAAGTTTCACTTGTTTTTGTAGTGAAATCCTACAATTACTCGCATGTAAAGTTTGTGCGATATTAAGCTTTCCGAAATGGGAAAAATTGTTTTTGCCTGCGTTTTTTCGAAAACATTTTCGCACCCGCTTATCTACTTATTATATTTATTATATCCATTGTTCTCCCCGATGTTACCGGTTGTTTGGGGGCCACACTAATAGCTTTCAATTGCTGAAAAATATTCTGCATTTTAATAGATAATATAGAAAAAGGTGAATTTTTTTGTTTGGTGTTTATAAACATTGTGGGTAGGTTTTAAGGCGGTAACGAAAATGCCATTCCTTGCCGTTATAAAGCTTATTTATGGTTTATAAAGGTAACGGCAACCTCTCAGTTACAAACAAATGGGGAGTAAAATTTTTATATGAAACTAAAATTTGGTCACGGTTACATTTATAAGATTTATGAGAGTTCTCAGGTTTTGTAAAAAATAGATATGCGATTCGTAATCGTTACCAATATAAGATAAAAAATGTAAGTTGGATTAGTTAGTTAGTTAATACCAGACCGTGATTTTTTCGCTTGTAGTGTGTTAACGTGAGTGATCTTTGGTGGATATCGGCGCTACGCAGAGAGAAATTTTTCCTTGAGCTGAATTAAATCGTTTTAATAACACACTTTACGAAAAAATTAATTACAAGTATAAAATTACGTTCACAGTAAATAAATGTTTGTTGAGACAAAATTGATTATATCTTGATTTTAATTGTTTTAAATGAAATATTTAATTGAATACTCCACATTCATTTTGTAAATTATATTTTTATTGCGCCAATAATGTTTTGCTGAAATTTTTAACAAATCGTCATTAACAAAATATATATTATATAATTTTTTCCCTGAATTACAATACAATACTTACAATTAATACTATTATTTACGTTTAGTATTAACTGGAAGATAAAAATTATTGCTTGGAATGAAGCGAAAAAGTAACCGGTGTTTTTGGACATTCAGACGGGAACAAGAACTGATACGCTGCCGGGCGCACGGCGCCATATGAATGTAGTTAATAGATAAATTATTATTTGAATATTGAATATTGAATTCAAAGAATATAATAGATCCCTCAAACTTGGTAAGTTTAGTGAACCTATTGTTGTTCAAGTAAAGGTTTGTTTCTATTGAAGAAAATAAATTTAAAGTATGGGTTATTTTAGACATCTGCTCAGATTGAAGAAACTATAAGTGCAAAAAGGGAGAAAGTAAGAAAACACCATTGTAGAAGTTCCTACAGTAGATTATACCTGTATTGCTCTTGCTCTTGGAAATGAATACCTCTGGATATCGTAGGTTTTATACTATCATGCACCACAACTATTTATAGAGAATATTTTTTACTAGGCAATACAAAAGTTGCCTAGATTTTGCCGAAATTGTAAAATTACTGGTTTGCCATTCACTGGTGACCGATTCAAATGACACGAAGAAACCGACCTGAAGATAGCCAAAACGTCGACTTGAAATAAATATTTCACTTTTGTTAGTTCAACGAAAAGTTCTCGCAAATAAATAATAATTGTACCTAGTATGCCCCTTTTCTTCACATATATTTTAGTTGAGATACGAATTAAAAAAAAAGATTCCCCCAATTCGATATATAATTGCTCGATACGAATTAAATTATTTCATTAGAACAAATGTGCGTTATTTTCGAGAACTAATTCTTTTTCTCTGTGTACATGTTATTAAATTTATTGTTTCCATAGAAATAGACTAAAGAAAATCAGAGATGCTTACTAAACTTTCATATAAAATTTGAATTTATGAAACGGGCAATGCAAAATGCCACGCAACTAATCAACACCCATTTAATAACGTTTCTTGAACGGACACGAGACCGTTGGCGGCAATATACGTAAGTAAAATAAATGACGATGTTCCAAAATTAGGTTATAAAAATTGCCATTACGACACCGTTAACGAAAATATTTTAATTAGAATACGAGAAAGGAATAATACGCGATAATGATGGCATTTTTGCGAGTCAGCGTTTTCATAATTTAACAAGAAAACGTCACGAAGAGAATGTTGCCCATTTTCTAAGATGCTTGTTCTTCCGCGTTTTATTTACGAGACAACCAAAGAGAACTGCGTCACAGAACCGTAACGGATTTATTGCAAATATGCAAATATCTAGGGTAATGTATGCTTATAATGCGTATGTATTTTTTTGGGTCGATTTATCGGAAATTTGTTCACGGCTTATCGACAGTAAGAGCTTGGTTTTCGCGTAAAGATTTTTCTTAAACCAATTTAAGAAATAGTAATAGTAGTAGTAATAGCAATTCGATTCCCCATTGGTTATCGTCCAAGTTTCTCGAGCTCATCGCTTTGCGAACTCCCTCGTGCCATATTCTTTTTCTTTTTCTTTCGATGTTGTCTTTGTTCCCGAATACTTTCATTTCGATAACATTCATAGTCAGTCCCCAATCTTCATTGGTTTCTTTTAGTTTGCGTGCCATATATTCTAGATCTTCTTTATCCCCTTCTATTACTGCCTGATCGTCTGCAAACTGTACATTTTTATTTCCATTTTAGTAAGACTTCTTTATAATAAATTTTAAAAAGTGTTGGTGATATACAGCTCCCCTGGCGAAGGCCCTTTCTTATGCAGAAATCTCTGGACAGTCTATTTATTGTTTTTATTTTTGAAGTGGAGTTTATTATAAATATATAATTAATAGAGGTGCCTCGCAATGCTTTCCAGAGCCTGCTCGAAATCGAAATGCACCTTGATCTTCTTCTATAAACTCTGCCTCTATTAGATATCTTAATATCCTTCCATATAAGCTGCTTATGCCACTTTCCATTGACTGGGAACTTTCTGGCCATTCAGGCACTTGTTAAAGATCTGCTCTAAGGCTGTCATTAGTTTCCGCAGTAATTAAGTAATAGTAATAATTTCTAATGAAGATCATCAGTGTACCAAACACAATACAGAAACTAATTTATCATACATAATGAATATCGAAAGCGCTGCAAAGGTACAAAATAAAAATATCTTAATTCCAACCCTACCTTAACCTAATATAATTAAAAGTAATTAAATGATCTCAAAATATTTAACATTTAGAGTTTTAACCCAGCTCAAGATTGTGTAATGCTCTTAATGCTTCTTTTATACTAATTTTCGATTAATATTAACAGTGGGGTATTGTTTA